CAAGGTATTTTGCATGGATTTTAGCACCATAAAAATTAAAGCGAGTAATTTTATTTTGCAAGTGGTGTTTCTCGCGAAATTACACGATAATTAATTCCTTGCATATATTTAGTATAGTTCTGCAGCAACAGGTCTTCTGTGTAGCTCTTATCACTTAGTACATATAATATGCATTGTAGAAGTATTTAATCTCCGACAGGTGCCCTGGCAGACTCTATCAGGAACAGAACAGACATTCACTTTGGAGTTTACCATTCTCTGTTTGAGTTCTATAACCCTTTGTATCTTCAGGATGTGGCCAACAAGCACAAAACACAAAATTTTGTTCGGGTAAGTAAAACAGAGAATTTTGTCAGGGTAAATGGAGTTAAATATATGTGCTTTCAGGTACTACAAATTATACTATGCAGAATAATTACGGTAAGTTTTTTTTCAGTCAGGGACTCAGAGTGAATGAGTTGATGAAGATACATTTAAAAATGTTGTTAAATCCCCCGTTTGAAAAGCAGGGGGGTATATAGTGATGGGGGTGTCCATCCGTCCATCTACGTCCAGCTATCCTTCTGTCTGTCTGTTACACTTTGGGATACCCATCTTTTATCTGCAAGTCCTCTTATACCACTGAATGAAATTTTATGAGACTATATTATATATTAATATATAACAATAAATCTTTCATATTGAGTAATAAGTTACCATGCTAGTAAAATATGAGGTTATACCTTCATATTGATATACATCTACTTTGATTTTATTAAACATGGTTATTTTTTAAATTAGACTTCTTGATAAAAAAGAGGAAGCCAAAACAGAGTGGCAACAATAAAAAAGAAAATTTAAAAATATGAGTATAAACCAACAGTTGTCTGATAATTACAAGCCTTAGGGTGATAACAACTTTGTAGCATGGTAATTCTTGCTTTAAAGCTTTGAATGTTAAATAACATACAGGTCTTCGATCTGACAATCTTTTGGTCAATGTTTGTAGAACAAAGCATTACCTGAGCTTTATGAACTAGTGAACAGGTATAAACCTGAGGTTGTCTGGTCAGATGGAGACTGGAATGAAAACAGTACGTACTGGAACTCAACCGAATTCCTGGCCTGGCTTTTTAATGACAGGTAAGATTTTAACTACTGTAAAAATACTTTTTCCACGGAGTAACAATTTCATGGAATCACAATTTCTGTTCAATCTGGGGTTAGCAAATTATGTGGATTTCTTAGATTGCTACATATGCCTTAAATGTACTATAAGTTAGCTGGGACAAATTTTAGTGGAGAATTGTGACTGCGTACATGTATATTACTTCTACAGTATATACCGGTGTGCACAACAGACCCTACTCATACAGATGTATATCCAACAAAATTATGAATGATACTAAAGTAATTCTATTTACCAATTATTTTTTAAATTGAAATATACATGTAATTTAAGTATACTACAATAAATATGAAAGAAATAGTTATTTAGTAAACCTTTAAGGGGAATAACAGTAGTTTGATTGTGTTGTAGCCCTGTGAAGGACACAGTGTTGACCAATGACCGGTGGGGAAAAGATGCCAACTGTAAACATGGAAGCTTCTGGAACTGTCAGGACAAGTTTAAACCAGGTAGAATGCCTTGTATATAGACTAAAACATCTATACTTCTGTCCTCTTGTTTAGAGACACATTTGAACAGTACTGGGTAAAGTTAATCTATGTCCTGTGCATACAGACCTGTTTTTGCAAGATGGCTTTCCTGGAAACATTTTATTGGACATCATGCATGGATCCAGGAAATTTTCAAAGGGGGGGGGGGGGGTAGTCTAGCTTCCTCAAAAATAATTTGTCCCAGAAATTTTTGGGAAGCAAACTAAAATTAAAAAAAGGGGGGGGGGTTAAAAAAGGGGGGGTTAGGAAATTACAAAATGTTCAGTTCTACCACCTTTACATTACATTTTCATATGTTTGTATGAGGTCACTGATTTTTTTTTATGCCCCCATAATCAAAGATTTTGGGCATATAATATTTGCTCTGTCTGTCTGTCTGTCTGTCTGTCAGTTTGTCCTCAAAACTTTACCCTTGGCCATAACTTTTGATTAGTTAGAGCTATGGCTTTTACATGTGTATTTCTTGTGACAAGTCCTTTCTTTGGGTACCAACATATTTGACCTCTTGACCTTGAAGTTTGACCCACTTTTGCAAAATTTTACCAATGTTAACTTGGGTCATAACTTTGGAACGGTTGATGAGAGGGCTTTCATACTTCACATGCGTACTCCTTGTGACAAGATCTTCCCTTGGGAACCAATAATTTTGACCTTTAGACCTTGATCTTGGAGTTTGACCTTCTTTTGAAAACCTTTAACCATGGCTTTAACTTTTGAATGGTTGATGCTAGGACTTTCATAAGTCACCAGGTATTCCTTGTGATAAGATTTTCCCTTTGGTACCAAGAATTTTGACTTTGATGTTCGAGTTTGACCTACTTTTGAGAACCTTTAACTTTGGTCTTAACTTTTGAATGGTTGGTGCTAGGGCTTTCATATGTAACCAGTGTATTCCATGTGCTTTCTTTGGATACAAATATTTTTGATCTTTTGACCTACCATGGAGTTTGACTTACGTTTGAAAAAGTTTCACCTTGGCCATAACTTTTGAATGGTTTGTGCTATGGCTTTCATATTTCATGTGTTTTCCTTTTTTGTATACCAACAAATTTAACCTTTTGTTCTTGACCTTGGAGTTTGACATACTTTTGAAAAACCCCATACTTCACATCTGTATTTAACCTTGTCCACTGGCACTGTATGACTGAAGTATGAGTAATATTTTGCCAAGAGAAAAAGATGAACTCCAGACAAGGAATTTACACAAGTTTTTGGTCTTTGAGTAACAAACCTTGTTCAAGGTCAGTGTCCTTAACCCAGAGGGACCTTTATGAGAAAAGTTTGATTGATAAATAATAAAAAATGTGCCCTGGAGTTAAATCACACAATTTCTGTACCACTGACACTTAAATTACATGAGAGTCATATACATATATATAGCTTTCAAAATTATATTTAGTTGGCAAATTTTACAGGAAAAATCTTTAAGCACAAATGGGAAAATTGCATGACCGTTGATAAGAAAGCATGGACACATCGTAGAAAAATCCAGATAGAAGACGTCCTGTCAATTGAGGAACTCCTGACAGAGATAGCACAGACTGTCAGGTGAGTTTGATCATGACAATTTTAATTAATTGAATGTTAAATAAAATTTTAGCATTGTTATTCATATTTAGGTGAAACATGCATCTGAAAGGTCTTCGTTACTTGGACATACAAAAAATGAATATACATTAAGTCTTTACGAAATTTTTATCATTCTTCTTTAATTCTAGTTTTGGTGGAAATATCCTGATCAATGTTGGACCCACAGCTGATGGAGTTATCATTCCTGTTTTTGAGGAGAGACTACGACAAATGGGTCAGTGGCTCAAGATCAATGGGGAGGCCATTTATGAAACTCATCCATGGACTGAAGGCACAGATAATATAACATTTCATGGAATTTGGTAAGAAATCATGATTTATGAAAGGTAAATTTGTTATGATAGGTTGTTATCTACACCCAAGTTACCATTGATGTATTGTTGTCAAAATAATAAAATTAAGATTTTATGTTCTGCTGTGGATACCATGTAAATTGATTTTCATTCATTCATTCATTCCTTATTTCTTCCAAGTGAAGATATTGAGCATGCAAGAAGAGAAAAAAAATGTAATCATGTCTGATTTTAGGTACACCACAAAGAAGCAAGGAAATGCCACGGTGGTGTATGGTATTGTTACCAACTGGCCTGAGGATAATAGACTCCTCTTAGGTGTTCCAGTTCCCATGACAACCACCAAGGTCACCATGATAGGTGTCAAGGAACCATTAAAATGGTCAATATTTAAAAATGTTGCTATGGCTGTAGAGTTCCCAATATTACCACCCAATAAGATGCCATGCAAATGGGCATGGGTCATCAAAATGGAGAATCTCAAAAATCAATAAACTCTTAGTATTTGGATTTCTGAAATCTTCTCAAGAATTTAAAGGAATTACAAGATTTTGATATATAAATCTAAAGGATAAGTCATCACTATTTACATTCCATAAGTTGTAAATAGATTTTAAATAAGTTTTTTTTTATATTTTGTGTATGACTGTTATTTGGTTATGTGACTAAAGGCTTAGGTCATTTTTTTATGGTCAGTATTTTTTTTCTTTTTTCTTTTTGATGTTGTTCATGTAAATGTACATCAGGCATAATATGTATGTTCATTTTTTTTTTTACCTTTCTCTAATCCATCTATGCTGGCAGCTCAGGTTCACATACATAAAGGGTGTTTAGAAATTTTGTTTCATAATGAAATATTTTTGAAAATTTTAAAGTAGTGTTTAACTGAAGAAATTAATTTTCCTGTCGGACAAAATCAGAAGATTGTGCCTTCGATTTATAGCAATCAATTTCAGGTATTCATAGGATTTTTTTTCATATGAAAATATATATAAACATCTTTTAAACACCCAAATGACAGAACTGCTTGTCATTTTTTGTGAAAATGTAGGATTATTCACTTTTCTTTCTTTGCAGATTATCTTGCATCATACAAAACTGATAAGCTTACTAGGTAAAAGAAAGATCAGTCACTTTTCAAAGGATAGGTTTGTTATATTGGAGTTCTATACTGACGTGATAAATTTTGCATAGGTAATTGAAAGGATGTATTGATCTGTGTGCTTCAGATATTTCACAAAGGTGCTGCATCCCTGATTTTTCTGCACAGACATAATCTGTTTCAATACATGCCTTCCCCATTTCTTAAAAAAAAATAAATGCAGTTAAAACCTTATCAGTAGCAAAAAAGAACTGTGTGAAGAAGAAATACATGTATCACAAATTTTAAGTATCTTCTCATTTTATTTCTTTTCGAGGACAAAAGTAAAATGTGGAATGAACCTTCTCAACACCCTTTATATTCTGAAATTTATTTTTTTTTCTTAGATGTGCTTTGTAGTCCCAATCATGTGCAAAATTCAAGTGAACCATGAATCCCAACCATTTTTACAATGTTTTGGGTATGCAGTCTATGAACCTCTTTTTATAGGTGGACTTATAGGTGGTTTAAATCATTAAAGCTGAACACGCTTCGTAAAAAGAATCTGTCCGCCATATTCGATTGGACTCTCGCTATATCTGAGGGCCCCTATATATAGAGCCGCTCACTTGGTCACTGTTCAGTGTAATCAGTTGTCACCGGTGTAGACGGATGTATGCTATACAGCACTTGGTAGCGACAAAAATAACTGTGTGCTTCTTCTAATGCAGGAGAGTAAGATACCAAAGAGATTTACAACAGATGCACAGGTCAGTGCAGTATACAAACAAACACAAATATACGTAACTGCAATAAAATGTAAAAAAAAAAAGTAATCCAAGATAACCAGCACGAACACGGGTCGCCATTCCACGCCGATACCCGTGACAATAAAGCAGTCAGGTGTAACGAATGCGAAGAGTATACCCTGGTGCTGATATCTTAGATAGTAATATCGAAAATGGCGTATGCCTATTTACGAGTCGTGTTCAGCTTTAAAAGTCTTGTCCTGATGTAGTGGAGTTTATTTACATTTTAGTTCTACTGGTTAAAGACCAGAAGAGCTTTTGCAGTGATGATGTGTCTATTGTCCATCTGTTTGTCAGTCTGAAAAGTTTTTCAACAAAATGCTACTCCTCCTACAGGTCTGATCTGATTTTAAAAAAAAAAACATCGGATGGTACACAAGTAGACTAAGACATATAATTCTGTTTCTTGATTTCAATGAACTGTATTGCAATGGTATCTAAAAATAGAAATTTCTGTGAAATTCTTTTGAAATGTTACTCCTCCTACAGTTTTGGTACAATTTAAATAAAACTTTGTACACAAGTAGACTACATTCTATTTACTGGTTTTTGATTTCATAACTGTGTTTCTAAAATGAGAAATTTCTGTCAAATTCTTTTAAAACGCTACTCCTCCTACAGTTTTGGTCTGACTTCAATAAAAATGTGGTACTCATATATGTATACGGTCTACAGTAAGATACATTTCTCTGTTTATCAATTTTTTCATCTCAACAAATGGTGTTACCATAGTTACTAAAAACAGTAATTTCTAACAACTCCTCCTACATTTTAAGTCTGATGTTAATAAATCTTGTCACAAAGAAATCTGGGATCATAACTCTTTATCATTGGTGATGGCATTGTTCAAGTGTCTTATGTTAGAAGTTCCAGGACAAACCAGGAGAGCTATAGTCTCATCAGAGATTTCATAACTGTTTTCAGACTACACTTTACTTACATTTGCAATCCTCTTGCTATTATTAATTGGAACTTAGAAAAGTATCCTGACCTATGCATTTGTACCACTGAAATAGGAATTGAGAATATATGAAAGTGGATGTGTTATGCTTCATTATAGCATTAATACCTGTTTTGTATTTTTTTGAATGGATCAGTACTTACATTATTTTTCAAATATATATTTACCCTAATATTAATATTTTGATTTACTTTTATATTTTATTATTCATTTGATACAGCTGAAATTGGTATCTCAAATATTGATATCTCAAATACCATGGATATGTTGAAGTGAGTTGTAAGTCCCAACCACTTTTTAATGTATTTTTACCTTTGTATCACATTCTTGGACCCATCGAGGTTTGACTGTATTTCAAAATGTACATTTTCTGTATACTCTGCTCTTGTTTAGTAAATTTATAGTTAAACTTTGATATCTGGAAGATAATGGGAACTTCTTAAAATTCAAGTTTATAATAATAAAGTCAGAACCACGAACTCTCTTTGGCGTATCCCTGGTATTTGACATATCTGTGATACTCCAAAACATGTCGAAGTTCAAGACACAAATTTTAACTATATTTAATTAATTACATGTAGAATAAAAGCTAATTAATCTATTATATGTAATTTATCTGTAACTGGAGACATTAAATTTTCTTTCTTCCTTGTTCCTTCTTTGTTACCAGGTAGTTACATTAAAAAAGTAAGATATTTGAACAAGTGTTCATGGAAGTAAATACGATGATAAACAAGAAATGTTTTAGAAACATGTACATTTATGTCCAAATTAATTTGGCCTTGTGACCTAAAAATCAAAGAGGTCATTTACACTTCAGGGAGTATCAGGATATAAAGTTTTATGTCCGTCAAGCAAAGGGTTCTCTTGATATTAAGCAAATTTAAAATAACTTCCTATGTCTAGAGTAAGTTTGACCTTTTATATGTTTTGACCTTGAGACTGATAAACCAGCAGGGATCATATACTCCTGTAGAATCAGTGTACCAAGTTTGATATCGGTTTAGCAAAGGGTTCTAAAGATATTGAGCAGTCAAGGTTCTGAAGATATTGAGCAGTCAATATCTTCCTATGTCTAGTTTGACCCTTGACTTTATGATCTCAAAATCAATAGGAGTCATCTATTCATTTAGGGAAACCAATCTGCCATTAGGCTGATGTTGGTCAAACAAAGGATTCTTTAAATATTGAGAGGACAATCTATTCCTTATATGTACAGAGTAGATTGACCTTTGGCCTTTTGACCTTAAATCTACTCCCTGGGGAACCAGTGTAATAAGTTTGATGTCTGACATGCAAAGGGTTCTCAAGATATAAATTGGATGACAATTAGTCTACCTACTGACTGATACTGACCAGCCAACTGATATGCCCCCTTTTTCAAGGGCATGAAAACAACAAAATATTACAGGAGATTATGTACTTTTCTTATTAAAGAAAGAACTATGTACGATAAAGGCATATCCCTGCCCCTGTAACAATCATATTTAAATTTCTTAAATTGCACATTTTGAATTTGAGTTGCACATTGCATAAAAAAACTGAATTAACAACAAGGGACCCATGGGCCACGTCACTCACACGAGAACATTGGCTAGGAAAAAGGAAAAAACAGGTTAGTATTGAAAAGATTAAATAATTAAGGGATAGCAAATACAACCCCTAAAGGAAGGGGGAGGGGCATGACTTGATCACACTTGAATCTACACTAACTAAGGATGCTTCTATATTTTTTTTAAGGCTTTAGAAGATTTTTTTCTACATGTTTGCTCTTCTATTGTGCCCAGCAATGCCCCTGGGGAACGATTTGAACAAACTTGATTCTACACTACCTGTGTATGCTTCTAAATAAATATGACTGATCATGACTTTGGTGTTCTTGAGAAGAAAATTTTTCCTAATATAAATTCTTACGTAAAATTTGATTGCCCATTGTAGCCAATCCCTACACCCAGGGGTCATGATTTGCACAATTTTTAGTCTACACTACCTGAGGATGCTTCCGAATAAACATGACTATAATTATGGCTTTGGTGTTCTTGAGAAGATTTTTAAAATGATTTATCCTATGTATTCCCATGTAAAACTTTGATCTTCAATTGTGACCCCACATAAGCGTGGGGGTCATGATTTCAACAAACTTGAATATAAACTACCTGGGGATGCTTCCATATAAAAATGACTAATCATGGCTTTGCTGTTCTTGAGAAGATTTTTCCTATGTATACCAATGTAAAACTTTGATGACCCATAGTGGCCCCTCCCTATCCCTGGGGGTCATGATTTAAACAAACTTGAATCTACACTACCTGAGGGTGCTTCAATATAAATATGACTAATTATGAATTTGCTGTTCTTGAGAAGAAGATTTTTAAAGATTTTTCCTATATATGTATACCTATGGAAAACTTTGATTGCTACATGTATTTAGGCCAAACAAAAAAATATGTGTGGTTCCGGTTACACTTCCAAACAAGAGGCCCATGGGCCACATCGCTCACCTGAGCACATTGGCAAGGCAAAAGCACAAATCAGTTCAGTATTGAAAAGATTACGGGGGGGGGGGGGGGGGGGGGGGGGGGAGGGGGGCTTGAATTTTAAACTACCTGATGATGCTTCCATGTCAATATATAATTTGTTTTAACAAATGGCTTTGTTGTACTTGAGAAGATTTTTAAAAAAAATTCCCATATATTCCTCTGTAAAAATATGATCCCCCATTGTGGCTCCTCCCTATCCCAGGGGTCATCATTTGAACAAACTTGAATCTACACTACCTGAGGACGCTTCCATATCAATATGACTAAACATAGCTTTTCTGTTCTTGAGAAGAAATTTTTTTCTATATGTTCCTATGTAAAACTTTCGATCCCCTTATTGGGCCCCACCCTACCCTCAGGGGTCATCATTTGAACAAAATTGAATTAACACTACCTGAGGATGCTTCCATATCAAAATGACTAAACATGATTTTCAGTTCTTGAGAAGAAGATATTTTCCTATATGTTCCTATGTAAAATTTTCGATCCCCCATTATGGCCCATCCCTATCCCCTGGGGTCATCATTTTAACAAACTTGAATCTACACTACCTGAGGATGCTTCCATATCAAAATGACTAATCATGGCTTTGCAGTTCTTCATCAGAACATATCTTCCTATATATTTCTATTTCAGACTTTTATCCTCCATTATGGCCCCACCCTACCCCAGTGGGTCATGATTTGAACAAACTTCTACCTGAGGACACTTCCACATAAATATGATCAATCAGGGCTTTGCTGTTCCTGAGAAGAAGACTTTTTAAAGATTTTTCCTATATATTTCTATGTAAAACTTTGATCCTCCATTGTGGCCCCGCCCTACCCCCAGGGGTCATGATTTGGACAAATTTGAATCTACACTACCTGAGGATGCTGCCAAATAAATATGACCAATTAGGGCTTTGCTGTTATTGAGAAGAAGATTTTTAAAGGTTTTTCCTATATATTTCTATGTAAAACTTTGATCCTCCATTGTGGCCCCGCCCTACCCCCGGGGGTCATGATTTGAACAAATTTGAATCTACACTACCTGAGAATGCTTCCATATAAATATGACTCATCATGGCTTTGCTGGTATTGAGAAGAAGATTTTTAAAGGTTTTTCCTATATATTTCTATGTAAAACTTTGATCCTCCATTGTGGCCCCGCCCTACCCCCGGGGGTCATGATTTGAACAAACTTGAATCTACACTACCTGAGGATGCTTCCATATAAATATGACTCATCATGGCTTTGCTGTTCTTGAGAAGAAGATTTTTAAAGGTTTTTCCTATATATTTCTATGTAAAACTTTGATCCTCCACTGTGGCCCCGCCCTACCCCCGGGGGTCATGATTTGAACAAACTTGAATCTACACTACCTGAGGATGCTTCCACATGAGTTTCATCTTCCCTAACTTTGTGGTTCTTGAGAAGAAGAATTTTAAAAGATGCTACTAATTTTTCACTATTTCTTCATTATCTCCCCTTGAAAGAGGGCGTGGCCCTTCATTTGAACAAACTTGAATCCCCTTCACCCAAGGATACTTTGTGGCAAGTTTGGTTGAAATTGGCCCAGTGGTTCTTGAGAAGAAGTCGAAAATGTGAAAAGTTTACAGACGGACGGATGGACAGACAGACAGACAGACAGACGGACAGACGGACTACAGACAAAATGTGATCAGAAAAGCTCACTTGAGCCTTCGGCTCAGGTGAGCTAAAAAATTAGGGTAGGTAGGTAGGGATTTTTTTTTTTTTTTTTTTTTTTTTTTTTTGTAAAAAAACAAAATGATTTTCTTAATTTTTTCTAAATAATACCTATCACTGCTTTGCAAATGGCATTTAGATGTGGTGTGATAATAACTAGTCAATATTGGTAGGGGACACCTACATGCTAGCTTGCTTTGGATTTAACACTATTAAACACTTGCACTATGTTTTGCAAGGAGGCCTTCATTGCTGAAACTAAAACATAAACTGGATCCATTTATGGAAATCGGGGGAAATTCCGGAAAAAAATATGAAAATTGCCCCCAAAAAAGTTTAGGGTCGGGGGTATAAAATAGGGAAGGTCGGGTAACCGGAACCACACATATTTTTTTATTTGGCCTTATGGCCCCTCCTTACCCTTTGGGGTCATGATTTGAACAAATCTGAATCTACACTCCTGAGGATGCTTCCAAATATGATTCAAATATGACCAAACATGGCTTTGCTATTCTTGAGAAGAAGATTTTTTAAAGATTTTTTTCCCAGGAGTATATATTCCTAATGTATTTTGTCTCTGTGACATTAATAACAATTGGTATTTAACTTATGATGTCTTGGTTGATGAAGATATTTAATGCTTTGAAGTTTGCAAACATCTCCCTGATTTAGAATGTTACTGAAAAAAATCTCCATCAATGTTTGATTAAGGGGGCAGTTATTGGCCTTTACAGAATAAAGTCCTTTATGCATTTGAAGAGATGTAGTCTATAAATGTAGTTTGAAAATAGTTTATTTTGACATAATTTGTCTATTACAACAAATTAGGGATGTCAATTTGTAATAGGTTAACCGGTTACTCGGTCGGAACACTGGTAATCGGTTAGACAATCTGTAACCGGTTAGTCAGAAAAAATTCATATATGTGTAAATTTGAACACAATATCCTGAAAATTCAATCAAAACATATAAATGAAAATATATGAAATTTTGGCATTTTCACCTATCTATTTCTTAGGCTGATCCGGAGATAATTAAGGTTCTCCTAATTGACATCGTGGGGGTTATTAGTCAGCTTTTGAGATGTTAATTGCTGTTTAAACATCATGTTGCTACCCAGCCGGTCCCGTGTTTCTTTAATGATAATTTTTAATTGAATGATCGTTGAGTACTGTGAAGTGATTATAATCAAAATGATCGTTGAGTACCGTGAAGTGATTATAATCAAAATGTACCATACCCCTCTATCTTTTGCAGTTACTATCAAATTATATTGTTAAACAAACATTGTAAATTAAGCGATGGTTCAGACTTAGTTTTGATTATGTAAAAATGCAGATTGAACTTCTAGGACATCTCTTCTGAAATTTGTTTTAATGTATCTGATTCTTAAGGCATGTTTCATGGGTTTCTTATTTTTTTCTTTTCTTTTGCTTTAAATTTGAAATGAAATATATATATTGTTCTGAAAAACGTAATATTACTACATGTAACATCTTTGTAGTCTGTCTATTTGAGTAGAACTTATACAATTAGGAAATACGTCGAGAATTTTTGATACGATTAACTGATTAATCGGTCGGAATGTCTTGCGGTTAACCGACTGGCAATTTTGCATTCGATTGCCACCCCTACAACAAATCTAAACAAAAATCTTGTCCATGAACTTCAAATACTCTGCTGACTTCAACAGGTAAAATCCTGAGAATCTCCCCTTTAATTTCTCCACTGCTGCTGAAATATATATGGCTGAAATATTGCTGACTTGGCATTAAGCAATAATCAATCAATTTCTCCACAAACTTTATATTTTCATCATTGCTGGAAACCCGCTCTCAGGAAAAGGAGTGTGCATAAGGTCATTACTCTAGAAGATGCCACATCATATAACCCTTGGTCAGAAAAGATGTAACATTAAGCTTTGTCCTTTGTACTGTATGTTCACCATTCTCAATGCAGAAAAAACTTTGCACAGTTGAAGAATTTTATCACCAATCCAAACAAGGCTGTATATCACCTTGTTTCTGTTGTGGTCAGCTGTCAGGAAATGTGGTGTAAATTTTGCACATAATCTGAAATGTGAAGGAGAATTCTTGTGAAGGGGAAAACTGGATGCTACTGCAGTGTATGAATTATGTCTGATACACATTCATAAACATAGGTAATCAAAGATTAAAAAGCTCACCTCAACAAATGTTATAAGGCAAAGTCTCACATCAAACAAATGTTCTCACTGGTAGATACAACATTTATGCAAATTTGGTCAGGGTAGGATTTTTAGCTTTTGGGAATGGACTTGCTCAAAACAATTTCTGTTCAATCCTCTTGAAAATGTAAGCAAGATTTAGCATCAGAAGCAAGTCTGTTAGTGTGCATCCCAAGTTTGGTGCAAATATGGGCTTAACGTTACACTGAAATGAACCTACTCCAAAAATTTTATCCCGGTTACTCATTCAGAAAATGTAGGTCAGATCCAACACTTGAAGCAACTCTGGTTGTGTATCATCCATGGAAGTTTGGTCAACATATGGCTCATTAAGAAACTTGGGAATGAGACCTTCTCCAATGCCGATGCCAAGGGTATTACATTGGTTCACTTCACTGAGGTGAACAAAAAACAGTTGTTAAAGAAATCAGATTTGATTAACTAGAAGAGTATATTATTCAAAAAGAACATAAAGTAAAACTGACCAGTTCCTTAGTTCTGTTGTAAGTGAAGCATTGTGGGAATGTGACTGGTATTTCCTGATGGTGAAACTGAGCTCCTGTTTCACTAGTAGTCTCTATCAGGGCCTCCAGACACTCACAGAAATAGTCATAGGCTGGGGCCACCACATCTTTGTCTTCTAAAGTAAAAATGAGCCTAAAAACAAATCAATAGACTTTATTTTCGACAATCCTTATACTAACTCATAGATTCACTAGGAAGGAAGGTGTCTTATAGATCTTATCACAGAAACAAAAGGTTCATATGCCTTAACTGTCACATGAGTATCATGCAGCAGCTGTCTGTTCTTTTTCTTATAAACTCTTAAAACTTTTAAGAGGAGCAAATGTGACTCAACATATATGACGTCCCATGGCTTGTACATGTATTTGTTAAAATTCCTCTAAATTTCTATGTAAAATCCCCAACCCCCTGTAATATTAGTTGTGTCTTTTCTTCAACACTAAATGAAGATGCTTGAAAATTAATTTTTTTTTCTATTTTATTTCCCAGACCTATGCTATAACATTTGAATTCCCTACACGAATCTTTATGGCAGCTGCCACTAGATGAAGATGCTTGAAAATTAATTTGGATACATGTAGCTTTGTCTTAAGAGAAGATTTTCAATGACTTTTCCAATATATTTTCCTTGAGGCCTAGTTTCTGCAAAGGGCCAGATTATTGAACAAATCTTAATCATTTAACAAAGATAACTTTGCACTAGAGGAGAACATTTTTAAAGAACAATGTTGTAGCCCAGTCTGGACCCTGGGACTCTAGCTGGTTTGAACAAAATTAAATCCACACTATATAATGAAGCATAAACATTAAGAATTATGTCATTTGCATGAAAGCTTTTTACTGTAACCATTACTTCTTTTCTTAGTTATCTCCCTTTTAGAGAAAGTTCAATTATTCATTTGAAAAACTTAAATCCTTTCATCCAAATGCTTTGATGACGGTTTGGTCAAGTAGTTTTGGGGAGGTTGAAAATATTCTAAAGTTAACAAATAAGATGCTCCCAGGAGCCAGAATCACTCACCTGGCTGCAGCCAGTTAAAAATCCCCAACATTTATCTTGACTAAGAACCAAGACTGACAACTTTGACAGTTCATTGGTAATATGATTCCAAAATGAATGATAGCTATAGAATTTGCTAAATACAAAGATTTTGTATAATCTGGCATTTTTGTTTTTACAATTTTCTCACCAGATTATTTTTCAAATGCAAAAGTTTTGGGTATCTGTTTTAAAAGTAAAAAAAAAAACTGCATATAACCCCCATATTTTATTTATAGTAACAGTGACCTGGTTTTTCACTGGATCAAAATGAAAAGCGGATCATACAGGACATGCTCCACATCATTACTATAAAGTTTCAGAAAAATCTGAGATTTCTGATAAAGTTTATGATGATGATGGATGATGATGACATCGATGATGTATGCCACATGATGGCATAAGCTCACTCGGTCCTCTGGGCCAGGTGAGCTAAAAATGCATGATGAACAACAGATAGATATCAATAGATCACCTGTGTTGTGTAATTTTGCTGATCTAAATCATATATCACAAAGTAATGCACACCGGTATCCAAGTCTATAAAACCAATGTCAGAAAATTCAATGTAACTGTACTTCATCTTCTCAAACAAATATTTCAGCAGATTTATTTCAAATAAAATGAAAAAAGCAAGAGATCATTGGTACAATCCAAAAAAAAAACCCATCATATCAAGAGCATTTAGTCTGATCACTCTGGAACTGATCTAGTAGAAAGACTTATCTAATTAAAATTGGATTATTAGAAAGACTGACATACTTTAAATGTTGATTGCAGTTAAATTGCAATTTTAATAACTTTGCATTTGGTTAAAGGAAATATGTGAAAGCCAACATGCATGCACAATAGTACCTTTTCTCCATGCTAATGTACAGTGACTTTGATGGTGGGTTTGACAGAAGTCTGTACACTGTGTTCAAGAAAGCCAATGTCAGTTCATTGTCATACACAACTGAAAAAAAGAGACATAAACTAAAAAAAGAGACATAAAATCATGGATTGAAAACAGACACTGAAAAATTAAAATATACTAGATGAAATTCATTAATGTGACATTAGAAAGGTAATCAACTGTTACATAAAACTAGAAATATGTCCATAGGATATGAATGCCCCGCCGAGGGTATATTAGTAATGAAGCATTTTAACACAAATTGAGAAAAGTGAGGTCAAGGTCAAAGGAAAGGTCAAGGTGAAAAAATATTGATGCAGTTGAATAGCTTTCATCAGTATGTATCAGCATATGAAGTTTGACACTAATTTAAGAAAAGTGAGGTCAAGGTCAAAGGAAAGGTCAAGGTAAAAAATTGTTGATGCAGTTGAAAAGGTTACATCAGTATGTATTTACATATGAAGTTTGATAAAAATATTATGAATGGTTTCTTTAAAACTGAGCTAAACACTAATTTAAGAAAAGTGAGGTCAAGGTCAAAAGAAAGGTCAAGGTCAAAAAATGTTGATGCAGTTGAATAACTTACATCAGTATATATCAACATATGAAGTTTGATTACACTATCTTGAATTGTATCTTTAAAACTGAGCTAAACACTAACTTAAGAAAAGTGAGGTCAAGGTCAAAGGAAAGGTCAAGGTCAAAAAATGTTGATGCAGTTGCATAGCTCTCATCAATATCTATCAGCATATGAAGTTTGATAAAAATATCTTGGATAGTTTCTTTGAAACTGAGCTTTGAACAGAGCTAAACGCAAAGTGTGATGGAAGGACAGACGGAAGGACAGAAGGACGGAAGACAGACATGACAAACACTATATGCCCCAGCCATATTCATGGCGGGGCATAAAAATACTGGTTTAGCCTACATACAGCCCAATTCTATACAGTGTGTATTTATATTTACCTTTATACTGAATAAAATATGGTTTAAATTTAAAATGAATAAATATATACATCAATGATCTAACTTACCATCACCTGCTATGAAGATCTGGGCTGTGTTTAATAAACTGACGTCTTCCTCTGTTATGGTATATTTTCCACAGTCTAAAATTGTTATCAAAGTTTGTTCTAAAATAATAATGCACTTCATAACATAATTCTTTAATGTTTTCAATAAAATGGATAAATTTGAATCCCCTTCACCCAACACAGCTTTATGTTAGTTCTGGAGAAGGAAGTGAAAATAGTTTACAGATGATAGACCCCAGACACTCTTCTATCAGAAAAGCTCACTCAAAAGCTCTAGACAACAAGATCTTCAGACATCCAGTCTAACTGACAGACTCTGTAATTTTTGTTTTAAAGAATTACCTGTAACAAGATCTTCAGACATCTAGTCTAGCTGACAGACTCTGTAATTTTTGTTTTAGAGAATTACCTGTAACAAGATCTTCAGACATCTAGTCTAGCTGACAGACTCTGTAATTTTTGTTTTAGAGAATTACCTGTAACAAGATCTTCAGACATCTAGTCTAGCTGACAGACTCTGTAATTTTTGTTTTAGAGAATTACCTGTAACAAGATCTTCAGACATCCAGTCTAGCTGACAGACTCTGTAATTTTTGTTTTAGAGAATTACCTGTAACAAGATTTTCAGACATCCAGTCTAGCTGACAGACTCTGTAATTTTTCTTCTTCATAAGATTCAAACAGTTCCAGTTCTGGTCCAAGTTATGTTCTGTTAACCTTAACACATCTCCTCCTACATCTAAATTTCAAGGAATAATACAATCATATACATGTACAAAGTTTTCTTTGTGATCATGTACAATTATATAAATTTATGAGAATTGTTAATATTACTTCACCATTTATAGCTGAATAATCTGTGTATAAGGGCAGGCCAATTCACAAAAACAAAATCATACAGATTTATCATATTGAGTATTATTGACACATTTTAACAGCAGAATAAAATTCTCAAAAATGCAGCTCTTATCGCTTTAAGTAGAATGTTAATTTCCTCAGCTGCAATAATTAAATGTTGCTGATGGATTTCAAACCCAATAAAAATTGTTTCAAATAATAGTTGGTTTACAGTTTATCAAAATAATAAGTACACATGTATGTTGTACCTGTACAAAGAACATTTTTGGCAAAAAATGAAGCAGTAATGCCAGCTAATCCAGTCCCTGCTCCCAGCTCTACCACAGTTTTATCCTGTAGTTTGTCTTGGAGGTGTATCAGATAGTCAGCTAAAATGAGGGATCCATGCCACAGCTATAATACACAATTATCATCAAATCACTACCATGTTAAATTTCCTATTGAATCTCTTTGACTAGCCACACTGGACCTTGATCGTAATTTTTTTTTTTTTCCTTTCAAGAAACACATTCCATATCCAGTAAAACTGAAGTTAAATTAATTAAGAGCTTAATTTTTGGTCAACATGGTCAAGATAATTTATCAAAAGTTCAGGTAGGACATTTAAACAGGAGGGAGATTTGTATGAGTTTCAAAATTGTATTTTGCAAGTATTCTGTTTGGCATAACCTTTTGAATGAGAACTTGCTAAGTTTTGAGTACCTGTTTTCCAACATCTTTAAGTCCAGTTGACAAGGAGTGGGCTAAAAGAGAAAAAAATTGATGTCAGAATAGTAAAAATCCTAATTACAAGAAACCTTAAAATTATGGCAGCAGTACATTTTATTCCAGATATTTCTTTATCTACATGTATTCCTCTCTTAAAATATGAAAAATTGTAAAAATATTAACTACTTGATAAATAAATATTTTGAACAATGGAGTTCATTACATGGAATAATTTTCTGTACATGTATAATATGCAATGATTAAATTTTATCAAATGATACCCCCTCTAATTTATTACCTATGGTTAGAACATTCAGCTCTTCACCGTCTTCCCTGTTTTTTCTTCTACTCAGCACCATATCACCATCAGAGTCTGTCACACCATCTCTCTCCTCACTACCTCTACATGTACTTACACAAGATCCACATGGTAACACCCTGAACCAAAACCTGCTCACTAAAATAGCTCATGTATGTCAGACAAGAACAGGACTTGTAATTTTTACATGATCATTATGGATTAATTGGCAATCCAACAATATCAGTAACATTCCAGAATACTGTCATAGTCTTTGACTTTATGTAAATGTCCTTTTTGTCCAGAGTTTTTTTTTTTGGGGGGGGGGGGGGGGGGGAGGTGTTTTTGATTTGTTTTTTGACCTTTTAATAATTAAAGAGAAAGTCTTGTTCAATGTAAAATGTTATTTATAGAGTATCCTAGATATCCTTGTATCTACAATGTAACAAATGTATCATCTGATACCAGTCAAGGGAGGGGAAGGCTGAAGCCACGAAATTGCTATTGGAGGATGATCAAATTCAAGGTTATTCTACGAGATTTGTATCTTTGCACCAATTACCAGGTACATGTATTGCAATGTGTTATTTACATTGCAATACTGAGAGTTTTATCCTGAACCAGTTTGAATTAAAATGGAACTGAGAGTTTCATTAATGGAAAGATCGGTGGGTAGTGGGCCATGACTCGCTTATATTTATGAGCATATTGTGATGAAATGTTTATAGTGCATCAAACTGCATCAATGAGTAAAACAAAACAGTTTAATTACAGGAACAAATAACTGACAATAAAATGACAGAACAAATTAAGTGTTCATAGAAATTTAATTTTTGAAATTTAATTACGAGCCTTGTTGATTAAATCTAAAGGAATGAAATAAATCTGTCATTTATCTTTCACCATTTTCAGGGGGGGGGGGGGGGGGCTTATTTGGCTTGCAAAAAGTGATTAGGGCTACAGTAACTAAATTTTGTCATTATGTTATAATTGTTATTATTTTATTGGGCTAGTGCTGGAAAAAAGTGTTTGGGGCACAGTGGCACAATGAAACTCCTCTATCCTCTTAGATAAAAATGTTGTTTCCATGACTAATGAATTGCTCCTTCTTCCCAGATGAACCATGTATGGGTAAACATCAGTTTTAAGTGAGGGATATTGAAATTGAAAAGCTAGCTTGCAAAACTGGATTCAGTAAATTTGCAGCTATTATTTCATGTGTTTTTCTTTTTTTCATTGATGCACTATCACTGATCGGTGCTGTATATGTAGAGCACATATACCTATGGTGTATCAGAATTAAAAACACCATTGTATGATGATCATTCATGATTGATTGTATTGAACAGAAGTAATACTTTAACCAGTGTTTAACATATGGCTTGTACTAAAGTTGTCTTTGAAAAAGAATTCAGCTAATTTTTCAAAATTCGCTTGTAACATACCTGTGTAATCATTACCCTCAACAGATTCGTTCTCGCTCGTTACATGAACATCTGATAAGACTTTTTCATCAAATTCCATGTATTCTGATTTTGTTTACAAAATGATTTCACTTTCACTTTCGTTTCGCTAATAGACCGCTAGTAAATCGTACCATGTCGATTTCGATTAACATTAATAACTACATTAATTTTGTAGTTTATAACTTATTTTTAAAAAGTCACTGCTGCACAGTATCAACTTTTATAAAATTCTAGGAAACATGTAATTAATATTTAATGCCAAATGAAAAGTGTTTAAGTTAATTTAATTTTGCCTATTTGCTGAAAAACAAAAAAAAAAAAAATAAATAAATAAATAAAATTAATTATATTGAAACAAGTTGTCAACAGGGAAACTCAAAACTATGAAGCCAAAATGATGATGTTGAACACCATTTAATTTTTATTAATCACTGGTAATACTGGTGGCACTTTGGATCCTAGTAATGGGATTTTTAGATCTTAAAAATTATAGTCATACATATTTAATCCTATATAAGCACTCTTAAAATCTACAATTCATTATTCTAAAAAAGTCATGCAGTTCAGTAACAATTATTTACTAAGTACTTTATGCTTCATCATTGGTAAGGATATAAAATATGTTTATCACAAGGTCACTTTTTCAGTGTTTGATTTTGTAAAGGCACTACAAGACTATCTAATTCACGCTTGTGACCGGTTTCTGAAAGCCAAACATGGAAACGAGATTCCACAAGTTTCTGAAAATCTTTTCTCTGTTCTTTTGACAATCCCGACTCTTTCACTGTTTTCTGCCAAGAATCTATTTGCTTCTGACGTTGACTTATGGCTTTTTGATACTTTGGAGGCAAGGGCAATGGAATACTCCTCGTCTTTCCCTCAATTTCAAAAGGAACATTGAAGGTGAAGAAATCTTGTGTAGACAGTGTTTCCCAGACTGGGGTAGTGTCCTTATGATCTGGACCAATACAGAGGGGTTGATCCCACAAATTCCGACTGACTCCTATGCCACTTTTGGACATCTGTTCCTCCAAGGTTCCAAAAAATGTGTGATAAGGGGCCAGTGTTATTGATTCATTGCCACCTAAAATGACAGGTCGATTAGGAGTGAGGAGATGTAAAGTGCATGAGGTACTTCCACTGATCATTACATTTCGAGCCACAGAAATCACTGTTAAGTTCTCGCAGTGACTGATATATAAAGCAATTTCAATAGGTCCCAATATCACAGTACTGTTACGACACTTTTCAATGGTGACTGACCTAAGAGGTGATAAAAGATACAAATAGGAATAATGGCTTCTGTGAATTTTAACACTGCTTCCTTCCAGTGTGCCTGAACTCCTTGCGATGGTCTGCTTGCTGACTTGACTCATAATGATAATTTTGTTTCCTCTCACTTGCTCTTTAGGAACAACATGTGCATTGGTTGCTATTTTGCCTCTCTTTGTTGTTGACTCTGCCATTGCCTCCTTATCCTCTCCAGCCATTGGCCAAGACAGGCGACGCCCATTAGCTATACAGGAAGATATTCCAAATGGATTCTGAACCAAAGAATCTTTAAGCCAGGTGCTTAATTTACGTAAATTAAAAGTCCTTGTCATTTTAGAAAAACCACTCTTGTGTTGAACAGTCTGTAACGTAGCAATGTCTTGTAATGGGACTAAAGAACGACATTTGTCAATTGAGCCAGCGATAAGAAACCCCATAGCTTCCACAGCCTCTACAGTCAGTGCTGATTCAGCTGGATGGGTCTGGCTGTAATTTTCAGGTTCCACAAGTAGCTCCAAAATCTCCTGAATGTTGTGCTGAACAAATAACATATGACTGTGGTCATCCAAGGTTTTGTTGCCTCTTGGTGTGCCTCTTCCAGAGCCCTCTAGTTCCTGAGAATTCTTCAAACTTGGCCATTCATCTCCTGCTACTAATGAGGCTTTTAGGGAGACTTTGTGAAGTTGCTGAATGTATAGATACAAAACAAATTTCAGAGTGCCGACAGAAACTTGTGAACGAAGTTCATCCACTTCTGACTGATGAGTACACTCTGTAAATCGTTGATCCCATTCCACTCTTTCAATGGCTGACAAGTCCTCACTTAAAAGATGACAAGTTGAAAAATATATCCATGCCAAGTCCTCTGATAAGTGTAATTTGTTGCAAGCAATGTGTCTCCACACTGAATAATTTAATTTAGGAAATCCAGAAGACCCTTTGTTTTTTGCATATATCACAATCTTCTTCACATTATTATATGCTAGTCTTGGATGAGGTGCAATAGGAAATGCTCCATAGCTAAAAGGTTCAGATTTCACCCATAGGCTTGGGGTAACTTCAGTTCTAGTCTGCATGTCGGAGAGTCTACATTTGGTCAAACAATCTGTTAAAAATAATTGTGTAATTTACAGAAAAGTCATATCTTTATAAAAAGTACATGTACTAAAAGAAATTGAAAGATCTTTTTAATTTTGATTATCTGAACTTATCAAAAATACACCATAATACAGCTTTAAGGCATTGAGAAAATTATATTGTACAAATGTGTAAATACTGAGCTTATCCATCTCATTTTCAACATTAGGGTACCTTGCACTTAAATCCAGGAAAAATGTTTAGAGATAATGAAGTATTGGTGAACAGAAATGACTACTGTTCACTTATGTGAAGAAAATCTGTCTGTATCTGTATAGTGTATATTGTAGAACACAAGTATTTTTTTTTTTTTTACAACGGTAAAGTGTTCAATTAATTTATTTTGGCTTATTAGATTTTAAAAATGCTCGATTAAAAATTGAGTAAAACATTGTAGATGTCAATTTCTTTTATTTTAGTTCTAGGGGCAGATTATCTAATTGCATAAAAATACGACAGAATCAGAACTCTTTAGCAGGTTGGGCACAGTTCCTTTTTTGGGGAAGTATTACTATAAAACGGGATTATTCCTCTTTTCAGTAATAAAAAACATTACTGTATACGGGAATTTTTACTCGTTTACCCTCTATTCTCGTGTTTGCTTTGAATAGAAGATTAAGTGCAAGAATATTTTCACATCCTCTAAATATTTATAGTCTGTTAAGTGTATGTATGCTCAAAACTACAATATTTATCACTGCAAAATGCTGAAAAAGAGTGATGAAATATTTCTACGATATAAATTTCTTACGGAAGCTTATCTATGTTAAAATTGTGAGATTGAATACGTTCAGCACTTGATAACTCGTTCATTAAATTATTCGTTCTAATTTAACTTTATATCATTTCTTTCAAAGACATCGTAAAAATAATTTTTTATACCACTGCCTCTTTTACAGATGAAAATAAGTATTTGAAATATTAAATTTTAAAACATAGTCTTTCAAAGATGGTTTTAGCATGAATGCTCTTATAAGATTCCATACTTTTCGTATCATTTATCAACAGGGAAAATTAAAGTAAAAGTCGTGGATTACTGCTGCACATGAGTTTAAATTCCTATGCATGTTCAAAAGATGTCACCTCCACGAAACCAAGCTATGAAATTTTCCGTTCTTGAACAAATAATAATATAACTTATAAGGGAAATATTCACATCCGTTTGAAGAATACTCATGATGTCGTACGATTAAATCTCATCTTACTCTCGTCTGCAGCACTAAAGGATCGAAATATTTTGTCAGCGAGGTTGGTTTAATAAAGTTTAAACATACCATGTCGTATTTTTAATGCACTTTTTATTTAATAAACGGATTTGGGGCATTATTTTAAAAATATGACGAAAATTCCTGTATACAGTAATGTTTTTTATTACTGAAAAGAGGAATAATCCCGTTTTATAGTAATACTTCCTCGAAAAAGGAACTGTGCCCAACCTGTTTAGTGTGTAGTGTAGAGAGAGTTCTTCATAGTTTATTTCTGAAAATTGTTTTTAAAATATATATATTATAAATGATGGTACAAAGCTTTCTCGCAGATATTGTGTTTAACCTAAAAATAATTGATAGATAATACTGAAATTTCTAGGAAGTTTCCATACAACAATGAATCAGAAGTTAGCAAGGTTATAATAAATACAATGTTTATGCACATTTGATATGCATATAAAACTATAGTATAGAACAATAATTGTTGCGGAATCCCGAATGTTGCATAAACATATAAACCAATGACGATTTTCTGAATTTAGTAATCTCATTTTTTACCTTTTTTCATACAATTTCTTCATTTTCATTCAATTTTTTCGTGCTACAACATGACAACAAAAATTCATTCAATGTTTGTTATGCGCATAATTTTCACTGTTTAAAACATTATCTTTCAAACGCTTCAGCGATACAGTTATTATTGGGTGCGTCGATTTACCCAAATGGACCCAAATGGACAAAATGGAACCCAAATGGACCCAAATGGAAACACAAATGGACCCAAATGGAAATCAAATGGACCCAAATGGAATATTAAATATATATTATCGTATTCTCAAGTTGTTACTTATTCAAAATGATGAAAATAATAAACTTGCAAATGGAAAATATTAATTATTCATTTCTAATATTGTATTTTAAAATAGGAATTATTTTTTTTTTCTATTTGAAATAACTTTTGCATATCATTGAATACAAAATGGAAGTATTTCATATTAAAGTTTATAGATTTCATGGTCATAGCAACCGGGGGGGGGGGGGCACGAGAGAGGCGCACCCCCCCCCCCCCCAATAACCAAAAATTTTGCCGATGTATAGAATACTATAGAAAATTAATTCGTATTTTAAAATACAATATTAGAAATGAATAATTAATATTCTCCATTTGTAAGTTCATTATTTTTCATCATTTTAAATAAGTAACAACTTGATAACATGATGATATATATTTAATATTCCATTTGGTTTCCATTTGGGTCCGTTTGATTTCCATTTGGGTCCATTTGTGTTTCCATTTGTGTCCATTTGGGTCCATTTGGGTAAATCGACGTGCCGGTTATTATTTGCTAACTCAAACATAAATGCATTCGTTATTCTTGTAATTCTCGGGATCGGGATTCTCTTGGTTTGTTTACATCACACGTTGCAGTTGAGTAATTTGAGGATGAGGATATTTTAAAAAAACGATGACAAGAAAACGGGAATCCTTATGTAGAATGTGAGAAATTCTATGCTTTTTTCAGGATGTATGAGACATTGACAAATAAAGTCGGAGTACGTATGTTCAGAGACTTATATACTAACTTAGTATATAGGTCCCTGGTATGTCGTCAGTTAACATTTAATATTTTAACAGGTTGGACCAATGGGATATAATAGCCCGTTTGGGATATAATATCCCTAATGGGATATTAACTTACAGTGCAAAAAAATGAAGATTTTTCATTTAGATATAAATATTATAAATTATAAAATCCACTTCAAAATACTTTAAAAGCAATAACTTTTGGTTAACAAGTTTTTCTGTATTCCCACTGTTTAGGAAATTGATCCCTTGGAAGATCCTAACCTTCTTGGGGATCAATCTCACAAACTGTAGGGTTATAGAAAAACTTGCTTGCCCAAAGTTATTGCATTTAGTTTATATTTTTGCGGATTTACAGTATTTATGGCCAAAATAAAATTTTCATTTTTTGCACCATAAATATATATCCCATTTGGGATATTATATCCCAAACAGGCTATTATATCCCATTTGGGCGATTGGTCCCAACCTGTTTAACATTATGGTTATGTCTCTGGCCTCACCACATTGGGAATAGGTCAAGTCATTTTCTGTTGTTTTTTTTTATGTCTTAATACCCTTTTCTTGACAAAACATTCTAGATGAAACTGTATCAAATACATTTGAACCTTCGGTATCTTGAACACTGACATCTGGAATACCATGGCATGGATATGTCGAAGTGATTTTGAAGTCCCAATCGCTTATTCCTTAAGTATTTTACTCTGGATATCTCGAACCCTTGGATATCTCGAAGTATTTTCTTGGTCCCATCAGGTTCGAGATAACGAAGTTTGACTGTATATAGAAAGTATGTTAGCACTATTTGGTTAAACTTCTTATTAATTCAAAATACAATTTAGGAAGAAAATCCTTTGGCTTAACCATCACAGACAAAATATGCATGCTGCTATCACAATTATATGTCATCTCTGTTTCAGATGAAGTAACTTGGAAAGTTGCAGAAAAAAATCGTTGTTAACAATGGCGGGACAATTCAATTGGCCACATGTGCTGAACTTGAGTAACAGCATCATAGGTGTCACTGTCCTGGCCATGCCATTTTGTTTCCAACAGGTGGACAGTCATTACTACATAGAAGTTGTATCATAATTTTGATTTGTATGAGTTTGTGTTTTAACTATAGTCTTTCCTGTCACTCCATCTTTTTTACTAGGTTTTATCTCTCTGTAGTAGACTGTTATGATGACTGATTAGATTAAGCAAAAATGGAGCTCAAGTTATTGCTATATATAAATTTTAATCACTGTCATTGATTGAGTCCTACTACCAGGTATTTATTATAGTTATTTGTTCTGTATTACATGTCCTTGCTATGCTCACCATGAACAAATTTGTACTGTTTACAGTGTGGGGTAGTGTTAGGAACATTGATGCTGTTTTTCTGTACATGGTTAACCCTGATGTCCTGCAGGCTTCTCATAACTGCTGGAATTTCCTCCAGGAAACGATCCTATGGATTCCTAGGTTTGATTTCAGTCATCATTTCCCAAGCTCTCCCAAAGTATGGACTAACTGTTTTATCATTAAATTAAAATGATGTTGTTCATCAGACCCAGTCTAGTAAGGTTCTGTCCTCGGATTATTCCAACTTCAGGGACACCTGTCCTAGATTTTGATTACATATATGACTCAAAATATTTTTTACATGAAAAAATATTTAATAAATGTATGTAATTTTCTTTATTGCATTACAGCGCAGTATACCCATGGGGCACCTGGAAAGCTGGCAGTTGAATTAGGGTAAGTGGATCTTAATAAAATTGTCCCATTGATGATCTTTTTTTGACAGAGAGATATTTGTAAGCAGTATTTCTTAATTAATCCTATTCCTGAAACAGTTCCATCATATCTTTTCTGGATTTATAATTTAATAAAGTATTCTTTTCCTGATCTTTGTGGCAGAATGATAGGGCTCCAGATGGGAACTCTAGTTGCCCAGGTGGTGATTATAGGAGATCTAGGACCAGCCATCATATCCAAGTGGACAGGACTATCAGTATGTCTTAATATTTGTTGACTTATCAATTCATTCATGTAAAGGGACTTGTTAAGAGCTATATTGAAAATTTAAAAAACAAATGTGTACAAGGGTTTATCCAAAAGTGACTTTAAATGTTCATTTACTTCAAGTTACATGTATATGTACACTGTACATTGATATAAAATGCACACAGTTTAATCCTGTTTGCCAGAATTTCATTCTTTCAGTTTCGATGTTCCATTTCACTTAAGGGGATGTACAGTAAAATTGTCCTTTCTGGCCAACACTAGTTTCTTAGAAATTTGCCTGATTAGACAACATTCCGGATTAGACAACATTTTAAACAATTAAATTCACTTAAAGGAACTAAAGGTTTCATTGTAATAAACAAGATTTTGAAACATACAATATCTGGATTAGACAAGTTTGAATGTAACAGCATTACAGGTTAATTACTGAATGACAACGTAATGTCTAGATCTCTTAATAGATTATTTGGTCAATAAAATACAAATTTCGCTCAAATCATAAAAAGTTTGATAGATAAAACAAGCTATTCCACTACAGTTAAACATTGAAATTTAATTGACTTCACATTCCAATGCTGTTAAGAAAACTATTTATCAAATGAAAATTATTCCCATGTGGGATTGTATAATACACTGTATGTTAGTTTTTAGAATAAATTCTCATTCTGCTTATGGGAATTAAATTATTTAACTTCTAGAACACCAACAACTTGCGTACTGCCCTGATAATGTTGGCCTGTACCTGTATTGGTCTGCCCTTGGGCCTCCTGCGGAATCTAGAGACTGTCAGTAGAGCCAGCACCTTTTGTATTTGCTTCTATTCCATGTTTGTCCTCTATGTAAGTATTATTCGTCTTCCATTACTTTAGTCTGCAATGGCCCTCATCATCAGATGTAATGATTAAAGCATGGATCTTATTAATGTTAAAGTAGAATGACCAATGACTCTCAATGCTTTGAGAGTATAAGATTAACTAAGTAACTGATTATGGTCAAATCTTATTTAATCTTTATAAAACAGTTGTTTTTAAGGGGGAGGGGCATCATTCATATTGTACAGTACAGGATGAGTAGAAGATAAAGAAAGATATAGAATTATTCACATTTTTTTCACCAATATTTAAACGTTTTACATCTGAGCTATGAACTCTAGAAAGAAGATTGCCTTTGCTACATAATAACAGAAAATGAATTCATTAAATGGAACATAAATAAAATGATAGTATTTTCAATACAGGTTGTTGGATTGTCTGTTCCTAATCTGAAGGCTGGAAACTGGTATGAAAAAGTCAACTTCTGGAGAGTGGATGGCCTGTTTAAATGTTTACCAATATTCTCCTTTGCTTTTGGATGTCAAACGTGTGTATTGAGAGCAATTTCCCCTTTCTCCTCCTCTTGAACATATACTAGACTCAATGTTTTGCTTCACAGTCATAGAAATTCTTGTATATAAGAATATGAGTAAGTGCATCATTGCATTACATGTATATTGATTTTGTATCTGTATTGTATTTTTTTGATTTTCAGACAGCTGTTTATTCTTTATGATGCCCTACCTGAACCGTCGCTGAAGGAGATCAGTGCCATTGTCGGTAGTGCAGTTAACATGTGCACTGTAGCTTATTTACTGGTAATGAGATATTGTAATTTAAAAAAAAAAGTTGTAATAACCTATTTGTAAAGAGGAGATATATCTATACTTTTTTTTTAAACTTCTAGGTTGGTTTCTTTGGCTATGTTGCATTCTGTGATACCACAATCGGTGGCGATGTCATCACCCAATTTTCAGAAACTCTTGTCGTGGATATTATACAGATTCTGTTTGTCCTATCCATTGTTGTCTCATTTCCCCTCATCATTTACCCATGTCGAGGAAGCTTCTACACTCTGCTGTTTGCTCAGGTTGGTATAGAAAGTAGAGTCCTTGAATCCCACTACACCTTTTGTATAATATACACTTACCTTTGTTTTGCTTCAGACTAGAAGACTAGAATGATGGTCTGTCATTGGATAACAGACATTACATTGCCTGCTATCAATATTTCTTTTGATGGCAAATAGCAAACTTTGGACGGCAAATAAAACATTGTTATTTCATTCATATTTACAGAAAAAACAGTGCTAGCATTATTTTTTGCATTTTCACACTTTCAAACAATTTAGCCCATTTTATATTCTCCCAGACACGGTTGTATTAAAAAGATAATACTGTTTTCTTTTAATTCATGACATCCCATTTTGAATTTGCCCATGTGCAACAATGGCGATAGGGGGCAAAATTAAAACGGGGGCAAAAATTTCCCTTTATACAGTACATGTATTGATATTCTATTTATGCTATACACAAGAAACAATGTAAACTTGTAAGTCACTCTTTTATTAAATATATTTACTTCAGTGATTGTGCATGATTTTCAAGCTACATATGCAGGGAGATATAAATGTTTTCTTTCCTACAGAAGCCAAAGCATGAGGACATTGAGTCTCGGCCCATAATTCCAGAGATTCATTTTAAAGTCATCACTGTGTGTATTGTAATGTTTGCCATGATAACAGGAATTCTAGTCCCTAATGGTAAGAACAAAAAATTACTGATATAATGATATACATGTATTATTGTCAAATCTATTAAAAGTTTGTATTTCTTATTTCTTATATTTATTTCTTACTGTTTAAGAATATACATTGTCTAAGAATTTATGAGTAATGTTTAGAAATGAACCAATTATTCATGTACATGATTGTGTTTCCCCTTAATGTGACAGTTTTTTTAATTTTAGTTGAGTTTGTACTTGCAATGAATGGAGCTACAATGGGAACATTAATTTGTTACATATTTCCCGCTGTTTTCTTTCTAAGAGTCATGACTGGATCATCAGACAAAAAGAACATTGCTCAGGTACACAGGAAACATTACGCAAATACATAAGGAACAAATTGAGGTTTTGTTTTCTTGTTAATTATTGATGATATTGATGGCTTAAACCACTTTAAGCATGTCTTTGTGATGCAGCTTTGCATGGTAAAGTGATTTTGAAAAGAAAATAGTTGATGCCACTGTGCATGCTAACATAAAAGTTCTTCATCAAAATTTGATTAATATCACAGACATACCCTCTTTTTATAGTAAAACTATATCCTAATTAATAAATATCCATTTTATTATCATTGCAGTTTGTTTTTATTGTTGGCGTTACAATCATGGTTCTGTGTACCTACACGACACTGAATTCTCAGGACCATGTCAAACCAAAGCCAGTCATCACAGATAAAGCCACATTGGCACCTAAACAGAGTATCAAGTCACAGGAGAAAATCAAGAAAGATAACCCTGTTATAAACGTAATCAAGAAGAGTGCTGATCAGGTCAAAGGTAATCAAGACAAGATGTTCTATTTCAGTAAAGATTGTACGTATAGTCAATTTACTATACATACAGTTGCTTCTTATTGTTTGATAATATACCAGACCTGTTTACTCTTACGATTTCGCCGTATTTTGTACGGATTTTGAGTCCAAAATACGTCTCACGTTTTGCTTTAATGAAAATACGGAAATCAGAAATCTGTTTGTTTGGATTTCAGCAGTTAGTTTTCATAATGATCTGTCTCAGTTTGACGTTTTTTAATCACAAAAAAAGAGAAAGATTTCAAACACTAATGTGATGTCAAGTTGCCGAAACGCGATGGTTTAAAAAATGACAGAAACCCCTCGAAAGAAAGCAAGGTATGATGTTTTTCTGTTAGTAAACAATGCTTTGGTAATCAGAATATAGTTGTTCTCTAGTAATATGTGTAAAATCGATGGAAAGTGAAATCTTACGGGCAAATATCAAATCTCACTGACAAATCTAATACAAAATACTGAGAGACAACAATATGGGTAAACAGGTCTGATATACTTACTTTCTTACATTAATACGTTATTATCCTATACATACACTTGTTCTTAAGACATACATGTGATATGTACCGGCAGTACGCAAAATGTACCGTTTTTTCGAGCCCATTCATCGTGTACCCACGGGACACCAAAATTCACGGAATATGAAAATTTGTACAGTATTTTGAATTTCTCGCTAAATGCTGCCATTTTCCTCTCATTATCTCTCGCGAGACACTGGAAAACGTCACCTGTGTTTGACACTTGACCTGATGATAATTATGTAGTGTATACAAACCATCACATGTGAAGGTGTGAACTGCCAATTTGGATAATTATCTTGCTATAAATCCGTATCAAGATACCCCTTTAGATAGCTTTATTTTTAAAGGGGTACTTCAATTATAAATGTTAATATTTCGTAACTTGATTGAAAAAAATTGAGCCAACTTATAAAGTGGATATACATGACTTAATATACATGAATCTGACCCAGATCTCCATAGGTATAAAATATACGATGTTTATTACCATGATTACGCTGAAATAAAGGATATAGTTTTAAGTTTTTGTGTGCTGAAATTTATGTATGATTGTATTTGCTGCTGTTATATAGCATTGGTGATGTATATATCAGTAATATGAACATGATGTAAATTGGAGACATTGACTCTCACGTTAATACTATATAAAGCTGGTAAACAAACTATCATCTAAACTAGCTTAATTTATAGTCGATTAATACGAACATTGCGATTATAAAACACAATATATGAAATTTTAAAGCATTGAAATCTCCATTACAACTTTTAAAATAAGACATTTGCAACAATATATATTTGTTGGTTTAGAAATAAGGTGCCTTATCAAAAGAATTTAAGCGATATTTTATACCATTTTTTGATAGGCAGTGTACAGTTTTTTCACCCAATTTCCAGTTTTTTTATGGCTCCTGTACAGTTTTGTGGTCTTTGACTTATCACATGTATGTTAAGATAATGTACAGTAGTTTTCATATGATAGATATTTACATGTAAAAAAAAAATATTATAGATAAAGATAGAAGAGTGGACCCACCAGACAAGGATAGTAAAAATAAGTCACCACCTGAGGCTGATAAAAGACAGGAACCACCAAATCCCCACCCACCTGACAAGGGACCAGTAGAGGTAAAGTCAGTAGCCATATCTAAGTGTAACTGTATGGCCGGGTAGGAAGTTAATTTATCTCTTGGTTATATTAATCCAGGGGGCACTTGCTACTGCCCCTACAGCTGTCATAGAGAGAATCTATAAAGTATCTTTATATCAATTGGAAAAAAAATACAAATCAACAGAACTATTTTGAGAAAATGTTGTGTTTTATGGTAATTCATGTCTAAGTGAAGTTTTAGACATCCATTAGTACCATCCTGTCATAGGTATTAGAGTCAGTTAAAGCTGTAATAAAATGTTCTTTATAAACTGTCATTTACAAAGTAATTAATTGATATGTAACTAGTCCAACTATGTGATATCTTAACTCTGCTTCAATAATGTTCTGCAAAATTCTTAAACCTACAACTGATTAATAACATGTTTAAATTTTTAAAAATGATATCCGTGGTGTATCGCTATTTATGATATATTGATCATTGTTTTGCTTTTTTGATGCATCTACTTTTGATTTCACAGAATATGATATGACATTGCGGAACACCACACATGGTTATCTGAGTCTTTATCACCATTCTGAAACTTTTTGCACAGCACACAAAAATCGTTTTCACTGTATCCTCTTTCTTCATTTTGTCATTGATGCTTTCACGGGATTTTAATGCAGGTGCCAGAATGACCAGTTATACCACTATAAAACACCAACAATTAGTTTTTGCAAGGCACATAAACTACATCCATTTCTTAGATTGGTGGCGTCGACAGTCAAAGCCCAGATCACATGACAGTTTAAATTATTCTTTCTTCTAGAAAAGAATAAATTATATGAAAAATCACTGTATGTGTATTTTTCAACTTTCAGGTGAATAATAGTCATAAAGAAACTGTGAAAGAGACAAAAGCAGTGAAACAGACAAGCACAAAACTGGTAAAGGAGAGTAGCAAGGGTAGTAAAAGACAAAAACAAAGAATTAAAACCAAAGAGGAGGGTCCAGAAATTGTCCTCAGGGAGGAAAAAAGGAAGAAGGACACAATGGAGGGAGACATAGTAGGCGAGGAACCTGTCCGAGGAGAGGAGGAGGTGGACGGGGGAGAGATGATGGAGAAGGCCAAAGAAACAGAACAAAAACAGCAAGATCTACTGGACGAATTAAAGAAACAACAGATAGAGCACAAAAAACTGATTGAGGAGCAGCGAGAGATTCTCAAGGAGCTGAAGGAACACAAAAAAGATGCCCATAAAAAGGAGGAGGGAGCAAAGGTAATAGGTCAAATGTCATGTTATTTATCCTATATTCTATAACTTAAGTATGTAAGTACTAGTGGATGCAGATTCAAAATTCTGAAAGTAACCTTTAATGTGTGCATTTACATAAAAAATTTGAAGAGAAGAGCTTATGGCAATACAGGGTCATTTTACACATTTAATTTATAAACCATCTTCCCATCTGAAAACATTACCATCATAACTTTCCCTCAACCTTCCACTTAAATCTAAACCATAAAAATACTGGCCTCACTGGATTAGAAATAAATTTAGAGTTCACTGTAAAATGATTATTTTTTTCTTAATCCTTATCTCAGTATCTTATATGGTTTTTTTTCTTGTCTTTTTTCTTGAAAGCAAACACAGGCACCTTTAAATAATGGAGGGCATATTGAGAACCAAAATGCAGGACCACCTAAAATGAGAAATGTCATAACAGGTATAATTCCTCAGCAACATCAGAACATTCCAGCACAGGCTCAGGTAGTAGGCCAGCAACAGATCCTACAAAATGTGCAACAGCCTCAAGGTCAACAACAGCAAGGTGCAGAAGGACAAAATCAAGTGAACCAGCAAGCTCAGCAGGTGAACTTACCTGGTCAAAGTCAGTTAAATCAACAGCCCCAGCAAGTCAACCTACAAGGTCAAGGTCAGTTAAATCAACAGCCTCAGCAAGTTAACCAACAAGGTCAAGGTCAGTTAAATCAACAGCCCCATCAAGTCAACATACAAGGTCAAGGTCAATTTAATCAACAACTGAATCAAGGCAAAATTAATCAAGGTCAGCAGTTAGGTCAAAATTTCAACCAGCAGCCAATACACAATGATAACTTCAACATTCCTAATCAGCAATCTGACGTGAAACAAGCACATGCTAGGAAAGAAGGAGACAAGCAGGTGGTCGCTCAGGAATCTAGACTTTCTGACAGTGTGCAGAATAAAATAGGTGGTCCAAAGACAGCTGAGAAAAGTCAGAAAACAGTAGAAAAGAAGGAAGGGAAACTAAAAACTCCTCATTCTGATATCTAGAATTACATGTACAGTATCTGTTCATTTATTTTTTTCTATAACTGCAAATACTGTAACTGTATCCTGTTCAAGATGTCATGTATGAGATTCAAATGTTATAGACATATTTTGGTGGGAAAATGTACAAATGTATGTTATTAAGTCAAAAAGAATAATATAATAATCAGACTATTTTATACAGTTTTAAGTACATTTATTTATTATATGTGTAATAATGAATACATGTACATGTATTCTTGATAATAAGTGTCATTAAACATTACCTCATGGGAATGTTGTTGTTTTCCTACGTAATGTACTAGTATGACTTAGTGGCCTGGCCCCTGTGATTGTAACTGTTATTGTGGAAGTGTTCATCAATTATATTGTATTTGTTGCAAGTACTGGACGAATGCAAGGAATTTTCTTCTTTTTTTTATCTTTGAGTATGATGTATGTAATTGTATATTTTAATGTACATGTATGGTTTAGTTAAAACTCTCCATGTAGTCTGAAGTATTCACAGTAAAAATGTACACAAGTGATAGCCAATGAAAGACATATATATTTTTTAAGACCCTTTGTGATACTTATTTAATGGGTGTCCTTGAAATTATCACTCAAATATTGGATTTTTCTTAACGTGGTTAGTTGGAGACCCACATTTTGTGTGTCTACAACTTTTTTTTTTTGAAAATACCAATGTGGAAAAAAAGTATTTTTTGAAAGCTTTCTTTTTTTCTGAAGTATACCAGTTGTATGCTTATCACAGCTTTTTTATTGGGATGCTATCACCTGTATTGAACCTATTGCTTGGTAATGATTACCGGTAGCTACACTGTGTTTTATTAAGGCTATTTAACATTTCGGAACCATTTTGGTGTTTGAATTAGAAAGTGAAATAACTGTATTTAACAAGATCCTTATCTGGCTTTGTAGTTGGTCAGAAAATTTAAAGTGCAATGTTGTCTTGATATGTGTGATATTCTTAAAGAGAATTGAGTAAAAAATATACCTTTTAGAAGAAATCTCTCCTCTCAACCCAAACCCCCAACACTTCAAAATACCATTATTATTTTAAGACTTCTTGGCATAAGAACATCATGTTAAATTTGTGTATTGATACTTACATGTACATGAAATATTGGAAAATAATATCCAAGTATACTTTTTACATCAGCTAACTTGTACAGAAAAAACGGCAGATTTTTCCAAGTTAGTCTTAAAATCTATAGTAAGAATTCATCTGTCCATACACTTTCAAACATCTTCCAAATTTTTGTGTTTCAAAAACTTGATGAGTTTAATAATTTAACCAATAAAGAGCTTTTTTTTGTATTTCTTTCAGTACAAATTGGTATATCGCTTGTAAATTGTTATTTAATACTTTTGTATCAAAGTAGTAACAAGAAAAAGAAAACCAAAGTATATTCTTTTTATGGTTGGCAAAGAGATAATTAATTCTCTTCAAATTGAAGTCATGTGTATTTGAATATACATTTATGAGATCTATTCAGTTAGTGTTTCATGATGTGTAGCTATTGTTCCTTATCAGATGGAGGACAGTATGTAAGATTGTTAAAATTTAACTATTAAAATTCATTCTTTTTATTTATTTTTATTGAAAATAAATGGTACTAAACTGAAGTTTTTTTCAATGTTTATTTAGGACTATTTCAATTCCTTGATTTGTCAACTTTACTACCCTTAGGCAGTCTGTCTGTCTTTCAGTGCCCTGCCCCAGGATCATGAAACAGACTCGAGTCAAATTTTCAATCACCTGTAAGATGTTAATTAATTATACCCCCGATCCAAAGGAGAGGGGGGTATACTGTTTTACCCTTGTGTGTCTGTCTGTCCATAACAAATTTTGGTCGCAGTTTTCTCAGCAACTACTCATTGCAGACGCTTGAAATTTTAGCACACTCTTTGTTTAGGCATGCCATATGGTCGGATTCATTTTTGTATGAATCCGATGTCAACTTCCTGTTTGTTCATGTGTCTGTCCATACCATACATAACAAATTTTGGTCGCAGTTTTCTCAGCAACTACTCATCGCAGATGCTTGAAATTTTAGCACCCTCTTTGTTTAGGCATGCCATATGGTGGGATTCCATATGGTGGGATACAAATCCGATGCCAACTTCCTGTATATCCGTGCATCTGTTCGTACCATACATAACAAATTTTGGTCACAGTTTTCTCAGCAACTACTCATGGCAGGTGCTTGAAAGTTTGAGACACTCTCTGTTTAGACATGCCATATGTTGGGATTCATTTATGTACAAATCCAGTGTAAATTTCCAGATTTTCACTGTGTCTGTCGATAACTGAACTTGTGTATTCACATTAGAGCGGGGGTAATATTAGTGAGCATCGGCTCACAGACTTCTTGTTATCATTTTAATCTCTAGATTTGCAGGTGATGCATTATTGAAAAATATTTTTCCTTGCACTGTTTGACTTCTACAACATTTCAGTACAACATAAAAATTTTGACTTAAGATGTTTCATGATTCCAGGCCTGGTTACTATTTAATAAGTAAGATTTGCTACCATTAACTGTTTGTGGTAGGAAAGGAGATGGGTGAACAAGGTGTGCGGAATGCCTGTAGCTTCAGATATATAAAAATCATATTCAGTTTGTGAATTTAGTATTCAGAGTTGGGCTATCTTTATTGAAATTTATGACTGATTGATTGATTGTATGTTGTTTTACGTCCCATTCAAGAATTTTTCACTCATATAGAGACGTCATATACTCACTCATATAGAGGGCTTCAAATTTTGACTTTTACTGGGCACTCAGGGCCATTGAGCAGTGAGGGATCTTTATCGTACCAACGCCTGCCGTGACACGGGGCCATGGTTTTTAAGGTCTCATTCAAAGGACCCGCAATTTTCACTTCAAAGTGCCGAGCACATGGCGAAGGAACCAGTTGCTACCCATTTTTTTATCGACTTAGGTTAGTCACGGCCGAGATTCGAACTCACGACCTCCCGATCACGAAGCGAGCGCTCTACCGACTGAGCTACCGTGAACGGTCTGAAATTTATGAAATTATGATAAACAAAACTTGTCTGAGGAAAATTTTTCTTGGCAAAATTATTCTGTTATTAAAAAATATTGTGGTATTCGTGGGGTTGGAACCCTAGCAATAAAAAATCCTGAGTATTATTTTCCTTCAAGACTAGCACGCTAACCACTATGCTACACAGCTCCTGATGAATAGTGGCATTTAAATTATGTTTATTATATGACCTTTGACTAAATGGACTTCAAGTATTTCTCGGAAGATGTGAATGTTGTGTCATAAAAGTGTATTTTTAAGGTATAGTGGGTCTTTACTCCATGTTTTTGTTTTAATAACCAAAAAATGTACATTTTTTACACAAACTTTGAGGATAAACTCAAAAAAATGGAGTGAAGAGCTCATACCGGAAAATTGAGTTATAGGATGAGAATATGGTCCTTTTTGCCCTCTTTAGTGTGTGTATGCTTTTTCATAGGCAAATAATTTCAATCTTTGTGAGATCTTTGCAAATTTTGGAGATTTTACATAAAGTATAGTTTAATGTTGGATGAAGTATCAAAGAAAATTTTGTTATAATTGAGATTTAATTTTTCACCTTCATGTTTGTTGCACTATAGTCACTTCGCTCGCTCGCCTTGTTCGCCCATCTTCTTTTTCAAATCTAAGACAGCTAATTGTCCCTTTTTATCTTCAATTTCTTGTAATTATTCAAATTAATTCACCTTGTTTTAAAAATAGAATTTTTCTTTCTGACACAATACTCTCATTAGGAAAATGCTTTCATAACCCCCCCCCCCCCCAAAAAAAAACAAAAAAAAAACAAACAATAGCTTTGTAGAGCATGCTCTATGTATGTACAATTTCTAAAACGAAGTAAATTATTGACAAGTTGATGATACAAGAATATCAGCAGTCTCGTTTAAAGTCATCATTTCGTAAGTTCTATGGTCGATACAATGACCTGTCAGCAAATACAATTTATCTTTGAGTCAAATGCTGACTGACTTTTTTCATACTAATTGTTAGACCAGTATTTACACACTAAATTGTCGACGGATTTTTTCGTTATTTCCCGATCATGACAAGGAGCACATTGCGGGTGTGACCGGTCGGCAGGGTATGCTCACTCCTCCATGGCACCTGATCCCACCTCTGATGTTTTGGAGGTCCGTGTTTGCTCTGCTCCTATTTTGTATTGTTTGATGGACTTTTGAGCTTGAATACTGTTCGTTATCTCCATATACCGGGGTATTTCTTTTGTAGAAAAGGACATTTTCCAAAAAGGTAAATAACAAATGTAAGCCAGGCCTTGAGTTGATTACATTTCAGCTTTATATTAAAATTACATTGTGAAATGTTCTTTTACAATTATTGTTTTCTTTTGAAAGCATATGCATTTGTGGTAGTTGTAGAATATATGCATTTTAATTCTTTTATTAATTTTTGTTTAAGGTAATTCGGGACTTTCAATAATTTCTGTCAATCAAATATTTTTGTTTTTTATTTGAATTACTAAAACAAATAATAAGCTAACTTAAAAGCCCCTATCAGACCTAATTTTCGCATATTTTCATACAATGTGTCTCAGGGTACATAGCCAGCCCCCAAAATTTCTGCCCTCCTATATGCAAGTAAATCTTTTACAGATTTTGTTGACACGCAAGATAATTACCAGGTATGTCAACATTTAATTTATGTCAACATGCAGTATAAAAGGATGCGATTAAATAAAAAAAGGGGGGATAGACAAACTGTGCCCATTTGTGATATTTTCAGATACATCTTCGTTATGTCAAAATACAAGATAATTATATTCACATAAGAGATAAATATTACTTGGGGGAAGGGAGAGTTCATTACATCAAAATGAGTAGTTAAGAATAAGATTGGTACATTTCATACACAACTATAGTTCGCGTAGTATAGTTCGCCTGGCGGAGTACTAGTAACATTTGAAAAACATGTAGTTCGTCTGAGAGAAAGAAATAGTTTAAAAATACACTATAAAACTTTTCATAAAAGTTTTTTTTTGGTACATGATATGATATATATTTTAAACATGTTTTACTTGAAAATCATATCAGTTTCTATGTATATAGCCCACCTTTTTATGCCCCCGTATCGAAGATTCGGGGGGTATATAGTTTTTGCCCTGTCCGTCCGTCTGTCTAGCTGTTTGTCTGTCCGCAAAAACTTTAACCTTGCCCATAACTTTTGATTGGTTGGAGCTATGGCTTTCATATTTCACATGTGTATTTCTTGTGACAAGACCTTTCTTTGGGTACCACCATATTTGATCTTTTGACCTTCACCTTGGTGTTTGATCTAGTCTAGCAAAATTTTACCAAACTTTAACCTTGGCCATAACTATTGAATAATTGGCGCTAGGGCTTTCATACTTCACCTGTGTAATCCTTGTGACAATGAAGACCTTCCTTAAGATATCAACAACTTTGACCTTTTGACCTTGACCTAGGAGTTTGATCTACATTTGAAAAAAACTTTGACCTTGGCCATAACTTTTGAACGATTGGTGCTAGGGCTTTCATACTTCAAATGTGTAATTTTTGTGACACACCTATCTTTGGATACCAACAACGTTGACACTTTGACCTTGACCTTGGAGTTTGACCTATTTTTGAAAAACTTTAACCTCGGCCATAACTTTTGAACGGTTGGTGCGAAGGCTTTCATCCTTCACATAGGTAATCCTTGTAACAAGATCTTTCTTTGGATACCAACCACTCTGACCCTTTGACCTTGGAGTTTGACCTCCTTTTGGAAAACTTTAACCTTGGCCATAACTTTTGAACGATTGGTGCTTTGGCTTTCATATTTCACCTGTATATTTCTTGGGAGAAGGCCTTTCCTTGGACACCATTAATTTTGACCATTTGACATTGATGTTTGACATACTTTAAAAAAAAAAGTTAACCTTTTCCATATCTATTCAATGGTTGCTGCTAGGGCTTTCATATTTCAGAGATATATTCCTCGAGACAAGACCTTACTTTGGATACCAAAATATTTGATTTGCATTTGAGAAAGTTTAACCTTTGCTATAATTAAGTTGCCATACGGGGGGATCAGTGTTGCACAAACACATCTTGTTTTTTTTAGGTCTTCCGTCCGTCTTCTGTAGGTCTTCAAATACCTGTAAGTCTTCAATTAGGCAGGCCGTTTTAAAACGTTTAAAAAGACATACCACACCTATATACATAAACTAGTTTATGACGTGGTTTTTTTAGACGTGTTTTTTTTTAACTGAAAGTGTCAGAATCTTTATTTTAACAACTTTTAAGTGTATTTCAAGTAGATTCAAAATTCTTTTTTTTAAATTTATGTTACATTTAACAATCCGGAAGACAAGCCCCTATGGCTTGTTTTCCGGATTACAGGTTACAGAAACTTTCACTTTTGTCCTAAATGCAAATAAATATATTATTTGTGGGATTTTGATATGTGCTATAGCTAGAATTTAGATTTAAGTTCAACATTCATGGGTAAAAAAAATTATTATTATTCTTTAGAATGAAAAGCTATTGAGTGAATGGAATATTGATTTGAACGCTGTAGGCTAATTTTTCATTGCTTTTGCCGTATTAAGACTTGGCTGACGGTACGTTGCCACTCAAACATTGCTGATAACCAAAAATTGACAGTTCTTTTTAAATACTGGGCTATTTTCGCCCCGGGTTATTTTCGCCCTATTACACTTACAAACAATTTTGTCCCGTTTTAAATTCGCCCAGTCAGGATTCTATTTAAGAAAGTATAAAATTATACTTTTTTTTTTGCATTCACCCGGTCTTAAATTTACTCACTTTTGTCTAGGGCGAAAATAAAATGGAGGCGAAATTTCCATTGTATAACGTATGTTCCACAATGAAATGTATGGAGATAACGAACAGTATTCAAGCTCAAAAGTCCATTAAACATTACAAAATAGGTGCAGAGCAAACACGGACCTCCAAAACATCAGAGGTGGGATCAGGTGCCATGGAGGAGTGAGCATCCCCTGCCGACCGATCACACCCGCCGTGTGCTCCTTGTCATGATCGGGAAATAACGGAAAAATCCGTCGACAATTCATTGTGTAAATAATGGCCTAACAATTAGTATGAAAAACGTCAGTCAGCATTTGACCCAATGATAAATTGTATTTGCTGACAAGGTCATTATATCGACCACAGAACTTACGAAATAATGACTTTAAACGAGACTGCTGATATTCTTGTTTCATCAACTTGTTTGTCAATAATTTACCTGGTTTTAGAAATTTATTGTACATACGTAGAGCATGCGCATGCTCCACAATACGGCCAACTGTCCTAGTATATATACGTACTGAATTATTCATGGCCGTAGGAACCGGGGGGGGGCGTGCCCCCTCAATAATTTTGCCGATATATAGATTACTATAGTAAACATAGGTAGTATATGCTGGTGCCCCCTCAATAAAAACGTCTGATGACTTTTTTTTTTTTTTTTTTTTTTTTTTGCTTGTCAGGAAATTTTTGGTAGTGCCCCCTCAACTGTCAACTGAAAAATGTATGGCTGTGCCCCCCAAACTGAAATTGCTTCCTACGGGCCTGGAATTTAAGAAAATCCATGTTTGGATATCAATTTAATACACTTTATTTCTGTGTCTGTGTGAATTTATGAAGAAATGTTGTTAATAGACATATGTATTAAATACTAGTATATGTAATTAGACCATGGGCAAGGTTGGAAATATGCAGTTTACGTATATATATATATATACCCAAACATGAATCATGATCAATTGGTCGCCTCATTTTTATTTCTTTAAAATCAGGGACAGAAAATTCTGATTTATATAAATTTCAATTTATTCCGAAATGGAAATTATTTGTCTTGTGGATAAATCAGTAACACTGTGCTTACGAGCGTACGTGTGTAGCTTAGGTGGATTGAAAAATGAAATGTTTTCTCAGACGTCCGTGTCGAATGTCATTGTCTATAATCAAATAATTTGACTGTAACAGATGGAAATGACGTAAGTTGCATATTTCCAATCTTAATTGCCAGTTAATGTTCCGTGGTCTGCTCACGGGATCCGTTGCATTGTATTTTTACCACTGCTACACGCATTTATTCTCATTCCACAACTGCATTCCTTCAATTCTAAAGCGCAGAGATCACAGTGATAAATAAACTGCTTCAGAAAATAATGAAAAGTCCGTTTTTAAACACGAGAGTGGCAATGAACAGACGAAAACAAAATAAAAATAAGGTTATGTAATACACTTTAGGAACGTCATTCAAATATTGCATGCACATTTAAGAGATATTTCGAACTATGAAATGTAAATTATGGTATATAGTAAGAATGGTTATAATTCAATGTTTAATTGTTTTCAAATTTGCCAAATGAATAATATGAAATGAACACATGCTTACAATCGTACGAAAGCCTATTAGAATCAATCTATGGGTGAAAAAAAGAAATCAAAAGCATAATAACGCCTTTTCAAAAGGCATATTAACGCGAAAAAGGCGTAATAACGCGAAAAAAAATGTTATACTGCCTTTTCACTTTGAGTTATAACGCCTTTTGAAAAGGAGTAATTACGCCTTTTAGAAAGGCTTAATAACGATAACGCCAATAAGGGCATAATAGAGAGGTTGAGATTTTAAACTTGTACGCGTACGTGTACGAGTGTACAAACTTTGACGTACACGTACACGTTGTTTGAAATTTGTCTGTTGAGAAGTTGCGATTACACCGTGCGTATGAAAGTAGCTGAAGTAGATCAAAAAGGAATTTCACACTATTGTTTTGACTCTAACAGATGGAGATGACGTAAGCTATATATTTCCAATCTTGCCATTTAATGTTCCGCGGTCTTATTTATAATAATTGATAAATCTCTGCAAAAGTTGCTATTTGCATGGTCCTGTTCTACATTATTCCTTCAGTTTCAAATCTAAGGATAAATTTAGGATTTAATATGAAAATTCCTTTACTGATTTAACATTGAAGTGGTGTGTTTACTATTCTTAAGTTTAATTTTTTTTTTTTTTGACATCTAGAACCAAGTCAATTATTTTGTTCTGATTTTTACTTAGACGAGGACCAGCGAAATAGCGGTAAATTGCCTAGAAAAAGTTCAAGTGTGATATCATTCTTGAAAGAAAAAACAGAAACTGAAAAACAATCCCGAGATGAGGAATTGTCACTTCGTCGAGAGCAGCTAAATTTGGAAAAGGAGAGATTCGAGCTGGAGAAAAAGGAAAGGCTCCAAAGACTGGAGGCTGAAAAGCAGCAGACGAAAATGATGTTAGAACTTTTTTCAAAATGTTTAAATAAATAAATAGATTATTTTAGCATTTAGCTAGCTTTTTACGAAATGTTTAAATAAATAAATGGAATATATTATAGCATATTAGCTAGCCATGTAATAAGATACAATGTAAATGCGAAAACATTCCTTGGTGTTTTTAAAATATTCAAGAAATCAATTAAAAGCATGACAATGAAAGAATTTTATGTATTTCAATATACCTAAAGTGTTTAAACTCAATTAAGCTTTTCTACAGGCTACTTTAGAAGTTACTAGAAAAACTCAACACAGATTTTTGTCATAAGACCAGGTTAAAATTTACCATGTAACGGTTTGTGAAATATACAGCGATATCAATAACATACACCCGTACTTTATGACATGTATTCTTCAAGTGTAGGAGGTGGAAGATTAAAGTACTCGCTCGTAACACTACCATACAAACAGGTGTGACAATTAGTGAGTAATGACGCTACCAGATAATACTTAGCCACAGGTTGTAAAAATAGTTTCTGATTTTTCTTATAGTCAACGAAAGCGAACAGAGAGAGGATTTTTCCAAATGTCCACTCAACGCTGGAACGGAGCTTTGACATTCTACAGTTAAATATTCTTTCCTGGTTGCTGAGAACAGCTCCTTTGAAAGGTGTAATAAGGTGCACACGCAAAGGATAAGCAAGGTCGCCGTAAAGAGAGAATACTGTACCATCGTTCATTGTCATGCGTTGTTCAAGTTTCGGCATTAGTTCACTCATTCTTAGCATGGCAGAATCATGGCGCTTTGCCTCTATAGGGCCATACATATTTGCAATTAAACCATTTGGTATCACTACAGACTGAAATTTTAAGCCATGTACCCTTTTGTGTCCACTATAGACAAGGTTTTGGTTCGCGGAAGGTCTACATATCGGCCTTACTGTTCCATCTATGAAACCCCAGCAATTTGGAAGTGGTCCACCAATGTCTGATATGGCATCAGCGTACATTCGAAGGTGTTCTTCGTCCAACCAACTTTGATTTAGGTCACAAAATTTACCCGAATGTCTGTGGTACAAATAATCCAATACAGTGTTTGAAATGTATGAAAGCTCTGACTTCGAACGGTTAAACAATGGTTTCATGTCATCTAGTCTGTTAGGATAAGACAAGCGCCTAAGCAGTATCAAGACACCCTCTGTCGTAGATACCCGAGTACCATTTGGGCATACGAATTTGGATGGAAGGGACAATGCCTCGCATAGGCGAGAAATATCATTCTTCTGAAATCGAAAGAATGAATAAAACTCTTCCTCAGATAAATTGTCTAGATTTAGCTGTTGACTTTTTACATCGTCTTCTGTAACTGTAGACATAAGCAACACATCATCGTCTTCACATAAACAAGCAATTTCCAAAGCATCTGCCATTATTTACGGAAACGTCATAAACGAAAATGACGTCATTTCTGAAGACATTGAAAATAAAGTGCGCGAAATTCTTGTACACGTTCTTGTTACACGTCATTAAAATCTCAACAGACAAATTACAAAAACGTGTACGTGTACGTCTAATTATCTGTACACGTACGCGTACAAGTTTAAAATCTCAACCTCTCTAATGACGCGTAACATGAACGTGTAGACTGTAATCGGTGTCTCTGTTTCAACTATTTTGTAGTTACGTGAAATTAGTTTGACTTTAGTTAGTGGGCAAAACATGGTTAAAATAAGTGTTCATGAAACTCAACATCCTAAATAATTAACAACAATAACAGTTTCCCACTTAAATTGACTAGTTTTTACTGAAAAAGCTACAAGTTTACACCTACGTATAGATGCCTTTTTACAAGTTGTAGGAACGTGTAGAAAACTTATCATCCAAAAACTGATGACGTAATACGCGAGAAATTTAGGGAATTTCCCTACTAGACGTACACGTACACGTATGAAATCTCAACCTCTCTAATAACGCGAAAAAGGCGTAATTACGGCCTTTTTTAAAAGGCGTTATTTCGCCTTTTCAAATGGTGTTATTATCCCTTTACAAAAGGTGTTATTTCGCCTATTAAAAAGGCGTTAAAAATTACGATTTCTCTTGGAAAAAAGCAGGCAAAATATTTGCATGGGTATAAAGTGCAATTAGCCTTCAACCAAAATTGTGGAATCCATGACCCTTGGTAGAAGTATCTGGCATCAGAGGACTTCTCTTACTCGTCTTATTACGCCTTTTAAAAATATTTTCTACATAGATTGATCCAACCACGGCCAAAATCCATGTACGATCCTCTCCCATACTATATGCGAACTCCGGACCGTGGCTTGAGACGATGGATCCTAATAGGATTTCCTACAATCGAGTCGACTGAATCGAGACATTTAATTAAGCATAAATACTTGTATATACTCTGAGTTTCTTAGGAAGTTATTCCTTTAATTACAACCACCCACTTAAGTTATAAGACATGTTCAAGGCCATGGTATTCGAGTGTTTTTGTTTGGTAATAACATATTACACACACATACATGCACTGATCATACTAGTATTTCATATGGCACACTGACTTCATTCAATTAACAAAAAGTCTTTTTAAACCAAACGTAAATCGATAAACGCGATGGACGGCGCCTAATCCATAGATGGTTATTCATGTTTTAAAAATATCTTGAATGCATGACTCGTGTGTATTTCCTAGTTTCTAATTTAGTATTCAGCATCACAAAACACAATGATAGAACCTTATTATTGATATGAAGAATAAAGTGTGTTAAACCAACAGTGGCTATACTTACAAACAGGAGCACAAGGAATATGACAGATAAAGAAGAGAATCGTCGAATCAACCATCTTAAATTTCCTCGATATTCTGGATGGTTGTACAAAAAAGAAAATGTCTTTATCTCTACGAAACTATGGTGTGTTCTGAGCCATGGATATCTTCATTATTACAAGTAAGAAATTGGAACTGTAAGTTTTTTTTTAATTGCAAATTAAATTCTCAAATCTAAATCACGGGTTTCTGTTACAATCTTTCTTAATTTTCCTGATAGAGACTGGAGACAAAACTTCTATACAGAAAAAATAAAGCTGAAAGGTCTACAGGTAGAAGACAGAGGTTGGTCTTGGTACTCATATAGATTCACAGTTGGAAACCTGGAGTTTAGTGCATCAGATCACACACAAGGGAATCTGTGGTTTTCCTACATGAGGAATTCCAGTATAGGTATTTAACGCGCTCTGAGTATTGATTCGTTCACCGCGTGTCTATAGTTTCAGATTGTAAACGACATCTGGCATTAAAACTGAAAAATTAATAAATTTAATACCCTTTTGTACAGTTGATAACATTGATAGCGCTTGTAATAGTAACAAGAGGCCCAGGGGCCTTAACGGCCACCTGAGTATGAAACAACCCAGTAAAGGATCCATAGAATGCCAATTTGATAATTATAAAACAAAGCAAACTAAATTGATAGAAAGTATGTTGATCACAAACAAAAGAAATGGGGCTATGGACAATTTAGCTTGTCTTAGTCTGGTACATGTAATCTGTAACAACATTGAAAGTAGATATATTTACTTGCCTGTATATGCCAGTGCCAACTAAACTCCTATTTTGACACATATTATAAGTACAATACAGTGCTTCAGCATAAACCTCTTCAATCATCATGTCCTGCTTTTTTAGTTTTATTTGTGATTTGAATTTAAATCTTAAGTATTTTTATTTAATATTTGTTGGGGTTTTTTTACTTACAAACTCTTCTTGACCATTAAAAACTATTTAAAAATATACTTTTTTTTATTAAACATCAAAAGCTTTTTGTTTTAGAAACCTGTCTGTTACTTTATATGCAGTAATTTCAATTATTATAGGTAAATCATTAAAAGGGAATAGCTTCTCTCAAAGAAAACATTTTCTTACATTATCTATATAGAGCCCTGCCCCGGCAACAAAGCCCCTGACTCAGTGGGCATGATTTTGCAAATGTGGTAAAACAACACTTGATCATTACGACTATGACTTGGTTTCTATTCTATTAGCCCAGGAGCAGAAAAGAAATTCAAAGAATTTATGCATGTTCACTATATGATCAATAGAGCCATGTCCTAATACCAGAACCCCTGACCCAGGGACAATGAGTTTCACAATTTTGGAAAAGGCACCCATGCTCATCATAATTATTGTGCTTTGTTTGCCTACTTAATTTGTACCAAGGAGCAAAGAAGATTTTCAAAGAATTAATATATTTTCACTATATGATCAATAGAGCTCTGCTCTAACACCCTGACCCAAGGGACATGAATTTCTCAGTTTTGGAAGGCACTCTTGCTTATTATAATCATGTCTGTCTGCTAAATACTAAAGAGGAAGATTTTCAAAGAATTAATGCATTTTCACTAAATGATCAATGGAGTCCAGTCCTAATTATAGAAATACTGACCCAAGAATTTCACAATTTTAGAAGATGCACTCTTGCTCATCATAACAGTGTGCTTAGTTTGTCTAGCAAATATCTAGGGGCAGAGAAGATGATTTTCAAAGAATTCACAATTTTTCACCATAATTATGAACTTCAACAGAGCCCCACCCTATCTCAAGAATCAATGACCCAAGAGCCATGAATTTCACAATTTAGGAAAAGGCGCCCTTGCTCATAATCGCCATGTACTTAACTAGCTTGCTAAATACCTCGGTATGGAACGCCATACCTGCCTTTAGTGGTTATTTCATGAGAATACGGTGCTTTTTAGCTCACCTGAGCCGAAGGCTCAAGTGAGCTTTTCTGATCACATTTTGTCCGTCGTCCGTCTGTCCGTCTGTTTGTCTGTCCGTCCGTCTGTAAACTTTTCACAGTTTCGACTTCTTCTCCAGAACCACTGGACCAATTTCAACGAAACTTGCCACAAAGCATTCTTAGGTAAAGGGGATTCAAGTTTGTTCAAATGAAGGGCCACACTCTCTTTCAAGGGGAGATAATTAAGAATTAGTGAAAATTTGGTGGTATCTTTTAAAAATCTTCTTCTCAAGAACCACTGGGCTGTAAAAGTTGAAACTTATGTGAGACCTTCATTACATAGTGTAGATTCAAATTTGAACAAATCATGACCCCCTGGGGTAGGGTGGGGCCACAATGGGGAATCAAAGTTTTACATAGGTATATATAGGAATAAATCTTTAAAAATCTTCTCCTCAAGAACAACTAAGTCATGATTAGTCATATTGATATGGAATCATTCTCAGGTAGTGTAGATTCAAGTTTGTTCAAATCATGACCCCTGGGGTAGGGTGGGGCCACAATGGGGGATCAAAGTTTTACACAGGAATATTTAGAAAAAAATTTTCTTCTCAAGAACAACAAAGCCACAATTAGTCATATTGATATGGAATCATCCTCAGGTAGTGTAGATTCAAGTTTGTTCAAATTATGACCCCCGGGGGTAGGGTGGGGCCACAGTGGGGGATCAAAGTTTTACATAGAAATATATAGAAAAAAATCTTTAAAAATCTTCTTCTCATGAACAACAAAGCCACAATTAGTCATATTGATATGGAATCATCCTCAGGTAGTGCAGATTGAAATTTGTATCAAATCATGACCCCTGGGGGTAGGGTGGGGCCACAATGGGCGATCAAAGTTTTACATAGGAATATACAGAAAAAAAAACTTGAAAAATCTTCTTCTGAAGAACAGTAAAGCCTTGTTAAGTCATATAGAAATGGAAGCATTCTCAGATAGTGTAGATTTAACTTTGTTTGAATCATGACCCCCAGGATTAGGGTAGGGCCACAATGGGGGATCAAAGTCTTACATAGGAATATATAGGAAAAAAACTTGAAATTTTTTTTGTCAAGAACAGGAAAGTCATGTTTTGTCATTTTGATCTGGAATCATTCTCAGGTAGTGTAGATTCATGTTTGTTCAAATCATGACCCCTGGGGGAAGGGTGGGGCCACAATGGGGGATCATAGTTTTACATTGGAATATATAGGGGAAAAAACTTGAAAAATCTTCTTCTCAGGAACAGCAAAGCCTTGTTTTGTCATATTGATATTGAAGCATCCTCAGGTAGTGTAGATTCAAGTTTGTTCAAATGATTGGGGGGGGGGGGGTTAGGGAGGGTCCACATGGGGGATCAAATTTTTAACAAGGGAATATATAGGAAAAAAATCTTTAAAAATCTTCTGCTCAAGAACAGCAAAGCCATTTATTATATTGATATGGAAGCATCCTCAGGTAGTTCAAAATCCAAGCCCCCCCCCCTTCAAACTTTTCAATACTGAAGTGATTTGTGCTTTTTTCCTAGCCAATGTGCTCAGGTGAGTGATGTGGCCCATGGGCTTCTTGTTAATATTATGCTGTGGTTATTTCATGTGAAGATGGGGTTTTATTATCTTATGTTGTGCTGTATTAAGTTATGCTGTGGTTATTTTATGTGAAGGTGGTGCTTTTTTAATATTATGCTGTGGTTATTTCATGTGTAGTTGTTTTTTATGTTATGCTGTGGTTATTTTATTTGAAGGTGTTTTTTTTTTTTTTTTTACATTATGCTGTGGTTATTTCATGTGAAGGTAGTTTTTTTTTATAGTGTGCTGTGGTTATTCAATGTGAAAGTGTTTTTATGTTATGCTGTGGTTTTGTTATGTGAAGAGGATTTTTATGCTGTGGTTATTTCATGTATATATATAGGTGCATAATTATTATATTCGGAACCCGTTTGACTTGGCTTCATCTCTCATATTTGAAGAGCTACAATGGCTCATTTTAGTAAATTTGCAATATTCTTCAAAATTTAAACTTGCACCATGCAATTCCAAATTTTGAAGGGGAGAAAATTAGTACAGATATTGTTTGTAGATTATCGGCTTTTCAATTAGAACGTCTGGGCGTTTCAAACATGGCAGAAATGATGAGACGAAGAACTGAATGCATAAACTTGAAAAGTTATGCCCAAAAAGTGTATACAAATTGTGGTACACCAAATTTCGAAATTCCCAAACCATTTCTTCAAAATACCCTAGAGAATGACTTAAGTATTTCAGATCTCCAGCGAACAAGTTTGTGTTTTGTGTCAATAATTTGCAACATGTAATTTGGACATAGCATATACCATAAAAACACCTTCACATGAAATAACCACAGCATAATATAAAAAAAACACCTTCACATGAAATAACCACAGCATAATATAAAAAAAACACCTTCACATGAAATAACCACAGCATAACATAAAAAACAAACCCACCTTCACAAGAAATAACCACAACATAACACAAAAACCCATCTTCGCAGGAAATAACCACAGCATAACATAATAAAGCACCATTTCAGCTTGAAATAAGCACAGCATAACATAATAAAGCACAATCTTCACATGAAATAACCACAGCATAATATAAAAAGCACAATATTCTCATGAAATAACCACACAAGGCAGCTATGGCTTTCCATACCCCGGAGTAGAGAAGAAGGATTTCAAAGAATGCATTTTCACTAATATGATCAATTGAGCCTCACGTTAATACCAGAACCTCGGACCCTGTGCAATGAATTTCACAATTTTGGTAGAAGGTTAAATGCTTATTACAATCATGCTAACAGTTTGACTGCTTAATGTCCAGAAGTAAAGAAGATTGTGATAGTTTTAGTCCCACTTTTTAGTTCCCGTTTGGGAACGGGGGGGGGGGGGGGGGCAGGGAGTATGAAGTTCACAATTTTTGTTGTCCTTTCCTAATAGATGCTATGTGCAAATTTTTTTTGAAATTGGTTCAGCGGTTCCAGAGAAGATGCTAGAATATGTTCGAAAGTTTATAAGACGCACGGCGCACGACAACGGACAAAAACGCAATAGGTCACTTGAGTGACTCAGGTGACCTTAAGCTTAAAATGAGATGAAAAGGAATTACATGATTTCAGTACGTGTATTTTGTATATACCCCGCTAAATGATGCTGAACGTGAGCTTTATGCTACACATTTTGACATCTTCCTTATGACAAATGTAGCTTGTACTGGGTTAAATGTTAGACCAAAAGTACTAATCTTTTACTTGTAAAATGCCAAGTCTTCATTTCTAAGAATAATTATTTAGCTTTTGTAGAAATTTCTCATTGTGAATTGTATATACTAGTCATTGTACGTTCTGGCTCTTCAATAGTCGACTACCTATGTCACTTAGTACATGTTTGTATACGGTCGAGAAAAAGACTGACAAAAAGCAATAAATAATAAATGAGATATATAAAAACACTTTTAAACCCATTGAGATAAGAACCTTCACTTACATTTGACACTTAAGTTTTCGGCGAGTAATTACAGGTCAAGAATAGTGTCTGCAATTTGATAACGATAGTAATGTACACTGTAGGCGTGGTCTGTCATCCTCTGGAATCCACTTGTATATTTGCTTATAAATCAGATATTTCCATGTAATAAAATGTAGAACGAAGTATACTGGAATTTTCCACAAGATTTTTAAATGTTTTTAAACAAAGATATGTAATTTTTAAAGATTATATATATATATATATATATATATATATATATATATATATATATATATATATATATATATATATATATATATATATATATATATATATATATATATATATTGCGTGCACCTACTTCGTCCCATCTCGGTAGCTGAACCAGATGCCATCTTTGGTGGATTGCTTATTATATTAATACCAACAGTTTCATTCCTGATGTCCTGGAGTATCTTTAAAGGATTTATAAGGATTGAATTTTGATGGTTTGAGACCCACCAGTCGGATCCCAGGGAGAAAGAGACCATGAAATTCACGAATTTTGTTTCTCTTTGTTCATACTCCCTTTTGATAAAAATGGTTGAGACTGGTTCAGCAGTTTCAGAGAAGAAGTTGAAATTTTAATAAAAATGCATTTTATGTTATCAAAGTCTTCTTCATGACATCTAGCATGATTATAAAGTCATGACCCCTGTGTCCTAGGTTCCGGACTTAGGATGGGCCTTAGAAATTTAGCAATAATGGTTGAGACTGGTTCGGCAGTTTCAGAGAAGATGCTGAAATTTTAATAAAAATGCATTTTATATTATCAAAGACTTCTTCATCACATCTAGCATGATTATAAAGCCATGACCCCTGTGTCCTAGGTTCCGGACTTAGGATGGGCCTTAGAAATTTAGCAATAATATATCAAAAACTCTGCATCTTTGAAAAACTTATCTACTCATTGAGATCAAGCATTTTCATTATAATCCATTGTTGCAAAAATCGAAAGAGCGGAAATCCGCCAATCTAACGTCTCTGCATGTTAAGGGAAATTTATGAATACGTATCAGGAAGTCATAAAAGTTATCCCAATATTCCGATGTTTATTTTCATTCTAAATTTCAGCCCACCCTGTATTATGGATATCACTGATAAATACGATTTTTTGTTTCTTGAGAGATGGGGGGGGGGGGGAGATACGTGCATCCACCTTGAAAATCAAATTCTATCAAAAATCAAAATCTTAATATTTAATAAAACGATGCCTAAACCAGACACGATCAATTTGTATGAAGTTAATTTCTTAGAAACAAATATGTAGAAATTTGGAAAACAAGTCTAGTATCAAAACTATGATTGAAATACATGTAAAGATCCTTACTATCTAAGTAAAATATTGACTTACAGATGGGACAGAGAACATTGAGGTTGCCGTAGACTCATGTCGTAATCTGATCGTGGAAACCCACCTAAGGTCGGACTACCCTCCTCTAATCATCAGACTACTGGGAGTCATGACTATCAGTAAAGACAACACAACGAGCAAAACAGAACTTTTCGAACTCTCAGAGTATCTTTGTAGTAAAAGGTAAGCACAAATGATATTTCTATAAATCGGCTCTAAAAAGCACTTCGTTACACATATAGCTACCTATTGTCTTGTATATTTACAAGTTTATAATTATTTCGGCAGGGATGGTATTCATCTTTACATGTACCAATTATCCAAATACTATAATAGTATGTATGAACACTTATTACCAGAATTTCTACCTAGTATACTTATTACTTTATTACATTCCTAGATTTGGTTATCATCTACCTAATCTTTACAAACTGGTTTTCGACGAGCTGAAAATACAGTGTGTCACAAATGAGATGCTGGAGCAGTGCAGTCAGGATGATCATGTGGATGAAGGCTGGATGCTGCTCTACCTTATAAGGCGGTTACTTTGGAGATTTGCTTTTGCTAGCAACCGCTTTGCTCTGCAGTTAGCTGAGTCGTGCTATATAAATTATCTGCTATCAGATTTGAATCATTTGTCCCAGACACCTCTCTCAGAATGGAATGTAAGATTTTAAGTCTTCAATTTGATTTGGAAAAAAATATTTTAAGGACCCTCTATACACTAGAGGAAATTATTTTTTGGACATTGAGAAAATTATAGTGTGTAAAGGTGTAAGCATTGAGCCTATCTATCACATTTTCAGCATAGGGTGCCTTGCATTTACCCCCAGGAAAAATGTTCAAAGACAATGAAGTACTGATGAGCATAAATCACTGTTGTTTACTTATGTGGGCAAAATACCTGCACATGAAGTGTTCTATCTATCTTGGTCTATTAAAGTGTTATGAATGCTTGATTTGATCACAAATTAAGTAATAAACTGTACATTTCAATTTATTTTATTCTTGATCAAAGGGCAGATCACTCTATCTGCATAAAAGTACCACAAAATCAGAACTCTCTAGTGTGCAGTGTATAGAGGGTTCTTAAATACATTGTTTATTTTATTCTGCATGCTGTTTGAGAGAAAAAAATACACCTTTCCTTAATTTTCTCATAATTATTTTTAGGAAGGCAACTATCTTTTGTTTTCGAACTTGAATTGTCTGCAGCAGTGTGCCCGCACGAATCGTATGAAGACTGCGTTTTATGCGGCAAATGCACATATCATAATTGGAAATATTCGTCAAAGAAGCAATTCAAAAAGTATTTATCTGACGCATCTAAAGCCAGAAAGTCCACATTATTTAACCATAAAGCATACAGTAAAATATATCTGTTAGTATATTTGAAGGCAACAACTATTCATTAGTATGTACGGCTTTTGAAAATATAAATGCAATACTAGTATGTGATAAATAAGCAATATCAACGATCAATTTAATGCTTTTTAAATCATCACCAGTCCTATCTATGTTAGATATAAATTATACGTATTGCAGAAGTGAAAATGGCCACACTTCTTACACTTTCCCATATGCTACACGAAGAGGACTACCATAAACTGAAAATTGATGAGGAATTCATGACATACTTCCTCAACTTAATCAAAAAAGCGGTTGAAAATAGAAGTCATTTTGTGGTAATTTGTTCCAATACTGGACATTTGACTGAGATAAGAGAAATGTTTGACGCTTTCTCCAAGGTCTACCTATTGAAAGAAAACCAAGAAGTCATAGATAGAATTAACAAGGAAGACCTGGCACTACATATTCTTCATATTTTAGAAAGGGCTGATATTGACGAAAAACTCTTTGCTCTTCAAATGATGAAGTCTATATGTACTTCCAAGATCGGAAAAGCAATTCTTCAGGTAAATTTGGAAGATTTATAAACCGTGATTTTGATCTGTTTTGTTCATGGCGAATCAGAAATGATAGTAATTAAGTTATGTGATATAGTGTACAAAGCATAACATTATCAGGACAATAAAAAAGACACGTTTTTTCCCAAAAATATTTGTTAAGTTTTCATACAATATTCTCACCATCTCTTTTCAGGATCAATATTATAACGATCTTCTGCATGAAGTTGGAATTCTTACGAAACACCATGATTTACATCTGAGAAAACAAGCCGATATTGTATATGAGTATCTCAAAAAAAGGGGTTTGTTTTGCTGACGAATTCTTCGGTTTTTCAATGGAATTTGTTTTATTGGCTATTAAAATATCAGCATATAGTCATGATCATTAACAACAAAACTAAACGCAAAACCAATACATACCGGTAAACCAGTAATATTTATATTATACATATTTCAGTAAAAAACAAAATAAGGAGGTTAAAAGCAAAATCAAAATCCAATCCACTGCAAAATATATACAAATATTTCCAAGTAATCCTGGCTTATTTTCTCTTTTATAAACTAAAACAAAAAAGATTTTCATGAAAAACACATCTTTCTAACAACTGTAGCAATCAAAGTATCTAACCTTATCTCTAAAAGGATCCTCGGTATCATCATCATCATCTCTCTCTATATATATATATACTCACGGTAACGTTACCATGAGTATATTGTTTAACACCACGAAGAAGAAATGAAAGCTCTTATGTTTTACTCGTTCTCTGTGTCTTTATATCTTTAAATATCCTTCATATATATATATATATATAGAGAGAGAGAGAGATCTTGAGATCTTCAAAACCCTGGGGTTTACAATTCACTAACATCAGTTTGTTGTATCTAGTCTAATTGACTTTAGTAATCAGATAATTTATGTAATTATTAATGTACCAGTCTTCATTTTTTGTAGGAGAATGGAAGAACTCTTCCCGAAATGGAGCGGAGATGGAAGCCCTCTACTTGCAAGCACTCACAGAAGGGAGTACATTGGACAGAACTATTCGGGTCATGTTTGTGGGACACAAAGGGGCGGGAAAAACTACTCTTTGTAGGAGATTTCTAGGCGAAAACATTACAAGCATCCGAAGCACAGAGGGTATTGATGTTTATATTGAAAAGTTTACTGTGGATCTGGAAACTCGAAAATGGACCATTGATATTGAAGGTAAGGTACTAACTATTTTATTACACGTATGTTATGTTGTCTTTTCAAGCATATAATGTGTAAAAAAAATATTTACCATTTTCAACATAAAAATTATTGGCTAAAGTGTGTTGTTGAAATTCCCATAGGAATCAATGTGCAAATAGAATTAAAAGACCCCAGGCAAAGCAATGATAGCCAAATCAACAGGTTTTATTGTGTTTATATAACATTACATTAGACAAAATTGTTTACGCATCATCATAGAATTAATATTTCCCTTTTCAAAACTTGTTTATGGTCAAGATGTAGTAAATGATCGAGTTTATACTGTCTTTGTAGTGCTAGATCCATTATGACATCATAATTAATTTAAACTTACTTTTTCCGCACTATACGGCTTTAATAGAATTGTGCAGAAAATGAAGCATTTTCATGGAATTCAATTTGAAATCCTGTGAAAAGTAATCCCGATATCTATATTCAATTCAATATTATTTTAAAGACGAGATCAAGAGCATGTCATGCAATTACCGTTTTCTGTGAGACTGTAGGCAATCTGAATAGATTTATATTGTCTGATTTGGAAAAAAGTACCATATTTATGACTGATTTTCTTTAGAATGCCCAAACATGTTAAATAATTAAATGTTAACTGAAGCATAACCATGCCATAGAAAGGAATGAGAAATCCTGCTCACAAGTTTTAGAGGAATTGATTTCCATAACTTCTTTGTTATTGTGTTCATTATGATTTTATTCATTAAAAAAGAAAAAAACAAATGCCAGGATATGCGGCGTTTGACACAGAATAGCTTGGTAGGTCAGTTAGTATAGTGTCTGTAGGGTGTTCATTTGGAGGGGTTTGTGTAAAAATGAAAAAATGTTTCTGTTGGTTGAAAAATACTGCAACTAGATTAAAAAATTTAAAACTGTCTTCCGAGATGAACACGGCAAATAATAGACAGAGCAAGATTGTACCGTATACTAGTAATTGTGGCAAACGAAAATGCGGTTGACCGAGTACGGGTGCCAAAGTACTGGGTGATTACTAGGCGACTCGTTGGATATAAAAATGCAACCATCACCACTGCAACCTCTATGACCACCATCGGTAGCCTTCCATCGTATATCAGTACACAAAAAGTGCGCAATCGGCTAAGGAAAATCATTCATTTTTGGGGCAAGAGGGCCATTTAGTGTGTTTTGCTAAAAATCAAGACTTTAGTAAATTTGATTGCAGTAGGTCTAGGCAAGACGGTTCTTTAGATTCACTCGTATCGATGAGGCACATGAACATATTAAATTTTAGTAGTGCGTTAGCAATTTTGTCTAATATATACAGTCTTGTACAGCAATTAAGTAGAACAGGATATTATCTACGAAGAAAACTGTTTTGTTTAAATATTGCTCATGTATTGGGTCCTTTTTCTTTAAAAGATAAACAAATAAAAGGTGGACAAAATAATGACCATCTGCTTTCTCTTTTTCCAATTTCAAAACAGATGACCTTTTGGAAAATAGCAGATCCAAAATAGCTTTTGGAGTGAAAGACTTTGAAGATTCGAAGTTTCAGGAATCTGATATAATTTCTGAACCGGATGCTCTTCAATCAGCAGGTAGTAATCGCCAACTTGCTGATGGTGTGGTGGAAGGCATGGATGGTTCCTCTCGTTTTATTGCTGATGCTGATGACGATATTACAGAAAGTGAAAGAAAGGAAGAAATAAAACCACCTGAAATGGAAATGACAAAATTAACAGAGAATGTTTCTACTGACAGATCTAATAGCATACATGAAAATATGAAAATAAATTTTGAAATAGAGGCAAACGTAGACTTTCCGCAAAAGTTTGCTCACATTTCAATGTGGGATTTTGCTGGAGAAGATGTTTTCTATGCGACACACCATGTTTTTCTGTCTCCGGACGCAGTTTTCCTAGTCATAATTGACCTAAGTAACTCGGAGACGAACAAATATGGACGAAATTGGTAACGTAACATACTAGTACTACTGTCAAATCAATATACTAGTATATATATATATATAAGCATACTCAAATAATAAGATACATGTATACCTTTAACTGTTTTAAGGTATCTTTAAAGAACTAAATACCTTGATAGATCTTTGAAAGATTTAAAGATTATTTCCAATCAATAGTTGAGCTCTTCAATTCAAATAGAAATTACTTTCATATATTTACTTAAAGTAGAATTTTTGCTGTCTTTTAAAAATATAATGGTCACTTTCATCGAGGGAGTTTTTTTTGTTAAGATGTCATTTTATTGCTTTCATGTACTGCATGTAATTTCAGAAAAGACGAGGTTTTGGTTGAGGTCTATATTAACCTATGCAAAGGTTAAGGATACCGGCGTTAGCTGTGGGTTTCGTTTACCACCTATTATATTTGTAGTTACCCATAAAGATAAGTTACCAGGAGAAGTAAGTTGAGTAATTTCTGGCTTTCCATTTAAAGTTGTGTAGACCTCAAAACAGAAAAATACATTTATTTCCTATATTGAAATACGATTCTCTTTTGATTTAATAGAGTGAAAAAGGTTTAGTTGATTTAAAAGGATTATCTTTAAATTTGATAGAGTGAGGAGGAAAAGAAAGACGTTGCACTTAGTTATCTTGCAGAAGTTCTCAATTTGTCAGAATTACGAGGGATAGATCCCTCTTTCATTCGTGGAAGATTTATAGTGGACAATACCTATCTCTACTACGATCCAGAAATAGAGAGACTGAAGAATTGTATTGTTGAATCAGCCAAAGTACAACCCAACTGGGAAAAAGAAATCCCTCTTCAATGGGTGGCTGTTGAGCGTGAAATCTCTGTCCTGAAAAGCAGAAAAATCAAACTAATAACAGTTGACAAGTTGAAAAATCACTTGAAGAATTGTGAAGTGACTTTGTCTACTATCCAAAACCTAGAAGGGGTACTAGAACATTATCATTTAAAAGGTTTTATAATATTCTTTTGGGGATCTAAAAGGTTAAAGAAATACGTATTCATTGATCCCCAATGGATTGTTAATGCTTTCAAACAACTGATCAGACCTCCATGTGCTGAGAGAAAATTTGATAATGAGATTATTCGAAGGCAGTGGAATTTGTTGTATGAGGAGGGGACACTTACTGCAGAATTTGCTAAAGAAATTTTCAAATTGAGTGGAGATGATCAGCTTGTTGCATTTGCTGATGATATACTACTCAGCATGGAGGAGTTGAATCTCATTGCTAGCATGAAACCCCACTGGATCGTCCCAAGCCTTCTGAAAAGACAAATATACACTACACTAGTGCAAGACTTTTTTGATGATCAAAATATTAGTATCCAGAAAACGTGTGCTTATTGCTTAAAGTTTAGGGAAGCTTTTGTCCCTGATCCAATTATGGACAAGGTAATTGCAGGTTGTATTTCAAAGTGGACAAACCTTTATTATCTTCAGGGGAAGCCAATTCTGTACAGGGGGCTTGTATGTTTGAAGGTGACGGAATCTTGCAATTTGATGTTATATTGCAAAGACAATATGATACAAGCAATGTTATTTAGCACGAATCAAAGTACCGATCAAAGTACCAATCAAACATTTGGTGGAGTTGGAAATTCTGTGCGATTATTTCTAAATGACTCCCTTGATGACATATTTAGAACTTGTTATCAGGAGAGCATGAAACCAATTCAGTATATTCAGTGTAAAATTATGGAACCTGAAGATTCCATGCCAGTTCTTGCAGATGAAATATTTCAACATGATACACGATACTGCTGCGGCAATAAAACGCTTTCACCTCATCCTTTGACGTACCAGAACCTTCGACAGTGGTGGGAGAGGGTAAGGACTTCGTCTTAATGTCATGTTCTCTCTCTCTCTCTCTCTCTCTCTCTCTCAGATTCATGGAATTTATTTTCTTTTTTAGGTTGAAAAATACGTTCCGCATTTCCAAGGTATAGAAACTTTCAGGTTTGGAGAAATATATCTGCTTGACTACTTACATATCATATGGAATAAATTTTGTAATGCATCACAATAATTTTCTATTATGTTTGAAGAAATCGATGTTTTCTCAACACCACCAGAATCACCTGACTCTGTCGACTTTGATGCACCAAAATTTCCCTTCTTGGAGGAAGGTAGGTTAAAAAAAAGTCTTGTTTTTCGAATAAATCAACCAAAGTATCAAATTATTTGATAAAAATAAATATCTAGAGACGTATAGGTAGAAATCATTTTAATTTTTAGATAAGACGATGCATGGTGATAATAGATTCAAGCGTTTTGTGGACTCCACGCTCACTGTCGAGGTTTGGGAAAATCTCCATACCTTGAGTCAGTCAGTGGGCTGTTTACATTCCCCGTTGTTAATTTCTACTGTGTTTCGAGTTGGTACAGCATCTGTTATGTCTGTAGCGCATCACGTTATGCAAATCACAGGTTTGTACGATGGCAACATGCTTTTCTGATCCGTCTGTCTGTCTGTCCGTCTCTTTGTAAACTTTTCACATTTTCGACTTCTTCTCCAGAACCACTGGGTCATTTTCAACCAAACTTGCCACAAAGCATCCTTGGGTGCAGGGGATTCACGTTTGTTCAAATGAAGGGCTACACCCTCATTCAAGGGGAGATTATTCAAAAATAGTGAAAATTTGGTGGCATATTTTAAAAATCTTCTTCTCAAGAACCACAGGTCCAAAAAAGTTGAAACTTAAAGTAAGCCTTCATTACATAGTGTAGATTCAAGTTTATTCAGATCATGACCCCTGGGGGTAGGGTGAGGCCGCAATGGGGGATCAAAGTTTTACATAGGAATTTATAGGAAAAATCTTTAAAAATCTTCTCAAGAACAGCAAGGCCATGATTATTCATATTGATATAGAAGCATTCTCAGGTAGTGTAGATTCAAGTTTGTTCAAATCATGACCCCGGGGGCAGGGTGGGGTCACAATGGGGGATAAAGGTTTTATATAGGAATATATAGGAAAAAATCTTTTAAAATCTTCTCAAGAACAACAAAGCCATGTTTAGTCATATTGATATGGAAACATCCTCAAGTGGTGTAGATTCAAATTTGTACAAATGATGACCCCGAGGGGTAGGGAGGGGCCACAATGGGATATAAAATTTTTACAAAGGAATATATAGGGGAAAAAATCTTTAAAATCGTTTGCTCAAGAACAGCAAAGCCATTTGTTATATTGATATGGAAGCATCCTCAGGTAGATTAAAATTCAAGTCCCCTCCCCCCCCCCCCGGTAAACTTTTCAATACTGAACTGATTTGTGCTTTTTCCTTCGCAATGTGCTCAGGTGAGCGATGTGGCCCATGGGCCTCTTGTTTTATTTTAATGACAGTAATCAAGTATTTTAAAATATTTCCATTTCTATTTGTTCTCTCTGTGATAACTCTTTGAAAGTTAGTTGAGTTGATTTCTTGATCATTCTACCCGAATGTAAATTTCGCCAAGCGATAGCTCAGGAGCTAAGGAGGCCTAATATGCCACAGGTACTTGTGGACAGCCCCCCCCCCCCCCCCCCCCCGATATTCAACCCCGGGACTTGTTGGACATTTTTTCACAAATTATATTTATTGCTCTTATTCATTATGTGTACCAAAGGAAAAAATCGTGAAACCCCAAAAATAATCGTTCCACACAAAAAATACCTCACTATACATTTAATGTATAGTGAGGTATTTTTTGTGTGGAACGATTATTTTGGGGGTTTCACGATTTTTTCCTATGGTACTCATGATGAATAAGTGCAATATATATAATTTGTGAAAAAATGTCCAACAAGCCCCGGGGTTGAATATGGGGGGGGGGGGTCCTGTCCACAAGTACCTGTGTAATATGCATATAAATCTCGTGCGTCTGTCTTTGTGTCTGACGCAAAAGAGGCCTAATATGCCTGTAAATCTCGTGCGGCTGTCTTTATGTTTGACGTCAGTGGGCGGGGACTATTGAAATTGACATGGGAGGCCTCGTGTAATTTAAATCTATTAGTCTACATTTTTAAAATCTAAATTTACAATTTTATTTCACAATGAAATGGAAATATAAGGAATCACTTTCTAGTTAGTAGAGTATGCCAGGGACATCAACGCTTCGCCCGTTATGCAAATTATCCCACGTTTCCAACTATCGTTGATGCCCTGGCATACTCTACTAACTAGACAGTGATTCCTTAAATATCCAGTTTAAGGGAGGTTAAAAGAACGGCCACACCGGCTCCTTAAAACAACTAGGTCCAAACATATGAATAATTGACATTTACTTTAGATAGCTTGTACTCTTTAATGAAAATTTTCAACAATTGAATAGGTGTTAAAACCACATGAAAGAAATTTCATTCGAAATCTCTCGTTTTATAAAATGGAGACACCAATTTAATGATGTCATGTCTTTGGTTTAATTTATTTACGAATATGGATTTATTGTTCGCAAATCTAAGAAGACTTTCCCTCTCATTAAGTTTGTTATGATTCAAAAATGATGTAAAGAAAACATTCTTAACAAGACAACAATAAGCTAAAAAAAAAAAAATAGATTATAGTCACCGATGCAAGAACAACATAGCAACAATCTAAATAAAATTCGATGTTTCGAATCTGCTACCGCTTAAAGTGAGAAGCGGTATTGGATTCGGAACATCGAATTTTAATTAGATTGACTTATCAATGATATTAATTTTTGAGTTTAAACTGTAATTCAAGTTTCTCATTTTGATTTTAGAAATTCGTGGTCGAAACGATTTTGCTCCTCATGATAGCAATAGATTACTGGCCGATAACGTATATGTTGAGTTCAAAGGATCAAGAAAAGAAGCCAATAAACAATTTTACATCAGAGGAATCCAATACCTTGATCCTCTGAAAGATGTCTGCGTGCTAGAATTGCTAGTTGATGACCCATCAAATCTTCCAACACCATTCAGAGAATTTTGTCTCCCAACAGCGGATTCAATCCTCACTTTCATTGGATTTGGTCATCCGGGTCACAATTATAAGGCATTTGAACCAAAAGTTACAGTATTGCATCGGAGCTCAAAGCGAGTTCAAAACTCTGTCGAATGGGTGCAGAAACATCATGTTGATCTCAAAAACATTTTACAATTAAATGGAAAACCAGTGGAATGGGTAGACAATGCCTACTCTATACTTGACAATGAAGGTATGGTCGGGTTGAATTGTTTCATGCAACATGGTGCTTCGGGTGCTCCAGGCATTACCATGACAAACCGTGGACTAGCAGTGGGTGTCATGCTACAAGGTGGACTGCCTAGATTCTTCATGGACATCGGACATTATATTGACCAGATTCCGCTGGAACAGAGGATTGAATATGGAATCACAATGGATATTATTTATCGTGATCTTTATCAACATGTACCTGACCTCTGTAAAGATATATTTGGTACAAATTATGGATTTTAAGGGTGGAAATCTTTTGCTCTTTCAATTTAAGAAATCGTTTCTCTGGATTTCGAAAAAAGAGTAGGCTCACTGGGGGCCGCCAGAGAAACCAAAAACCTTTCAGAAACCGATTATTTAAAATAAGTTATCCTCCGAAACATGGGTGAAATATTGCCGACTCGGCGTTAAACAATAAACAATCAATCAATCAATTTAAGAAAATTTCTCGGAGAAGTTGATAATCAAAGTAAAATTCAAGCAAACTTTGTAGATCCAAGAACCACTGGGGCCAGAAGAGCTGAAACTTATGTGGAAGCATCATGGAGTAGTGTAGATTCTAAATTGTTCAAATCATGACCCCGGAGGTAGGTTGGGGTCACAATAGAGAATCTAAGTTTTACATTGAAATAAATAGAAAAAAAATCTTTAAAAATCTTCTACTCGAGAAACACTGGGCTAGAATAGCTGAAACGTATGCGGAAGCATCCTGGGATAGTGTAGATTCTAAATTGTTCAAATCATGACCCCCGGAGGTAAGTTGGGGCCACAATAGGGAATCCAACTTTTACATTGAAATATACAGAATTTTTTTTCAAGAACCACTGGGCCAGAAAAGCTGAAAAATATGTGGAAGCATCCTGGGGTAGTGTAGATTCTAAATTGTTCAAATGAAGACCCTTGGGGGTAGATTGGGACTACAACAAGAGGCATCTAAAAGGAGAAGATCCTAAAGGATTTTTCGTATATATTTCAATGTAAAAATTAGATTCCCTATTGTTGTCCAATCCTACCCCCAGGGATTACACTACCTCGGGTTGCTTCCACATAAGTTTCAGCTTTTCTGTGGTTCTTGAGAAGGAGATTTTTAAAGATTTTTTCTATATATTTCAATGTAAAACATGGATTCCCTATTGTGGCCCCGCCCTACCCCCGGGGGGATTTTTATAATTTGAATTTTACACTACCCCAGGATGCTTCCACATAAGTTTCAGCTTTTCTGGCCCAGTGGTTCTTGAGAAGAAGATTTTTAAAGACTTTTTCCATATATTTCAATGTAAAACTTGGATTCCCTATTGTGGCCCCGCCCTACCCTCGGGGGTCATGATTTTTACCATTTAGAATCTACACTACCCCAGAATGCTTTCACATAAGTTTCAGCTTTTCTGGCCCAGTGGTTCTTGAGAAGAAGATTTTTTTTAATGACACCACCCTATTTTTGCCTTTTCTTGATTATCTCCCCTTGTAACGGGTCTTGGCTTTTAATTTTAATAATTTAATTTCCCCTTCACCCAAGGATGCTTTGTACCAACTTTGATTAAAATTGGCCCAGTGGTTCTTGAGAAGAAGTTGAAAATGTGAAAAGTTTACAGACCGACGGACAACGGGTGATCAGAAAAGCTCACTTGAGCTTTCAGCTCAGGTGAGCTACATGTAATAAAGAAAAGCTAAAACTTGTGTGAAAGCATCCTGGGGTAGTGTATATTCTAAATGGTAAAAATCATGACCCCCGGGGGTAGGGCGGGGCCACAATAGGGAATCCAAGTTTTACATTGAAATATATAGAAATAAATCTTGAAGGTTTTGCCAAAGGTCAACATGTCCAAAAAATTTTTTTTACAATAGCTCCAAAACTATGTGGTTTATAAAGTGAAATATATGGAGATAACGAACAGTATTCAAGCTCAAAAGTCCATTAATCAATACAAAATAGGAGCAGAGCAAACACGGACCTCCAAACATCAGAGGTGGGATCAGGTGCCATGGAGGAGTGAGCATCCCCTGCCGACCGGTCACACCCGCCGTGTGCTCCTTGTCATGATCGGGAATAACTGAAAAATCCGTCGACAATTCAGTGTGTAAATAATGGCCTAACAATTATTATGAAAAACGTCAGTCAGCATTTGACTCAATGATAAATTGTATTTGCTGACAAGGTCATTGTATCGACCATAGAACTTACGAAATGATGACTTTAAACGAGACAGCTGATATTCTTGTTTCATCAACTTATTTGTCAATAATTTACCTCGTTTTAGAAATTGTACATACGTAGAGCATGCTCTTGCGTATCGAATCAACTGAGAGATATACACCCCGTATGCAGGTGATGAAGGTATAAATTAAAACATTGATTAACAGATAGAAATTATCACTTGATAACAAATACTTAAAGAAAGTATTTATCGAAAAAATTCTTTAAACAAATGCATATATTTTTAAAAATATACACCTAATTAATTCCTTACTCTTAGTGAAAGCCAACATTGCAGACACAATATATGTTTATCAATGAAGGGCAAGTTGGACTTCGATAGCCTCTGGAAAGTTGTTTTCCCTGTTTATTTTGTCCAAATGTTAAGATTTGAAACCAAAAGTACCTTGCAAATGGCGGATTTTATAGGGGTTTTGTCTTTACGCATGTCAGGCTTTCAATAACAGCCTTTCAGAGACCATTCATGTCCAACTTGCCCTTCATTGATAAACATATTTTATTTCTTCAATGATGGTTTTCGCTAAAAGTACAGAATTAAGCAGGTGCATATTTTTTAAATATGCAAATTTTTTGAAATTTTTTTTTCTCAAAAAATATTTTTTTTAAATATTTGTTTTTTAGTGATACTTTCTATCTGTTAATCAATGAAATATTTATAAACTGTAAAAGTCTTAACTTTATACCTCATATAGTTTTGGAGTTATTGTAAAAATAAATTTTTGGACATCTTGACCATTGGCAAAACCTTAAAAAATCTTCTCAAGAACCACTAAGCCAGAAAAGCTGAAACTTAGGTGGAAACATCCTGGGGCAGTGTAGATTCTAAATTGTTCAAATCATGACCCTTGGGAGCAGGGTGGGGCCATATTAGAGAATCCAAGTTTTACATTGAAATATATAGGAAAAATCTTTTAAAATCTCAAGAACAACTGAGCCAGAAAATCTTAAACTTATGTGGAAGCTTTCTGAGGTAGTGTACATTCTAAATTCTTCAAATCATGACCCCCGGGGGTCGAGTGGGCCCACAATAGACATTGCAAGGGGGGGGGGGGGTCTGGTGAAGAACAGTAGGGCAAAAGTTACTTAGGTGGGCATTGTGGCCCATTGTTTTAAAAATAGATGGTGTTTTGACAACCACTTAAACACAAATCGATATAAATTATTGGGATGAATTTTATTTACAGCTTTTTACATCTAATTCAAAATCGTCTCGAAATCCTCAAAACAGGCTAAGTTCGACTTTTTTAGTATTTTGTTGTGTATAAAATCATTTCCTGTGAATAGGAATTAAGAGACAACCAACCACAGGTAGACTGCTAGCCCTCAAGGCATTCCACCTGTACAAAATAAGCCCCTCCCTCACCTGGAATTTACCACCTGGTAAAAAATACGATCATTACTGATTTTGAGGTCAAAATTCAAACATTGTATAAAATTGTTTCCAGATTACTAGTTCTCTTTGAAAATTTGCAAGAAATTAAAAAAAATCATAACTCTCTATGACTTAAAAAAAAAACCGAGTTCAAATGGTCAAAGTAAAAAATTCATTTTTTTACATGAAATGTTATAAATTTAAGATTTCCTCTGAGTTTTTGCAATGAAATTTAATATCATAAGACCAACGATAAAAAATGTCATATCATTTGATTTTAAGTTTCCGTAAGGGCAAACTTGTTGGTGATGGTTTTTCTCTTTTTGTGATAACCAAAATATTTTTTTAAAATCAAAAATAAAGCAGAATGAAACACTAGACATTTATTTGAAATATTTTTTCACATGTTTAAAGTCTATAATAAATCCATATCACAAGGACTGTGTATTGTGCTGGCTTAGTGGTACTTAAAGTCATCAAGGTGACCTGTAAAGAAAAGAAACAGTTAATTTACTTGTCAAAATTAGAGGGCTCTCAAAATGGTGTACTTTTTTTCTTTTCTATCAAGTTTCAAGTAAAATATAGCATATTCAAGCCATTTATCTGAAAACACATATCTCCAAAATTTACATCTACAGACTACATGTATCGCCTAGAAAATTTGCAAGTTTGATCAGTTTTATAAATACAATGTAAAAACTTCTAATGTACAATTAAAGATTTGGTAACTTACGATCATGATTCCAGCATCGTAACATGCCAAGAAAGGAGAAGAATAGAGCAAAATGGACTACACCAACTCCCCTGTTTTTAGCACATAGATGCCACCTCAACTGATGACCATAAAGTTCTAAAAAAAAAATTAAATTTATTGTTAAATATTACATCATGTACACATTTTAACAAACCACATTTGTTTATTAGAAATAAAAATGCAAAAGCAGTAATTACAATTCATTAAAAATATATTTTCTGAGAACATCTTTAATTATATGAAAACTTGCAATGAAAACAAATAATCTGCCAAGCTGCTGCACAAAATAAAAAACATGCCTATAATGTCTTCATACATGCAGCTTTGTTCAAGTCTGTTTTGGGTCACATCATTTTTTAAGTTTCTCCATCTCCGACTTATTAATAACTCACAGACTTGTTTTTCAAATAAAATGAGAGAGATAGAGAGAGAGAAGAATTTCAAGACATGTTCTTGAACAAGTCAAATAAATACATTTACATGTGCATGTAGATTTCTTGAAAAATATTAAATATTATTACTTCTTGAGAAAAATCGAGCAGTCCCTGTCAGTGAAGCATCTCTCCTCTTCATCCACGGAATCACCTCACCGAGTTTCAATTCAGAGAATGCTTTGTCAGCTATAAACACAACAGAATTTGTTATTAGAGATGATTACAATTCTTTAATCTGATTTACAATATGCTAAGCTAATTTTTTTCCCCATTTGTTGTAAGGTAAATTGATATCCCATTTTGGATATACACTGTATAATAACCAAATGGCCATTATATCCCATTTGGGCAAAAGGTCCCAACTTGTTCTAATGGTGGTGAGAGCCTGTCTCTGAACACAGTTTGATTATTCTATGAACTAGAGCTATATGTATGTTACCCATACAAAAATCATTGCACAGTTTTTTTTTAAGCTATAGCTAAGGGATAAGTTTAATTCTCCAAAACTGCCCAATATAATTAACGATCACTACAGAAAAGGTGAGGGTACTTATTGAAGGTACTGGTACTTGCACAAGAACTAAGACCATTTCATTTCCAAAAGTAAATGTATGGCTATGCTATTAAAAAAAACCCTTATATCACAATCTCTTGATAAACTTATAGATAGCTTGAAATAGTTATTTAGCTTTATCAAGCTATTCAGAATACTTAATTTATCTATTTTATCACACTTTTTGAACAAGAGGCCCATGGGCCTTAATGGTCACCTGAGTATAAAACAACAATCCATAGAGGATCCATAGAGTATAAAATAAACTGATAGAAGGAGCTTTTGTAAATCTTTGATCTTCCATTGTGGCCCCACCCTATCCCCCGAGTCCAGAGTCATGATTTGAACAAACTTGAATCTATACTACCTGATGTTTCCATGTAAATATAACCAATCATGGCTTTGCTGCTCTTGAGAAAAGAATTTTTTCCAGATTTTTCCTACATATTCCAATGTAAAACTTTCATTGTCCATTGTGGCCCATCCTACCCCTGGGGATCATGGTTTTAACAAACTTGAATCTACACTACCTGAAGATGTTTCCACATTTCATCATTTCAGTGGCTCTGGAGAAGACGATTTTTCCAATGTATTCCCATGTAAAACTTTGATCATCCATTGTGGCCCTGCCCTACCCCTAGGGGTCATGATTTGAACAAACCTGAATCTACACTACCTGAGTATGTTTCCAGATAAGTTTCATTTTTCTTGGCCCAGTGGTTCTGGAGAAGAAAATTTTTAAAAATGTTTTGTGTGTATTTCTATATAAAACTTAGGTCATATCAAAATGACTAATCATGGCTTTGCAGTTCTTGAGAAGAAATTTTCCTATATATTCCTATGTAAGACTTTGATCCTCCATTGTGGCCCCGCCCTACCACGGGGGTGGGGGGGGGGTCAGTCAGGATTTGAACAAACTTGAATCTACACTACCTGAGGATACTTCCATATAAATATGACTCATCAGGACTTTGCTGTTCTTGAGAAGAAGATTTTTAAAGATTTTTCCTATATATTTCTATGTAAACTTTGATCATCCATTGTGGCCCCGCCCTATCCCCGGGGGTCATGATTTGAAAAAACTTGAATCTACACTACCTGAGGATGCTTCCATATAAATATGACCAATCAGGGCTTTGCTGTTCTTGAGAAGAAGATTTTTAAAGATTTTTCCTATACATTTCTATGTAAACTTCGATCATCCATTGTGGCCCCGCCCTACCCCCGGGGGTCATGATTTGAACAAACTTGAATCTACACTACCTGAGGATGCTTCCATATAAATATGACCAATCAGGGCTTAGCTGTTCCTGAGAAGAAGATTTTTAAAGATTTTTCCCATATATCTCTATGTAAAACTTTGATCGTCCATTGTGGCCCCACCCTACCCCTGGGGGTCATGATTTTAACAAATTTGAGTCTACGCTACCTGATGATGTTTCCGTATAAGTTTCATCTTACCTGGTCCAGTGGTTCTTGAGAAGAAGATTTTTAAAAGATACCATTAATTTTTCATTAATTCTTAATTATCTCCCCTTGGAAGAAGGTGTGGCCCTTCATTTGTAAAAACTTGAATCATCTTTACCCAAGGATAGTTTGTGGCAAGTTTGGTGAAAATTGGCCCTGTGGTTCTTGAGAAGAAGTCGAAAATATGAAAAGTTTACGCACGACGCACACCCGCACGACGACGGACGAAAACAGATAGCAATAGGTCACCTGAGTGACTCAGGTGACCTAAAAATGTGTTATTTTTTTGCAAAGTTGCTTAAAAGTATTCAAAAGCTGCAATGTTTGAACTATCTTTGATTTGGGTTGCTTTTTTTTTGGATAGTCCATAGTGCATATATTTGTCAAATGCTTGTGACTTTGTAGATATTTCTTACACAAACCATTTTTGTGAAAAATTGCATATAAATAGCTTTATCAAGCTATTCTGAATAGCTTAATAAAGCTATATAGCTAATCTGAGCTATATAGCTTAATCAAGAGATTGTGCTGGACGTGTTATATAGGGAGTCAGTCAAAGCGCTCCCTAAGAAAACTGTCCCGGTCAAAGCATCCCCAAATTTTGGTCATAGAGCCCCCTGCTTTTGGTCAAAGGGCCTCTTGATCTTGGTCAAAGTGCCCCTTTACAGAATTTACAGTAAATTGATGTTAAAATACCTTCCCCAAGTATTGGTCAAAGCATCCCCTACATGTACTTCTTGTTCAAAGTGCCCCATGGAGAATTTTCTAAAATAATTCTTTAACGAAATCGTCCCAAAGTATTCGTCTAAGCGCCCCCTGATTTTGGTCAAAGCGCCCCACAAAATTTTTTTATAGAAAAATATGTTGTGGGGCGCTTTGACCAAAATCAGGGGCACTTTGACCAAAATCATGGGATTCTTTGACCAGTACGGTTTTGTTAGGGGCGCTTTGACTGGATTTTTATATACAAATATCATTTTTTTAGTGTTGACATATATGACAAAACTCTTGGTAACCCTCCTGGTTCTAATTGAATGTTTTATTATTTAAATATGTGAGTATTCTGATTGAAATACAAGTACTAATAACATTTTTATGTGCATATTAAACAAGAACTATCAATTGGAAGTATGGAAATAGTCTAGAACTGTAGAAGGCCTATTTAACAAGCCTTATTTTGGGAAGGCTAAGATTAGAAGCCAAATTGGTATAAAAATACACACGTGTTCCGTAGTATCTATCAGCTTGGTAAGCTCCGTGGATTCGGGGATTAAATTCCTTTGGGAATTCACCAAAATTAGACGCATTTTGGACAATGTTCCCCATTCCGAGTTTGTCGTCCTTGCTCCCCTGCACCGAAGGTCAGCCTAGTTAACCTGAACAACAAACTATTCGCATACAGATAAATTGAAAGAAAAAAAAACTTTTTTAAGAATCGTTTTGATTAAGTATTAAATTTAAAATTGAGGCTTCTTTTTTTATTATTATCATTGTTAGAGTAACTAAAACACAAAATAAACCCATTATTTTCTCGTGGATAACACACAAAACCTACTCTATGAACAAGTTGCGCATTTCTTAAGAAAAGAAAAGATAACTCTGTGTGACAAGTCTATATGACATTTCAAATAAGGAATTCATTTTTCACATTGATGTACTCTGATCTGTTAATTATCGTTGAAACCGAGATGATATTGCTGTGGTTTAATCGGGATGTCCCCAGCTGACAGTAAAAAGACTTATTTGAATTGCCCCAGTTAACAGGTTAAGACAGAGACATATAAAAACCATATGTCTCTGTTTGTATCAAAGACTAATGAAAGCAATGTTAAATATGGTACTAATAAAATCAAATAATTATTAAATTTAAGGAAATTATGTAATAATATGAAATATATTAATGTGGTGCCATTCAAATTTTCAGATAGCACAAGCAGCTTCTGTCCACCCATCATAGTCATTTCTTAAAAAATGTCTGGACGGCACAGTGAAAGTTCTCCACTTATCAATCTTCCATCTGTTGTGGCATCAAAGATCTTGAGCTATTTACCTTGGCAGGAAAAAACGATTGTAGCTAGTGTCATCCCATCTTGGACAGAGGCCCTAAGATGTACAGAAGCCTGGAGTTGTGTAAATTATGGCCCAGAAATTGATGATAATGTCTATTTTGTCACAGCAGGGAGAGCTGATTTTGTGACCTGTGTGAAACAATATGGAAATTTTATGAGATCCATTCACCTTTGTTTTGGACACATAATAGCTCACCCAATGGAACCTACGGGAGAACAGATTTTGATGTTAATACATAAGAGATGTGGTAATCTAACAGCGCTTCATGTAGAACAAGAAGTCCCTGAGGGTTCTCACACTGTTCTCTCATATCACTGGCCATCTTCAGCTGGTGTTCTTATTAACAGTATGGCAGTTGAATTCAAATCTCTGAAATTGATTTCTCTCAGTCAACCTGTTATCGTATGGAACCAAGAAGATAAAGAGAATATACTGTTGATATTGACATGCAGTAGTGCTGCAAGTAAAATCACGGAATTAGAATTAACCTACCTCTCACTCATAAATCAGGAAGGAAAACTTCAGCTGTTGAAAAACTTCACAGGTCTTCGAAAATTAACTGTTCGCAGAGAGAAGGTAAACAATGACATTCTGTTACACCTTGTAAAACACTCTTTGAAGGAGCTCATTCTTTATCAGGAAGAGGAATTACCTTATAAAGATCAACAAGACCTTGGAGAAAATTTCTGGTTAGAGGTCAAAAAGGTGTGTCCTACCTTTAGAGTGGACTTAATTCTGAGATATGTTATGATTCTAAAGATTCTCTTTCCATCCAGTATGCCACTCAGGAACTTAGTGTTGGATTTTCTTGTTAATGTGATGACAAAGGGAATTATGGATCACATCTCAGATTGTTATAAGGACACATTACAAAGGTTTACATACACCAACTCTTTCTTAGAAAATGAGGAGATGGGAGATTCCAGAGTCCCTGCATCACTTATCAGCCTTGCTCAAAAGTGCTCTCATCTTGAAACTCTAGAGTATGGATTTCCATTATCAAGTTCTTCAATTTTCTTAATTGCTCAATCAAGGAAACTGAAGAACTTGGTTGTTCCATCTGTAGAAGTTTCCTATGTTAATGAAATATCTACAGATATCTCTGGATCCAAGGCAGAGGAGTACATAAACTTCATAAATGATGCTGAAAATTCTAGAAAAACTTTAGAAACAGCTGTGTCTCATATACTAGGGTACCATTGGACTTTGCATGATGGTCCACTGAAAGTGAATGAACGAATCAAATTTTGATGGTTGTTTTTACGTAATGATGTATAAGAATTAAAGGATTATACTTAGTTTGCATCAATTTTGTATCAGTCTTTTGGTTTGCTTAAAAAGAATTATAATATAGTCCCCTTCCAGTAAAACAGAAGGGGACTTAAGGTTTTCTCTCTATCCATCTGCCTCTCAGTCTCTCTCCCACCTGGTTGTGTGTGTGTGTGTGTGTGTGTGTACACACATACACTAATATTAAAAGTGGTGAACTTTGTTATCTCGAACTTCATCCTCTCAAATGTTGAAGTGAGTTAAAAGTCCCAACCAATTTTTGCTTGATGTATTTTAAGCACAATATCTCGAATAATCAGATATCTCAAAGTTTTTTCTTGTTCCCATTCGGTTTGAGATGATGAGGTTTGACTTATGGCATCACAATGTTTATTATACATTTACATAGACATTGTTGTAGAACCTAATATACAGAGATCCCCCCATTGTAGATCAATCTATATTTTAAAAGAGAATGTAGTCACTACATGTATTACAACCAAATAAACAGTTATTAAGGTGGGTTCTGGAGAGATGGTGGGCAGTGAATTGTAAGTAATGAATTTCATAAATTATTTGTTAATTCCAATCCTGTTTTACCTGATGAAACTCTAGAAGTCTAAAACAGTCAAATTATAAATTGAGTTTGGCCAAAGGAAAAATCAAAAGCCTGAAAGGCTTCAATGACGTCGAACAAGAAAAACAATTTCAAAAGATCATTTTGAATTTGAAGATAGCAATAAGTCAAGTGAGTGACCCAGGAGACATGATAAAAAAATATCACAATAACAGTCATGGTCCGAATGGAGCAAGGTTCGAATTGACCAGACACCGTCGAACATGTTCATGCTAAATTCTTTTCAGTCAATTGAAGAACTATGAAGGATTTCATGAATTTATATAATATTTTTTCTAATTGCCAATGTCAAAGCGTTGTATTAGTGATTGCATCTAAACTATTACCAAGACTCTGTCCGTTACAATTACGATCGAGTTACGATCAGGCGTGGTATACTGGGAAATGGAGAAATACAGTAATACTGGTCAATATCATCGGTTTTTAGGATAGAGTTGGTAGAAGATTGTATAAGTAAAGCTAAGATTTAGAAATTCAATCTTTTTAGTCTTGAAGTATTCGTGTTTATGTAATTTTGTAATTATTTTACCTCCTGTTGTGTTGTTTATGTTACACGGTTATCGTTCGGAAATGTTATTCATGTTATTCAACGCACCCTTTCTGTAGAAATTCATCCGCAACAACCATCACGTTTTTCTTGTGTGAGAATAAAACATAATATTGTTGTTTTGCAATAGAATTAATTGCAGATATAATTGATGCAATTTTATTTTCAAGGTACATGTATTATTCATTTTGAGCGTTTTCAAAGAAATTGGTTTATAGCTATTGCCATTTTCTATTGCGGATGCATCGACTGACACATTCGGTCGCGTACATATCCGATCGCGATTTCAACTGGGCGCTTGCTATATGACGTTCGAGCTCCAAGAGCTCGACGTCATAAAAATTAAAGTCTTTATGGTTTGATATGAACGAGAAATGCAGAGAGATAAAAATAAATATAAAACATAGGTAATAAGAGATTACAGAGCTCACCTCAACAAATGTCTTCAAGTAAGACAAAGTCCCACATTGAACTAATAATCTAGTAGTGTGCATCCCTAGATGCAACATTTATGCAATTTTGGTCCGATAGGGCTTGCAGTTAATTGGGATGGACTTACCTAAAAACTAGTCACTCATCCAGGAAATATAAGTCAAATCCAGCATCTGAAGCAAGTGTGAGAGTGTTCATCCCTGAAGCATCATCCATGCAAATTTGGTTCAGATAGCCCTTATAGTTTACTTTAACCTGGTCACTCATCTGAAAAATGTAGGTCAAATACAGCATCCAAAGCAAGCTTGGTAGTTTGCATATTAAGATGTATCATCCACGCAAGTTTGGTCAACATATGGCTTAAAGTTACTTGGATATTGGACCTGCTCCAAAAACTTTAACCTGGTTACTCATCCGAAAAAAGGTAGGTCAGATCCAGCATCCGAATCAAGTCTAGTAGTGTGCATCCTTAGATGTATCATCCAAGCATGTGGTCAATATAGGGCTTATATTTACTTGGAAATAAGACCTGCTCAAAAACTTTAACCTGATCACTCACCGGAAAATCTAGGTCAGATCCATATATTTCATCCAGCGTCAGAAGCAAGCCTGGTAGTGTGCATCCTTAGATGTATCATCCATGCACGTCTGGTCAATTTAGGGCTTATAGTTACTTGGAAAAGAGACCTGCTCCAAAACTTTAACCTGCTCCAAGAACTTTAACCTTGTCATTTTTCAGCTGAAATTGGAGCATCTGAAACCTTGACTGGTACAATGAAACATACTAGAAGCATCCTCTATGCATCCCTGATTAATATAGGGTATAGAAGTACTTGTAAAGAAATCTGCTCCAAAAACTTTAATCTGGGACGCCGACACTGACGTTATTACAAGTTTGTTGAAGTGAGCTAAAAATAAGCCAGTATGGAAAATGACAGGATGAAGACTTTAAATTAAATAAAGGGCATCAAAGGAAGGGAGTCGGAATAAAATACATAATCGAAGATTATGAGCCTCAGTGAAGTTTTATCCAAAAATAAAGCAGTTCCAAAGAAATCTTCTAGAAGTGTGCATTCCTAGAAGCAACGTCCTTGGCTGCAAGTTTGGTCACCATAGGGTTTATAGTTACTTGTAAGTCAGTTGCAGCTTTTGAAGTTGATCTAGTAGTGTACATCCTTAAATGCAACATCTGTGCAATTTTGACCACATAAGGCTGATAGGGATAGAACTGCTCCAATATAATCCTGTTCATGCTGCATAAAAGCATGCCTGGTAGTGTGTATCCCTGAGCTGCTCCTAAAACCTTAACCTGTTCAATCATCCAGTGAATGTAGGTCGGATGCAGCATCCAAAGTAAGTCTAGCAGTGTACATCTCTAGATGCAGCATCTGAAACAAGTACGGTCAGGGTAGGGCATATAGTTACTTAAGACTTGAATTCACCTTCACTCATCCAGAAATGGAAGTCTAATGCACTCATACAGAAAATGCAAGTCTGACGCAGATTTGGTCGGGATATGGCTAAAAGTTACATGGGAATGGATCTGATTTAAAAACTCATCAAAATAACAGATGTTTGCGAAACACTTATGCCCCCCCTCCCCCCCCCCCCCCCAAATAATTGGAATTTTTCCAAGTCCAAGGGGCATAAATCTGTCAAACATTGCTCGATCGTACCCAAAACAGAACTTGACCTAGATATTTTTATGATAAATCTGTATACCAAATAAATTTCATTTCAGTATGTGCAACCTCTATGAAGAAAATGAACAGAAACTGCAAATAATTCGAATTTTTCAAAGTCCATTGGGCATATATCTGTCAAAAATTGCTCAATCGCACCCAAAACAGAACTTGACCTAGATATTGTTATGATAAATCTGTATACCAAATTTCATTTCAGTATGTGCAACCTCTGCGAAGAAAATGAATGGAAACTTGGTGGACCGACAGACAGACTGACAAACAGCAGCAAAGCAATATGCCCTCCCTTCTTCAAAAGAGGGCATAAAAATGTAGGTCATCCAAAGTTTGAGTTCCTATCTACATCATCCATGTATTTAGTCAGATTACATGGGAATGGATCTGCCCCATAACCTTTAACAGGAATGTCTACACCAATGAAAGCAGTATAGCTTTTCAATTTGTGGAGATGAGCATGAAGAAAAATTTTAATACATGGGAAAATCTGCATATTCATGTTTTACACATCAATGTACATTGGTCATTGTGGGAAATATAGAGTGTTATCTGACATTAATAATAATTAAAATTCAGGATTACAAATGTTTACCATTTATCCAAAGAACAAGAAGAGGGTACTTTCTGTTATACATGTACATTTTATTTACAAATTCAGTGAACATATAATTGCGAGTATGATGTATAGATGAGGCAAAATAATGAGAAATAAAACATAAATACTTCAGAGACTTTCACATGATTTGTTAAAATGAAAATATAGCTAAACTTTTCCAATTGTGAAAATCAACCCACTGAAATTAAAATAATAAATTTTCGCCTCTTAGATTTTAACATCCATCACAGGTGTATGCAAGTGTATTAACATCTCACTACTGATAACTACTTCACAAAATAAAAGTCAATTCAAAAGTATTGTCTATCTATTTTTTTTTAAAAAAGTACACATAAAACATAAGATCAGTACTCCTTTAAAACAGCTTCACACCTGGCATGTCCTTATCATCAGGAGAACTGGACTTTATCAACAAGAATGTCTGAGGAGAACAGGTACCTTAGTCCATGTGACACTGTTCTTAATTCACAATCATAAAAGAATATTTCTGAGGCATTATATGTCCAGTTACTTCGTTAAAGCTCGAGTGTCTTGATCAATATGACCGATTTGTCCATTAATAGCTGCCTTTTCTTTAGTCTGTATCCATCTGTAACAAAAAATAAGCACATTAAGATTTTTAATATTTGTATCACACTGACAACAGATTCAGTTACAAAATAACGGAAAAATCACCTATAAAGTACCGGTATCGTAATTGACAAATAAACACTTCATAAATATAATTTCACCATGTTTTTAAAAATAATGCTTAATCAATCTTTGCATCAAACATATCTTTGTTGTATACACAGAGAGGAAGAGTTATTCCTAACCTCCACTCAACTTAAAGCTGTCCAAATGAAACATATATGATATAAGTAATAATTTTGGCTAAGTTCAGAAAAAAACAAGGGAACTGCAAAGTGGAGCATCCCCCTTGCAACAAAACTCATTTCTAACAGGCCTGTTAAACACCCACTCGCATAAAAATTAATACTAACTGTTGTTTATAAAATCTAGCCCCCCCCCCCCCCTTCAAAAAAATGAAAAAATTTAAATTAAAAAAAGAAAAAAAAGCAAACACACCAAAAAGAAATGATACTGCAGAATCTCAGCATATTAGTGTGTGAAGACTTATCATGGATTTCAGAATTTAACATACTCAACATTGATCATGGTTTTTTGCTTATGTGATTACCGGTAGTCCCACTTTCCATTGATTTGCTAGTGATATAGAATTACTTCCCTTCCAATGTCAAGAAATGACAATAGGAAAATTTAACATTGAATCACCTTCTTTTCTTTTTTATTTCTGCATTAAAAAAGGACATCAAAACTTTTAAAAACATGATATCAATAAATCATCTTACATCATCATTTAGTTGAGTCTGGCAAAAATTTACATTTCACCTGACAGAATATCCAGTAAATGATACTTCAGTGATTCTGGAAGGGGCATATCCTCGACAGAGAAATTTTCATCCTTTTTATTATGGCCTTTTTTCGGCCCCTTTGCAACTGGATGAATTTGAAATGGTAGAAATTAAACATACTTATCTCTTTAACATAACTCTATCTAGGCAAAGAACTGCGAACGATAGTATTGTTCTCCCGCCTACCTCCAAGTCAATTTTCAAAAGTTAATATATTCGAATGATTTTTAATATTTATATTGATATTTATATGGATTTTCATAAAACATTACTTCTTTGGGAAAACAACAAGAGATAACTCTAAAATTTTGGTAAAACTCATGTTTTTCACTATAGAAATCAACGGAAAACGGAAAATATTTTTAAAACATCTCCCCCCCCCCCCCCCCCCCCCCGTGAAACAAAAATTCCCTTTTACGGGTACTATGGAAATATGGACTGTCATTTCACAAATTCATACCAAAGCTTTTTGTGTTTCACGGGGGGAACATATGTTTATATACAAAAAACGACACAAATGCTTATTTTTTCAGCAATTTCCAAGTGCTTTACAACTGAAACATTATATTTTACTAATATATATGCTTAATTTTATATGCATAAAACATAAGAAAAGATTTAAGAAACATTTATTCATATCCAAGACTATTTCAGAATACGGTGATGCTTTATAGCCCGATTTCAGTGGAAAATATTGTCTACCCCCCCCCCCCCCCCCTTATTTCAAGAGCTGGAATTAGGGATATTTTACTATTTAGCACTGGAATTAAAATAATTGATCAATTACCATTGAACTGTTCTTTGTATTAAACAAAGATTTTATGGCCAAATTGTCATCAATATTGAATTAAATGGTTGTAAAATGTAGGCGGGAATCGGGAGTTACCTTGCGTAGTTCTTTAAAAACATGGCAAAATCATCTGGAAGTGAATATATGTGAACATGGGGCAAAAACAATCCTGTATACAGTAAAAGAATTGTCCATTAGATACAAACTTGATAAATTTCCTTCATTCTTACATTGTGACTGATTGTGAATTTTTAAAAGACCTTTTCTATACTTTTGTAAACTTTTTATTTTCTTTATCGATAGCAAAGACACAATGTAGAATACAAAGGCTGATGGATATAACGTCCTACCAAAGACACAATGTAGAATAAAAAGGCTGATGGATATAGCATGTCCTACAGTCCAACTCTGTATGAGATACAGCACTCATCTGCCACACATTTAATGGATCTTAACTATAGTAATGCCTATTAGTACCTTTGAGTTATAAGCATCAAGCTCTGCATCTAGTTCCTCTGCAGTCATCTGGGTTTTGCCACCACGCCCCCGTCCTCGTCCTCCCCCACCTCTGCCTCTTCCGCCCCTGTTACCCCTGTTTCCTCCACCTCCTCGTTGCCTGTTGCCACCAAATTTGCTGTCAGAAAAATTCCACATATTACATCCATATACACAATGGACATGCTTACACACTTCTGTTGCCTTCATTTTTGTCTCAAACTTATATTGATAAAGAGAATCTGTGTTATACCATTCTGCCTGTAATGCAGGAAAAATTTAGTCTTGTTTCACAGAAACTTTGAAAATGCCAAGTCTTGTGACATGATCATAAACATTTTGATTGTCAAATCCGAGTTTGTTTTTCAAATGTGTTTCTGCATCACTGCTGAAGTATCAGCAAATTGTTTCAATCATAAATTGCAACTTCTAACAAAATTTTCTCCTATCAGGTAAACCTCTCCATATCCAATCTTGCTTTGCTTTGACCTACTACTGAATTTTTTACGGACATACTTAACACATACAGGTAACTCTTGATGGCTCGAACTTCGATCTCTCGAAGTTCTTGATCGCTCGAAGTGAGTCTCCGGTCCCGAATTTTTCCACTACATCACTAAGCAAATTTACTCTTGATTTCTCGAACTCTTGATCTCTCGAAACCCTTGATCCCTCGAAGTCAAAATGCAGTCCCGCTATGCATATTCTATTAGAATTTACCCTCGATACCTCGAAGTGGCTATGTGTATACAAGATTATATAATTAGCACCTTTACCTGGACATTTAAATGGCCCCAGGCAGAAGACGCGGGTCTCGAGGGACAGGATGTTTATTCAGGTGACACTTATGCTGCAAGGTGATAATTGATTTATAATGAATCATATTTTGCCTATATGCTATTAAAATAATTATCATCGACTGTTTTAAGATAATTTAGAGACGCAGTGTCATTGAAAAGTAGTAATTTATTAAAAGGCAAAACACTAATTTAATTTTTATTTCGAGTCAGTGTCAAAGTTAAACGAAATATGAAAAAAGCAGAAACAGCCTCAATGTCAATATGACGACTTTTATTGCGGACAAATACTTACAGAACTGTGTTCAATGATCATGTTTGGAATAGAAAAAACTCTATACGACGCTGTAAAATGTCGTTTTCATGTAACGAATGCGTAGTATGACGTCTGTATTACAAAGAATAAATAAATATACATGATATGACGATATACATTTTTTGCTTTACTCAGTTTAATGAAATATTCATCTGAATTACGAAAAAATATCGTTGTTTTATAAAAACCACGTGTAAAAGGTTAGCACTGCATGAAAATTATTACATCCGGTAAGACTAATTCTAAAACCTGTCAACAAACCCGGAAAATTCCGGACTCTTGAAAACTCGAACTCTTGATCTCTCAAAGTTTTTCCTCGGTCCCGCGGACTTCGAGGTTTCTCGAGTTACCTGTATATAATTTTTTTCATACAGAATTATTACCAAATTTCATCAATTTCCCCTGAAAAAAATATCAAAAATTCCCCAAATAGGTGTCCAAAATATTCCAGTGGGATTAATTGATCAAAGTTTTATCTCAAATAAATTTTGATACACATATTTTATATCATGCACCTTTGACCCTTTTAGCAGTATTATATGATTATAGTTCAATATCCACTCTGTCATGCCAATTTTTTTTTTAAATCTATATTTCCTACATTTTCTCTGTTCTAGTAATAGAGATAGCTTATATATACATGTAGATTCAGTTGTGATGAAAATGAAGTTATTTTAAATATTCAATTCACTAGAGAGTATGCATAATAAGTCATTTCAGAAAAAATATATACATATTTACAGTGCATTTCAAGTTGAAGTTAAAACAACAAGCAAGATAGATTTGTGGTACACTGATGTCAAGGTTGAAGTCTTTCAAAAGTAGGTAAAACGTCCAAGTCAAGTTCAAGAAGTCAAAAATATTGGTATCCAGAGAAAGGTCTTGTCACAAGGAATAAACATGTGAAATATGAAAGCCCTAGCACTAACCATTCAAAAATTATGGTCAAGATGAAGAGTTTCTCAAAAGTAGGTCAAGCTCCAAGGCTATGGTCATCAGGTCAAAAATGTTGGTACCAAAAGAAAGGACTTGTCACAAGAAATAAGAGAACCCTAGCACTGACTATTCAAAGTTATGGCCAAGGATAAATTTTCTCAAAACTCAAAAGTACTTCAAATTTTTATGTCAAGGTCAATTTTGGTATCAAAAGGAAGGCCTTGTCACAAGAAAGATGCATGTGAAATATAAATGCCCTAGCAAAAACCATACAGAAGTTATGGACAAGATGAAACTACAATGTAAGTGGGTCAAATCAATCTTCAAGGTCAAGGTTATGAAATCAAAAATAGACATCCAAAGAAAGCTCTTGTCACAACCAATACATACATATTTGTAACAGGGTTTCAGGTTGAAATAAGTAACTATAGGTCACCTTATTTAACAGAGAATAGACCATCCTGTCCTAAATCTCCTGTAATTATATGCTAATTTTAGACAATATTCAGGTCTTCCATCTCATAACAATATGAAGTCATGTGAATACAAAGTACAAGTCTACTCCAGATATATTGAAATTGAAGGGACCAACAGATTTTTTTCAATATTATTGAAGTTCAAAATAAGCAAAATTGGTCAAGTGAAGACAATGTTTATAAATCCTGATCAGAGCTTTTTTCATTTTTTGACTTTTTAACTAAGGCAGACACTGATTCATTTTAATTGTTTAAAGAAAATGTTTGACAATCTGTAGAGCCCAATGACAAGAAAAATAGGACATAGTATGTACTTTGAACAATAGAAAAGAAAGCTTGTTAATCTAATGATAATCATTTCTTTGTTTGTTTTTTTTTAATAACCATAACTCTGGATTTATTTAAAGTTCAATTTCACACAAGGAAAAAATAACACCCCCCCCCCCCAATAACATAATCATATGTCACATCATAACATCTATACATATTTTTGAATGTAAAGAAAAGCTTTGTCCGGTAAGTAAAAACTTGGTCTGGTTAATTAAATAGTTTTTTTCAGTCTTATTTCCAAAACTGTCCAAGAGAAACGCTCCGCAAATTATTCCCAAAATCTTGAAATGTCCATGATTTTTCCAAATAAGAAGGGCAAACAGTAGCTTTAAAATTTGACTGAAATTGTGTGATATTGAGATATTTGCTATTCTTTTGCCCTTGTAAAAATTTGTTTTCTAAACACCAGTAACTTATGTGCCCATATTTTATTCCCTTCCTTGAATTAACAAAAACAAAAATAGATTTTAAAGAAATGTGATAATCTGACACACCTTCCACCACCTCCTAGAGATCCACCACCTCGTCTCCCTATTCTGCTGGACATTGTGACTGACTCTGTGGCACCAATCAATTGTATATTCATAGGTCTACCTACAAACAATTTCAAATCTTAATAATCTCTATTTCTCTTTGGCTTTATTTTTTAAATTTATATCAAAGGTAATAAAAGTTCCACTTATCTGCATCAAGAAAACTTTTAAGCATCATTTATGCTGTATTAAAGTAAAAGAAAATACTTAAACAATTGTTGTGGAATATTAGAATTGTTTTTTACCATCTAAAGGAACATTATTGTACTGTTTCATAGCCTTCTGAGCATCAGGACGCCGTTCAAATACAACCTCCGCTGTTCCTATAGATCTTCCAGATTTGTCATAATGGACTGCAGCCATCTTAAGAGGACCAAATTCAGCAAATAATTCCTGTAGAATTAAAAAAGGATGATCCATGTGAAGTTTCAATCAAAGTGTGTGCTTATAATTTTTAAATTCAATTTCAAATTTGCAATTTTGACAAAAATTTAAAATCTTTATTCCCTCCAAGTAAAGATTATTGGAATAAATTCAAAACTTTGATACTGAAAAAAATACAACATATTATATTTAGATTATCAGTGATTCTTTTTGTTTTTAAACTTTTGGAAAAAATTAGCAGCATTTTCCTAAAAATTGGGGAAAATCCTTTTTAGTAAATAAGAATGATAAAAGAATGCATAAAATAATGAATCAAACATAAGGAACAACAAATGTGTTTGTTTGAGGTTTACTTCAGATTTCATTTCATGAAATAAAATAAATAATTTAATTTTTTTTTTTAACAGTAAATAATTTGAATGCAGACATAACTCATACTTATTTTAGCCACATATTGTATAACTATGATTTATTATCTTGGAATTACTTATTTTCTAATTTAATAAACTGCCTTCTTTTAATTATCAAGTTTACAGAACCTTTTCTGTTGTTTTGCTGATTTTAGTGAAATCTTAAAGTATTGTCCATTTCCTGTTACTAGCCTGGCCCTATATTTAATAATAGCGGTCAAACTAAAAATATCAACAACAAAGCTTGTACCTGGGAACTAAACACTAATTATTATAAAACAAACTTGGTATCTGTTCATATGGATACCGCCAATGCTTTACAAATTTACCACAAAACCTTTTTTATGAAATTAAAAATCAAAACCAACTTACTTTTATCAGCAATTTCGGTGACTTTTGTTTTTGAAATTGGCGAAAAACATATTTATAATTGGGGGAAAAAAGCTAATTTTTATTAAAGGGGAAACGGAGTCTGTTTGAAAGTTTTTATTTGGTCACATAGGACATTTGGTCCTTCCTACTAGAGGAACACAAAGGTCCAAACCAAGATTTGTCAGACCGATAAAGTGAAACGTAAAAATGCAGAGCCAAGGAAATCTTCTAGTCTATGCGGTTTTAATCACACTCATTTATGTACTTGGATTTGTGCAATTTTTTTTTCTTAAAAATAAACATATTTATGACTCCCTTTCAAACAGTAAAACTCAAAACCAAACACTGAGATATCAGACATTACAATACAGTGTAAAATACGATGCATCAGAGGTGGGACACTGTAAATTGGTCAGGTCTGCAGTCTGATGTCTTTTCACATAGACTGGTTCAAACAGCCTAATATTGGTGGCATTTTGGCCCCCCATAAATCACTGATTTTTGTGGCATCTTATTAGATATGAGACCCCCTAGGTTACACAGTTACGCTTCTGCACCTGTATATCAGAGTCATTCACACCGAAGTCAAGATTTGAGATGTGAAGTTTTCCATCTCCACTTCCACCACCACTGCCTCCAAATCGCTTGACTGGGACCACACCACCATCAAACATGTCATGTTGCCAAACATCAGGTAATTCCTTGGGCTGAAATGTATTATACACATAGTCGGTATTTGTATACAGACAACAAAACTTCATTTCCACTAAAAATCAATAGTTGTGCCCGACGATTCAACTACACAATTCAGTTTAAGTTTTTACTTTAATTCAAATCATTTGTTCAGTGTAATTTTTATGACGTCACAAAAACAAGAACTCATTTTGCTTTGCAAATTCACTTTCTAATTAAGTATCGAATTCGCAATGATTCAGGTCCAGTGACATTCTTACTTTTCATTTGTAATGGACCTGGTTGATAGCTGAGACTGAAATAAAACTTACACGACTGTATTGTTGAGATCTCCCCGTGCTGTTACGTTTCTGTATACCACCTCTAAAGGCACCTCGTCCCCCTCCTCCACGGTTTCCCCGATTCCGACCACCGCGGGGGCTTTTGTTGAATCTGCCACCACCACCGCGTCCCCCGCCTCGGCCTCCTCCACGCCCTCCCTTTTTGTTCTGTTTGATTATATCATCTAGACTTAAGTCCAACTTATCTGCCATTATTGATCAATGAACCCCGTACCTCCCTTTTTCTAAGATTTTTCGAAGTTTTGGTAGTCGCGTGGGTTCCCGGTCTTATTGTATGACAAATATGGCGGCACTAATGCATTGTGGGTATACTGAACAAAAAGAATAGAACCAATACAGACGGAAATGATCTTTCCCAAAAGAATTATATTCTTTGAAGAATTTCCAACGGCACTTATCCTCATTTTCACTTTTTAGTTAGGAATGTCAGACAACTCGGCCCACCGACACCTCGGCCAGGGTGAGGGTCCTTGATCGTAAACTTACGAAAATTATTTGGAATTTCAAGCCAACGATATCTAACTAAAAAAGTGAAAATAAGGATAAGTGCCGTTGGAAATTCTTCTAAGAATATAATATTCTTTACATCTACTTCTTGTGGAAAATGTAATCAAAAAAATCTGCAGTATCATGGTTACGATCGTTTATCTTGTATTTAAAAAAATGAAAAGAAAAAAATGAGACATTTAATTGTTTATATATAGATCTATATGTCTATATAAATTATCGTATAAAGATATATGTAAAATAAATTGCATTTTTTGGTCTGTACTTCATTTTATGTTTCTTTTTGGAAAATCACACTTGCTTTAATACAAGTAGCCTTGAAATAGGGAGAAAAGCTGAACGGACTCGAACTAGTTATAAGCGACGATATAATAAATTTATGAATGGAAGTTTTTTTTTAATTTTAAAAATGAGAAAATATTCAATGGATGTTAATGTCTTTAATAACCGTCTCCCAATTAAGTCCGATCGTAATTACAACCCCCTGTTGTCAGCAATATAACACGCACTTGACCGTCAGAAAAATTGTGTAGATACATGTATAAGATCATTGGCCTTGTCATGATTTGCTCTTTTTAGGAGCGTATTTTTTTTATTTCTAAATTTCTTAATTATTTGTGCATAAATAATTTTAGAGAGTGTTACTTTTATCTATTGATTATGGTGTTCTGCAGGTTTCATGCATTTCACTCGACCAGTAAATCAACATTAAGTCATTTTCTGTCTAAATATATTATTTCAAATGAATTTGATGCATTGGAAATGAAATTCAAACAAACAGAAGCACGGAAAAGGTGGAGGGGGGGTGTCTTTTACCGTGGCCTCCAAAGGATGCGCCTCGGCATTTTGTTTGTTTATCAATTTGCACTTTTAATTTAAGCATTGTCTTCTCATTCCTTGAATATCGTCAATGTGCTCGTGGAAGGTCTTTTTTTCTTTCTTTTTTTTTTTTTTTTTTTTTAAATCTTGATAGTTTATACTTGTCCTTTTTTCCAATATTAATATTTAATTCAAGTCCCAAAATTAGAAATATATAATTCATAGTAAAATTTTGCTTGGGCCGAGGTGTCTCATGCATGGGCCGACCTGTCTTAAATCTTCGACAGACCCGTTTGAGCCGAGATGTCATTGGGCCAAAATGTCAATGGGCCGAGGTGTCTGACACCCCTCCCCCCCAAATAATTTTGCCTGTATACTTACTAGTACATGTATACAATTATAGTCCAAATGCGAATCCAGCGCCGCTGCGCCGGGCACCCCCCCCCCCCTTCGGTTTGATTAAAAAAAAATGTTTGTATGACAAGCATTTACCTTCAGTTTAGTTCCAGTTAGTATATAAATACACATCTTATTTGTAAGAATTCTTCAGCTTCCGGGGCTTTCGCATCCGGACCCCCCACCAGGGCTTTGGCCTGGACCCATAGGGGGGCTTCAATGCAGCCCCAGACCCCTCCCCCACGTTATGAAATTCCGCCACTGCATCCGGAAAACACAAATCCATTTAACGGTTGTGTCTCCTCAATAATAATGCCCATCTATGTACATGTGGTTGCGCCCCCTTCCTTTTTCCTATATATTTTGAACTGCATTGGTGGTCCCATCCTTTCCCCAGAATCTGAAATTGCTTCCTACAGACCTGATAATGCATTGTAATGACTTTCTTTGACTTTTCATCTCCCTATCATAGGGGCTTGTCTTAATTCCGGATTAATTGTTAAATATAAAATAAATTTTAAAAATTTTGAGAAAAAACGACGTACCACACCTATATACATAAACTAGTTTATGTATATAGGTTTTTTACGTCTTTTTAAACGTGATTTTTCTTGACTGAAAGTGTCAGAATCTCTATTTTAACAACTTTTAAGTGTATTTAAAGAAGATTGAAAATTTTTAAAATTTATTTTATATTTAACAATCCGGAAAACAAGCCCCTATGCTCCGTATCACAGTTGCTAATTAGTCCAGAGATTAGTCAAAGTAAGATTTTTTTTTCATTTTATTTTCCGATTCCTTCATATTTCTCTTACTTTTCATGCACGGGTATGCATGCATGAAAACTTTCATTCTTTTTCGATAGCTTTTTTATCATGTTTAATATTTTTTTCTTTCGGTAGTCAATGTTGCTTATTAATTTTCATTATTAATTTGTGTATTTGATTGGTAGATTTTATACACATTTAGCTCCCATGATGTGTTTATTAAACAAGGTCAAGATCAGCCGGTTATCTTTTCGGTTTTATAGATTAATTATGACGTTATAATAAATCTAAATTTAGCTATTTTGATTTTTTTTTTTGGGGGGGGGGGGCATTTTTTACAACAATTTTGAATTTATTATTCATTTATTTTTAACTGCATATGCTTTTAGGCCTAGTAGTGGCAGTAAGAATACCCGACCAAGGTGTAAATGCTATATCATACACTTATAGAAATTGCTTAGCTGAGTTAACTTTGTTGATGTCTTCAACTCTTATATGTCTCTGCTCAATCTTAAAACCTTTTATAATTTTTTCCAAGAATTTGTATTGGACGTATTGCTACTTTAACACGTTTCCTCACAAAAAATTAAGGTATCTTACCAGGCATTTGTGCAAGACACCAGAGGATGCTATTTACTTTTGAATCCTATTGGAAATCACTAGCATTGCCAGTATCACAATTTTTAAGTATCTACTTAGACATTTTAAAAACAGTTTAAAATCACAAGACAATGATAATTATGATTAATTTGTTGTATATTACGAAGAGATACAAAACAGATATTCGAGTAACGTGTCGTCAGACCTTTCAATTAAGAGAGGGGGGGGGGGGGGAGTCGACTGAATTGTAGAACGAGTTATCAAATACTTTATTATGCTTTCTTCCTCATTGATGGTAGCGGTCCAGATTCAGAAACAACTACTTACTTCCGCATTTTATCACAATTAATCTGGTTCGATGAGATGCACAGACTCATTGTAAACAATGACGATAATTAAAGGACTGGTCAGTCGACAATGACAGTTCACAGGGAAATGATGGCGGTGGAACAGGACTCCAAAACCAGACTATCTGTCTTCTCTAAGGTAAGGCTAGTCAATGTCACACTTTGACATTGAAGAATTATCGATTCGACCTGGAAAAAACATTTTATCAAGATATTCTTTTCAGTTTCCATCTAGAGAATGACATGTATTTCAGGCATGTCAGAAGTAAACATGTGACCTGCAGCATCACGAAAGTTTACCAGGGACATCTCTGGTTTACATCTGTCACATAGGGTTGTACTAATAATGGTTTGAGAAAAAAGTAATACAGATTTTGTTTTTATAGCAGTTTCAGAAACAATTGTTATTTATCATGATGCTATAAAAAAAGAGGAACTTTTCTTTAAAATATACAATTCACATGCCACAAGGTATGCTTGAGTCACATGCCACAAGGTATGCTTGAGAAGTCATATAATTCAATAGAAGATATTAGTTGTGCATAATATTTGCATGCACATAATATTACTTTGTGTGTGACGGTAGGTCATTCTTTGATGTAATGGGGATTTTTCAATTGTTTGTTGGAGTCTCCAAGTCATGGAACTACATAGATTTGTTAAGCCAGTTCTGAATAGGGTACCAATTTGGTGGTGCTGTAAATATATGCAGACATTGTTTTAAAGTCTAAAAACCTGCAGATTTAAATGTAGCTTCATCAAACTTTAATTTTATGTTAGCAAGTTAACAAGGAAAGTCATTTTACCAGTTGCGAATAAGCTAATGAGTTCCTAATGAGACCCTAAGATCTTTACATCATCAAATGACATGCCTAGGAAAAGTTAAAATAAATGCAACCCAGTAAGTTAATGGTACATGTATTTCCATTGGATAAAGAAAACTAAGAATCAAGTCTACATTAAGGGGAAAAAAGAAAACAAAATATATTATTTTTAGTGTTTATTATGGGTATTCAATCTAGTGAAATGACAGAAAATGACATCAAAAAAATATTCTTATATCTTCTAATGATCTATTATTTAATTTTCTGCAAGCGTTTGGCGTTTGTTAATATACATATTATGCTTACTTTTGATAGTTTGAAGGATAGGAAATGTTTTTACATGTGAAAAATTAAGGTATTGACAGACAATTTTCTGCGGACAAACCATTGCAGGGATTCAGATTTATTGCATTGTAAGGTAGGTTGAATATTTCAAGTACAACATGAAACACAAATTGACCCCCCAAATAAAAATATTACAAAATTCAAGCAAGAATACATTAGCCTTTATACAAGAGGTATCTATTTTATCACTTTTAGATTAATTATTTGTTATCACCTCTTAAATTATTGATTATTCAAACTGGTAAAATATTGGAACTGGCCAAACGATTGTACACTTAGATTACTGTAACAATAGAACAAGGGTTTGTAAGCTCACCCTTTTTTTTTTTTTTTTTTTTTTTGAATTATAAAATTGTTGTTTCAAAAGAAAAAGATCACAAAAAAAAAATACAATAAGAATATTGGCAGTTTCTAGAAAGTCTTTTTGATTTAATATCATGCCATATTCAAGAGTATAATAAATTATAGACATCAAAAACTACACATGACTGATCCCAGTTGTATACTGTCAGCGTTGTGTTGAACTTTGCCTGCCCTGATCTTACTGAGAATTTAACAAAATTTCCTGTTACTTATCTTTTCCATTGATAATTTGTACACAGTGAGCTTTGACAGTAAAAATTTTAAACAATAAGGAACTTTGTTTATTTATTTAAATAATTTTTTCCAGAGCTATGGAAAAATATATTTATAACAAGAAACCCAGTTGGTGTATTAACAGGGTACCGTATATACTCACCTATAAGTCAGTTTTTTGGGAGTTACATTTTGGTCCAAAACTCTATGTCTGACTTATAGGCGAGTCATAAAAAGATTAGTACTTTTCCGGACAGCGAAATGCATGTACTATTCTATAAACATTTCCAAGGATTATCGTTGAAAAAGTCTGGATATATCATTTATGTATTACTATTCTAAGATTACACATAAAGTACAAATATTTACATATTTTAATAACTTTATTTTTATCTTAAGTGTGCATTTAGTATTTTTCTTATTGATTTAAAATTAAATATCGGCGTCATTTCTAAAAATATTAATTGAAACCAGGTTAAAACATCAGAGCATTCATTTGAAATTAGCAACTGATTCTGGCAAAAAGTTGCACCGACTTATAAGCGGGTCAATGGCAAATTCCTCCAAAATAACCTCAAAAAATACAACTGACTTATAGGCGGACCGACTTATAGGCGAGTATATACGGTAGTTAATATTAAATACCATTGTTGATTTGAATTGCCTGTTGCATAAAAATCTTAAGACAATCACATTAATGATAATGATGGATAGTGGATACAGGATGTAAACATGCAGATAGGGATCTTTTCTTAAAAAAAATCTTTTGATGCGAGCCTAAGAACTGGCCCTGTAGGAATTTAATGCAAACTTCCCTGTCTCTTGTTAAGTGTATTTACAGCTGTAATGTTATCTACTTGGATAAGACAGAATGTTCTATTTTTAGCACTGATTTAGAGAATTACATTGTTGTATCATTAAAGAAGGTTGATATTTAAATATACAATTGTTTTAAAGAAGATATATGGTATGGCACTCGTTTTCATACAAACATTTGAAGACATTACATCAATACATGTATTATTATAAAATTCTATTTGAGACAATGTAGAATAATACAGAAAACATTTTTACATAATGCAAATGGTCCTAAGGTCCATTTATTCAAAACTTTCCATAAGTAAACTTGGCAGTCCATCTTTACTTCTGTTAATTAGGAAGTATGGACTTGGACAATGTTTTTATAGTCACAGTGGATTTTTCCCTCCATGTTAATACATTTCTGAAAGACATAATCATTTGGAAGGGAAGACAAAAATGAGTGTGTATGATTGAAAAAAAAAGAACCTTTGCATCTTGCCTTTGCTTCCTGTAGCTAATTTGTTTCCCATATGTTATAATACTGTTAACTACATTCATTATAGAAGTTAGACCTCTTTGTGCCTAGATGATTCACAAAAAAATGTACATCTCTGGCTGATGGTTGCCCTCCTTGTTCAATATCTGCCCATGAGTAGTCTCCCATGAAATAATCTTCTGTGTCGTATATCTCTGTTCTGTTTTTATTGCATGCATCAAGTTCTGCTTGAAGTGAATATGGGTATTGTGAGAGGTACTCACTGAATTTAGAAATGGCAACTTGCCATAAGAGTTTTAAAATATCTCAAAAATCACTATAATGGCTTTAGTCAAGTCACAGGAGGCTTTATTTGAGAGTGATTGTTCAATTGCTGAGGTTTATTATTGCACACAAAATTTTATATTTTAGTCTTTGACCATAACGCTACAGATCCTGTTATGTAATGCAACCAGAAGTCTCTGATGAGACTGTAGCTCTACTGGTCTGTTTGTATAACAAAAGAAAAGTAGCACTTGGATTTGAAACATTGCAACATGCAACAATAAATAGAATTATGTATCTTAATGTAGTCTACTTTTGTGACAAGTTATATTGAAATCAAATGAAAACTAGGAGTAGTAGCGTTTTGAAAGTATTTCACGGAAATTTCTATTTTTAGTAACCATGACAACACCATTCACCCAAAATAAAATAACAGAAATACATATTATGTATCGTAGTGTATTCTAACTGTGTGCCAAATTAAATTGAAATCAGACCAAAATTGTAGGAGGAGTAACGTTTTAAAGGAATTTCAAAGAAATTTCTATTTTAAGTAACCATGGCAACACTGTTCATCGAATTCAAAAACCAATGCAATAAATTATGTATCTTAGTGTTGTCTACTTGTATGCCTAATTATATTAGAAGCAGATTAAAACTGTAGCAGGAGTAGCGTTTTAAAGAAATTTCACAGAAATTTCTATTTTTAGTAACCATGGCAACACCGTCCATCGAAATCAAAAACCGATGCACTAAATTATGTATCTTAGTGTAGTCTACTAGTGTGCCAAGTTATATTGAAATCGGACCAAAACTGTAGCAGGAGTAGCGTTTTAAAGGAATTTCACAGAAATTTCTATTTTTAGTAACCATGGCAACACCGTCCATCGAAATCAAAAACCGATGCACTAAATTATGTATCTTAGTGTAGTCTACTTGTGTGCCAAGTTATATTGAAATCGGACCAAAACTGTAGCAGGAGTAGCGTTTTAAAGGAATTTCACAGAAATTTCTATTTTTAGTAACCATGGCAACACCCTCCATCGAAATCAAAAACCGATGCACTAAATTATGTATCTTAGTGTAGTCTACTTGTGTGCCAAGTTATATTGAAATCGGACCAAAACTGTAGCAGGAGTAGCGTTTTAAAGGAATTTCACAGAAATTTCTATTTTTAGTAACCATGGTAACACCGTCCATCGAAATCAAAAACCGATGCACTAATTTATGTATCTTAGTGTAGTCTACTTGTGTGCCAAGTTATATTGAAATCGGACCAAAACTGTAGCAGGAGTAGCGTTTTAATGGAATTTCACAGAAATTTCTATTTTTAGTAACCATGGCAACACCGTCCATCGAAATCAAAAACCGATGCACTAAATTATGTATCTTAGTGTAGTCTACTTGTGTGCCAAGTTATATTGAAATCGGACCAAAACTGTAGCAGGAGTAGCGTTTTAAAGGAATTTCACAGAAATTTCTATTTTTAGTAACCATGGCAACACCGTCCATCGAAATCAAAAACCGATGCACTAAATTATGTATCTTAGTGTAGTCTACTTGTGTGCCAAGTTATATTGAAATCGGACCAAAACTGTAGGAGGAGTAGTGTTTTGAAAAATTGTTTACAGACAGACGGACAGACAGACAGACAGACAGACAGACAGACAGACAGACGGACGGACGACGGACACCTTACTGTCGCATAAGCTCTTCTGGTCTCTGACCAGTAGAGCTAAAAATGGTGCAATTTATGGTGCAAGATTTTCTGTGCATGGTTGGGGAGAATTTCTCCACTTTAGTTTACAGCACTGGTCAATCAACTACCTTTCATTTCCTAATTCTAGACATATTCATTAACCAACCTGTATATTTTATCCACCTCCTAACCCTTTATAGTCATCTCTACAGACCAATAAACTCGCTTGTTTCGAATTTTTTGTCGGATGGCAGAAAATTCAGATTTGTGGTCAAAGTCTAAAATATAAAATTATAATGCTTCAGTTCTGCAGCTAGTAGTACATGTACATAAATGTATAGTCTCTACCCTGCATGCCAATCAAATACAATTCAGCTCATCTTGACCATGTTTATCAGATCTGTTCATTGCGTTGATATTTCATGTATGCCTTCTTTTGAAAATGCTGTATAAGAGGTTTAGTGAAAATTATGGAGAATTTGTTTCTCTTGCACTTTCCATTTATACACCAATCTGGACAAATTTCTTCTCCTAGTGGTTGTAAGGAAGTATTTTATGTTTTTGGATCTATTGAAATTCAAAGACAAGTCAACTTTTTCGCAAAACTACTACATGTTAAGTCATCATTTTCAGCACAAATTATGCCTCAAAGTCTTGGTACTTTAGCATTTTAATCATTATTATTATTTCCCTTCTATGCCTCTCAGTTCTAACATTTTCCATGATATAAGTTTCAAGGATATGAATTTATGTAATGTTGATTATATAACATTTATTAAAACTATTACGCTATGGTTTTACTTTGTCAGCTCAGTGTGATTCAGTGTTTCTGCAGCATATATTCTGTAATGCAGCTGCAAAATGGGAAACTTCAAATGTACTATGCTTCAGCATATCCGAGAAGTGGTCTAAATCAAATTCTCAAAAACTCCAAAGAACGTTTAAAAAATTTAAAGTTACGAAATTTTTCAAAAGTCAGTAACATCAAAATGTACAACTTTCTACACTTTATACTACCATTCCTCATGATGAGTTCAGCTTTTCCGTCTTAACTTTTCTTGATTTCAACAACCTCGTTTAAATTCAGCATTTAGTAAATTCTGTGGTTGTTATAATGACCTTCTTAGTGAATATAACCTATCATTGGGTCATATTTTGACTGACATATTTCAAACCAATTCTCAGGCCTTTGTTTTTGTACTAAACTTGACTACGGAATACTCTGTCAACCTGACCAGTCAAAAGGGGATGCTTACTTCTCCAATGCATCTGATCCCACATTTTGTGTTCCAGGGGTCCATGTTTTTGTCCCATTAATGATTCCTTGTGTTTTCTGGATATATGAGATTGACCACTGTTTGTTTATTATTATTGTCACCTTTTACATTCTATATCGGATAATCTCCCTCTTTCTCTTATACTCTTGTATTTGGAATGTCATTAAAACTACTTAAGAATTTCGAGAAAAGATAGGTACTGTACAAGCATTGTTATTTGTGAATAAAGCTCTAGATTTAATACATCAGATTCTGATGACAGAGTACAGTCTTTGAGTGGGCTGACAGATAATAGACATGCTTTTATGAAGTGTGACCTAGATTTTTACTGAAGTTTTATACAAGTGTATTTAATCCTTGTTAGCTGATGGGCTTGTAACACAAAGGAAGTCCGCAGGATGAAGATTTAAATGGGTTAAATTTCACGAAAGGATTTTTAAATATATCTAAGAATCTGATGAAATGTTTTTTTAACTGTATATTATTATGACTTATCTAGTAATGGGAAATTCCAGCCATTTTGCTGACATTAGCAGGGTCTGATGTCTATTGAAGATTTCTAATTTGTCGGATAAATAAATTAAGTACCAACTATTGACAGTAGATATTTATTTCCTGATATAAGGGCATTAAAAATCTGCGTAGATGATTTTTTACACACTATACATTTTATGTACAGGGATACATACACGATGTTGATAAATATATGGATTTTCTCGTGACTGTTACGAAATATTTCAATTCCTTTAGCTGCTGAGTGCTGGATTAATTTGTTTATACAACCTGATTTTGTGTGTGTATGTATTGCAAAAAAAAAATTGTGAGAAGATGACACTGCTTTTACTGAGTAGACGAAAACTCATAAGCTTATTGTGGTTAATTAGGAAGAAACAATGCTATAGTGTATAATACCGCATACTTCATTGTAAGTCAGAAATCTTATTATTGGAGATGGAGAATCGTCATATGAGACCTCCAAAGACCTTGTTTGTTAATAAGGTAAATCTTAGCGATAGAAATAGCAGAGGATGTGCTATTTGTACACCATTGAACATTGAAGTCATACAAGGCAAAGGAAAACATGCCCATTTTATAAAATAGCACACATTTTACTAAAAGTTAATGAGATTTTAAAAAAATATGTGTGTTCAAGTAGTAATGATATCTCAAAACATGCAAATGTCCATTTTTTAATGAAATCTATTATCTTCAAGTTCCTTCTAGATCTGTCTGCTTTAATGTTAAATCTAATTTTCTATAAGATGACATTCCTTGATGAAACTAGTTGCATTTTATTCAGAGAAACTTGGTATTGTTGTATATGTGTTCATTATAAAACTTAGGGCTATAGAAATACAGAAACATATTTATTCTGTATAATTTTAGATGGAGAAGATGATAGTTGCCATGGCAAAGTCAGACAATGATGGAATTGTTATGAGGACAAAGAAAAATCTATTTAGTGACCAAATTCAATCCTTTTCAGGTAAGGTTCAGTCATTTATCTCAAAAGTACAAGTATTGGAAGAATGAAGGGAGAAAAAAAAACCTTTTGAAGGCAAGGTTCCATTAGACAAGAATAGATATGGGTTACCCCATATCCAAGATATTCGACTTTTAATTTATTCGAATTTTCATTGTGCTCAGATGATTTCTAATAAAAAAAACAAGTATTTACTGACAAAACGTCAGAGATACTCAAGCTGTAGAAAGTCATAATAAAAGTGCCATAAATATCCTAAAACGACAAAATATTTAGGCTACTGAGTTTCAACATCTTTTGTTGAATAAAATATGCATGTACTAGGAAACAAACTGCATGTTCATATATAACGTTAGATGTAGATGCATGTAGTGACTATCACAAAGTCGCTAAAAATAGTTTTAATTTCACATAGAACATAGACTAAATATAATTAATCGTATAATTTTAAAAATGTATTTAACACCTCGTTCATTTTCAGGAATATTTAAACCAAATAGCATGTTACAGGCCTGTAGCAACGTTTTCAAAGTGAAGGGGGGGGGGGGGCTCCGAAAAAAATCCCGCGTACTATATGGGCCTGTGCTACATGTGTACCATCTAACTTTCCAATGATATAATCTTCTGTAAAAAAAAATTCAAATCAAGTTCAAGCCGTTATGGATTATGAAAGATAGCCCATTTTTTATTAAATAGCAAAACTATAGATCTATCAAGGATAGATTTTAATTTATTTTTTTAATTTTGTGCTATTAAATTACTATCACCCATAGGCAGATATTAAAGATAGTCAACATGTCACCTTTTAGAACGAATGAACTTGTAATCAATGAACTTGTCCAGAGATGCATTGACGGCCGTTGTTAAACGCAAAGGAAAGCGCGAGATCGGTTGCGGCTATGGAGCATCACTGAATATTCCTTCGTCATAGGATAGAATCCGACATTTAACACTTAATATAGATTTTGAATATACAGATGTTTTGAAGATAAACTTAGTATATTTTCGTGTTTTTAAACTGAGTAGATCGATGACCTAGTCTCATTTTAGATAACTCAGCCCCTCTAGCCCAATTTAGGGCTTGAGTAAAAAACCTGCACTTCTTATGAAACTGGTGTATAGTTCTAAACTTCTTCATTTCCGTAGCAAATACTGATACCCAGTCTACGTGATCTAAGCGTCTCTAGCAAACGGTGCACACACCTGTGCTTGCAAGACCAAATAGCCTAGGTCTACACACGTGCGAAGATCCTTTCAGACGAGCTCGGAACGTTACGTTGCTTTGTCGAGAGGTTACGATTGCAGGTGTTTAACCATAATAACCATTCCGTTATTCATTAAAAGAGAGAAAAAAACACACAGTTAATGATTAACATATCCATTCAAAAGAAATTATAAGGCAATGAACGAACAATTATAATGACAGTAATATAACTGGTGAAAAGATTTATTATCAATCGAAGTATGACCTATATATTTTCGGGAAAAAGACTGAGGAGGCAGCGAGCGTAGGAATATGAAAACTTTTTATTTGCTTTTCCGGGGAAAAGATGATTTTCTTAAAATCTTTTTACGTTAATTTTGTTTTCTTTAACGTATTAAATATACATCATTATTCTTAACATTTGTTGTAATCTTGTATCTACTGATCATATGAATGGAACTATTTTCTTCGGAGCAATTGTGTGAAGAGTACCTGACTTTAGTAATATATCTTGAATAGATAATATGCACTGATCGAATATATTAAAAAATGACTTGCTTTTTGTTCATAGGCTTTCATAGTAAAAGCAGGAATATTAATTTGGGCCTGTCCATCTGTCTGTCTGTAACACTTTAGTTTCTGCAAGGTATCCTTTAACTCTTATAATGAAATTTACGACTCTTTCAAAAAAACCCATTGATTTTGAGGTCAAAAGGTCAGTGGCCAAGGTCAGAAATTCATACAGTAAAACTTGTTAAGTATGAATGCAGATGTATTGAATTTATGGATATAGTCTTTTGGGATCCCCTGTGACATTTATAGCAATTCCTTGTAAAAATTTTACAATAAGAAACTCTCATGTAATGAAGTTAATGATATAGCGAACTCATTTTGTCCATTAGAATGAAATTTACGTCTTTTATAATGAATTTTCAGAGATCTCTAAATTGATAATATTGAACTGACATTATGTTTTGCAAGTATTTATATTTGAAATCAAATTAATTGAAAAACTTCAGTACTTGAAGTCGAAGGTTAGTTATGAACATAAAACTTCCCAGTGTTATGTCTGTGGTCATACTTGATGGAAGCATTATATTGTGCATTGGCTAAATATACTTAAAGGAATTTGTTATATATGGATATAAGGAATTACTGATATAGCGAAGTAAATGTACAGGTCCCCAGGGTTTAACTATTACCAAGTTTTACTGTATATTGCATAAAATGGTTTCTAGATGATAACTTTATTTAAGCATTGAATTCTTATTTTTGGATGTCATTGGTCCTATAACACACCTTGAACAAATTGAATACCACACGTTAGTGTTATAGGACCGACAACATCCAAAAAGAAGAATTCAATGCTTATATTTACATTCTCTAATTTTCTCTCTTCATAATTGTTTATTTCGTTAATCTTTATTAAGAATTTAGTGCCTTTCAGAACTGGTGTGCTTAATAGACGCAAGAGCCGTTTGTGACGTTGGAAAGTTAAATAACGCAAATGAACATCGCGAGAAAAAAAAGACAAATTAATTTTAAACGCACAGTTGTTGTATTTTACGTTAATTTAACAGGGTAGTTGTTTTTTTTATTAAATTGAGTCAAAACAAAACATGGTATACATTTTGTTGTTCCTAGATATTGAAAATGCATATAGTTCCTACTGTGTATTCTACCGTGCGGTGAAAGGGTTTCGCGTGTGTTATAGAGATTTGAATATCGTAGATTTCTAATGGATTTCAATAAGAAAATTGCACTGAATGTAAATATATATATAGGTAGTCCTCTGTGAGCTTTTGCAATGGAACTTAAGATGATGACAAACTTAAGAAAGATTATTAATTTTTAGGCCTAACAAATTTATATAAAATATTAAATGGTTTCGAGATTAACTTCAATACTATCTATACTAATTAAAATATATAGTTCCTATTGATTTTTAATTATGTTACTTATGGGTCAAGAGTAAAGGTCACAAATTTGTATAATTATGTTGTACAAATTGTTTCCGGATAAATTATATTATAATTAATATTACCAATACTATCTCTAATAGACTATAGATTTTAAGTGGGGCCGGGACATAAATTCCCTAAATTAGCTTGTACTAATTGTCAACCATGTGATACTACTTCTATATTTCACAGTGTATACAAGTACCCTCAACTTCAAATTGAGTTTATCATAGTATATATATCATAGATTGTATATATCATATTATAGAGTGTGTATATACATGTATAGGAGGGGTGATCAAAAAGTTTGCGAACTATCTCTATATTTACAAAACCCGAATTCAGACCAGAATGAAATTTGGCATACATATAGTCATACGCATGTTCTATAAAAAGCATATCATATGTTTTAAATGTTTTGCTCCATGTTAAGGTTCAGATGTGCATTAATATTGGAGAGGACTACTTTAAAAAATAATGAACACTGAAACCTAATTTTATTTCTTTTATGGAAGTAATTCAATTAGTTCACAAACTTTTTGATCAGCCCTCGTATATGCTTTTGTGAATGAGTACATGTATTAATCATTTTCCAGTCATGTTCTTTTAAAATATTCTACTTTTGTATTTAACATTGTCTGTGTGCCTTTTGGGGGAAACCTTATTTCAGTCAGTTTTTCAAGTATTGAATAATTGTTATATATATATATATCCAGGTTTCCTCATCATTTTGGGGAAGGAATTCAATGCAGGCCTCAAGACTATAAACTGAAAACAGACTTAAGTCAAAATTTTGATTTTAATTAAATAATTCTTGATAATGTTTCAGGTACAGTTTTATAAAATTGCAGGTTTGTTTCACATAGCAAAAAATATGTTTGAATCTCATAACTATTTCAGAAGTTAATATATCTTAATTTGAAATTTTGACTTAATTCTGTTCTCATGGTTTAAAACCTTACCTCACCCCATTAATAGAAATAGCACAAAACTACAAATAGAAATACATGTAGTATAAAATTATGTATAGATATAAAATTGAGTATCTCTTCAAAGAGCAAATAGTATCCATAGCCCCATATTACCTGGTACATGTAATTTGACTCGGGCTAATTATCTACAAGTTGACTGAGACTTATCCTATAGTATGTATTTAATTAACAACTAAAACATTTCTCTCTGTGGAATATGAAGTCTCCTCACTTGTTATTACAGCTGACAGTAGTATAATTTATAGCTTCTTCAATAGTTGGTCCAGGCTATTTTTCTTTTCTTCTCACTCTGTAGTAATTTGAGTACTGTTTGACGTCAGAAACCTCAATCAATTCTCAGTCAGTGGCAGATTATCATCACTGTGTCTAAATATAGATCAGACATTACACCTATATTCAGCCTGATCCTATAAATTAAATGTATATTGGTTCATACCTTGACCAGGTGTGTCGTCACTATCACCTCTGGACTAATTCCAGGTAAATGTTGCTAGCATGAGTCATTAACTGATAATGACAGAAAATTATATCTAAAATTATGTGTGCAAAAGGCATTTAATGCTGGGGGGGGGGGGGGTATCATAGTAATAATAAACTTAAAAAAAAAAAAAGATATGTATATGTTATCTGTTTTGAAATTTAAAATGAATGAATGCCTCGATCTACACACTCTCCCAGATTCCTGAAGCATTGATTAATATAGATGATGTTCGTGAACAATAGAACAGGTGTAGCTTAAAAAAAAGGTATTGCAAAACATGCAAAACACTGGTATGTGCAAAACACCTATACATGCAAATACTAGAAGGCCTTCTCTACTGATAATTATGGCTCTCTTCAGACACAAATGATGTTCTTTTGTTAACAAATACTGTGAAATCACTAATTTTCATGAGGTTTTAATTTTCGTTGTTTTGTGGTATGAAGAGAACCATGAATTTTTGTCCCCGACGAAGTGTAAAATTCTATCCAAATAAATATCGACTCAACACTTTTTCAACCACAAATGAAATCCCAACCAAGCAATATTTTTTTGCCAAACTATGAAAATTTGACGCCATGCAGGAAAATGAATGATTTTACAGTATGCCATGATTTTACAGTATGCCATTTCAGTTTTAATTCTTTAAAATTGTAAGAGAACAAAGATTTGTGCATGTTTGTATTTATCATGATAGCCTATGAATTATTTAATGATGACATAAAATGTTGCCATTGTGCCATACTCAGTTTTTAGCTCACCTGAGCTGAAAAATTCAAGTGAGCTTTTCTGATCACACAGTGTCCAGCAACTGTCCATCTACCTGTCTGTCTGTCCATCCATCTGTAAACTTTTCACTTTTTCAACTTCTTCTCTCAAGAACCACTAGGCCAATTTTTACCAATATTGGTACAAAGCAATAGTGGAAGCTTTCATATCATGGCCCAGGGGATAGGGTGGGGCCATAATAGGGATTATATATGGAAAAATCTTTGAAACTCCTCAAATTCATGATGAATCATATTAATATGGAAGCATCCTCTGGTAGTGTAAATCCATTTTTGTTCAAATCATAGTCCCTTTGTATAGAATGGGGCCACAAAAGTTGATTAAATAATATAGAGGAGTACATGTATGTTTGGGGGAAAATCTAATGCAGAACAGCAGGACCAAAGTGACTCAGGTGATCATTGTGGCCCATGGGCCTCTTGTTTTCTTTATTATAAAATAGTTTTCCACTATTAGTGATAGATGCAAGTTTTCAAAATTTTAAGTCTATTTGAGGCTTTATGCTGCTGTTGCTGTGTTATAACATTTTATTGTTTTATTGTAGGCTGTGATATAGTGGACTGGTTAAAGAGAAAATACAATATATCGGATGTCAAAGAAGCATGTTACCTAGCAACCAATTTATGTCAATATGGCTATATTTACCCAATAGACTTTAAACTTTCAAGTTACATTGTGAAATATGACAGGTCTGCAGAATATAGGTTCCAGGTAAAAAAAAAAGGATTTATAAGTTTTTAATCAAACTGAATTCATTTCATCATCTTTGTCATGCAAATGTCTGAGTCAAATTACTGTTATCCCATAATACATGTATGTCCCTATTAGTGCACACTGTCTTTTTCAGTTTGAAAAGAATAAGTTCCTCCTTTTGTAGACTGCTAGGTTAAGGATTCCAATATTTTGATCCCCCATCTCTGTCGTCTTAGATAACAATGATGACATCATGTAAAAACAAGACAAAACATGTATGAATCTGGATGAATACAGTCATGTAAACACAATTCTTCTTTTCATACATGCTCAAATATTAATTTTGCATCATATGAATAATGTTAACTAAAGATAAATATATAATTGTGGTGCAGATAACTCTCATGGAATAAAGATTGAAAGCAAACTTGATCTCCCTGCACTGGCTAATATGAAGTATGTTGCTGACTAGTTCTTGGAAGTAGAGGCATGGATCAGAAAATTTTCATTGTTTGTGAATATTTTAATTCAATTTGAAAGAAATGTATTCTAACCAAAATGGAAACATATCAAATTTCATGATCCATATTTTATATTACATATTCATTGATATATCATGTAGACCTTTCACAAAGCCATAGGATAGCACATCTGTACAGTTGAATCACTTGAATACCAGTTGGACAGGCACAGCCCCCCCCCCCCCCCCCCCAAGTTAATATAAAACTCCACAAACAATTTAAAGCTTTTGTCCAAACTATTTTGAAAAGATTGGGGAGCTTATATTGTGTTGTTTTTCCTAAATTCTGTAATTTTATTTGCATTATTTCAATATGTATGAACTCTGTGGGCAGTTTATAGAAAGATGGCAGTACATTGTGATCTGTCACATAAGAAGGCATAAAAACAGTGAGTTCTTCTTTACACAGGCTCCATATTTCTGGCCATTCCGTAAAGATGGGACTGCAGATAGCATCAAATATGGTAAGGTCAATGTTTCAAAGGTAGTAAAAGTTATACCTTTAGTTATTACATGTACTTATACTGTACATTAGAGGCTGATTTACAACAAATATTTGCGTATTGAATGCAGTTAATATTTTTGTATTAAACCTTGAAATAATTTATTTTTTCAAACCTCATTGATATAAATTGAATGCTTTGTACACATTGACCACTTAGCAGGGCCTGGGAAGGGGCAGTGCCATATGCCCATACTGCTGAAATGGTGCAGTGCAATAATGGTGTACTGCACTAAGCGGGCATGCATGATTTTCTAGTTTGTAATTTCATTGCAGCTGGCTCTATCGGTATTCTTCATTGAAGTTTAATGAAATCTGTGATGTATCATATAATAAAATCTGAACCACCATTCAACATACTGACATTAAATTTTTATTGTCATGCAGAAATGTATGCATTATAATAGCATCATACTATGATATATTTTAGAATGGCCCAAATATATTTCCTCTTGGCCCCATAAAATTTTAAAAATGGCTCCATCATTTTATGAATAGTGGGGCCGTTGGCCCCACCTGTTGTTTGACCTTCCCAGGCACTGCCACTTATGACATCACTGTGAAATTATGTTGATTGCTAATAACAACAATGAATTTGTGGTCATGTGACGAACCAATATTTAAACAGTGATGGATACGCATTGCTCAAATTATAGTGTTATTTTAGCTGGAGAACATTTGCAAATATAATTAATATGATACAGTATTTTCAAGCTACCCTCCTTTTCTTTTCAGCAATCTATCTACAGAAAAGAAGTTTAAGAAATAAACAGAAACATGGATTAGAACCATATGAACAGGTTTGTGAAATGAATTCCGGGGCTAGTGGGACTTGTATTTAGTGGTACTATATGTATGATAATATGTATAAATAAAAAATTTATCTGTAACGAAGTGAAACATTTTAGAAGAAAAAAAGGAAGGGGGGGTTAGCTCACTTCAGTCAGAAACTTTAGAGATCTTCTGTAGTTGAGTATTTCCTGTCATCTGTCCCTCCTATGCCTGTTTGTAAACTTTTGACATGCTAATTTCAACCAAGCTTGACACAGAATATCCTTGGGTAAAGAGGGTTCAATTTTTTTTCTGATGCAGAGCAATGTCCCCTTGTGGTGAGATAATGAATGGCAAAGTAGAATCATTTTAAAAATCTTTTGTGGAATCAATGGATTGTGTTCAATTTTGTTTTCTTTTTTTGATGGAAACCGATACCAAATCTATAAAAAAGTATAATTGCTTATATATCAAGAAAAAAAATGGGAAAAATTTGTTTTAAAGGCAGAATTTGAAGCAAAACAAACAATTATATAAGTATCAAATAAGCTCAATATTTTTATTAGACACCATTTTAGGACATGAAATAAATACAATAACAATCCCTGTTCATCAAAAACAACAAAAGATAAGTAATGTGTTTAGATTATATTAAGGTTTCTTTGCACACTCTGCGTCCAGACAAGAAATAGCGATGCAGGTGAGCAATATTGTCCCTGTGGCACTTGTTTCTTTGTATGATAGATTTTGCCATAAAGTTTCTCTCACTGGCCAATATTAGAACTGTTATTTTGTACATGAAACTTAAACATGCTTTACTAGAGCTTACTTAGTCATCTTTCAATGAATTCTAATGACTCACAAGTTCTTTGTATTGAAAAATCAGAGGAGGTTTAATAAAGAATTGTTTTTTTTATTTAGTGTCACTTCAGGTCAGAGTGAACAAACAACTTATTTCAGTTGCTTTTTATCAGCTCAGAGAGAACAAACTGCTTATTTCAGTCTTTTATTATTAGCAGTAAAAACACCGTATTAGATGACATTTCGTTATGAACAGATACAGTTCTTTGTACAGTTGAGTGAAGTTTTTTTTAATCTGTATTAAATGATCTCAAGTTGTTTATGCTAGTGCTAGATTTGATAGTGCAGTTATAATTAATTTGTTGATCTGTAGATTCAAGCTAAATTTCCTGGATCCTTGAAGTATAAATAGTTCCTAAACAGGTCATTTTTAAATTTAAGACTATAGATTTAATAGTCTTGTGATATTTTTATCTTTAATTATAAGGTATATACATGTATATGTTAATTACAGATTAAAAAAAAGGTTGCAGTAATAAATACTCTCAAAGCTGAAAGTGCTCAATGAAAAAAGAGAGAGTTCATTTAATTAGTGAACACTTTTGAAGTGTGGATCAAGGAAGTTCAGTTACTGTGACACAATATATGACATGTTCCTGTGGGTGCTTGATAAATAGGAAGTTTACCATTATATGAATGAATACATGCATGTACAATACTTGGTAAGCTGCCTTTGTCCAGAAAATGAAAGTAATTTTATGAGCCGGGACAATAAAATAAAAAAATCAATTAACAACAAAAACAGAACTTTCTGTATTTAAGCACAGAACCTGTAGTTAATCATTAAATTGATATGCAGCAAATAAAAACTAAATTTTTAGGTCACCTGAGTCACTCAGGTGACCTATTGCTATTTGCTTTTGTCCCTCATGCGTAGGTCAAAAACTTTTGATCATTTTTAGCATCTTCTCTTGAACTTTTGAAGCAATTTCAACCAATTTTGGCATATAGCAACAAATTGATGAAGGGGTACAAAAATCTTGAATTTAGTGGTTCCTGTCCCCCTGGGGCTTGAGAGGTGGGGTTAAAACCATCATAATTAGAGATATCTTTTAAAAATCTTCTTCATCCTGGACATCATGCAGTTTAAATGTTGGCATGATTGTAAGAAGCATTGAGCTCTCTACCAAAATTATGAATTTCATGGCCCCTTGGTCAGTGGTTCTGGAGTTAAGGCAGGGCTCTTATGATCATATAGCGAAAATGCATACATGTATATTCTTTAAAAATCTTCTTCTTTCTCCTTGTATATCTAGCAGATAAACTAGGTGCATGGTTATGATGAGTGAGAATGCCTCTTCCAAAATATTAAATTGTGAAATTTGTGGCCATAAGGTCAGGGGGTCTGGTGGAAGGGAGGGGCCTCTATTCATTTTCTAGTGAAAATGTATCATTCCTTTGAAAATCTTCTTCTCTGCTCCTGCATGTTAAGTAAACCAGTAAGTGCATCATTATGATGAGCAGGGGTGCCTATTCCAAAATTGTTAATTTCATGGCCCCATGATCAATGGTTCTGGTGTTAGGACAGGTCTCTATTGATTATATAGTGAAAATTTATAGATTGTTTGAAAATCTTCTTTCTCCTGGGTATTTAGTAGATAAAGAAAGTGCATGGTTATGATGAGCAAGGGTGCCTCTTCCAAAATTGTGAATTTCATAGCCCCTGGATCAGGAGTTCTGGTGTTAGGACAGGGCTCTATTGATTGTATAGTGAAAATGCATAAATTCTCTAAATATCTTCTTCTCAGTCCCTGGGTATTTCAAAGCAGACAAACTTATTGCATGGTTATGATGAGCAAGGATGCCTCTTCCAAAAACTTGAAATTTATAGACCCTGGGTCAGGGGTTCTGGTGTTATGGTGGGGCTCTTTTGAATATATCATGAAAATGTGTTATTTCTTTGAAAATCTGCTGCTCTGCTCCTGGGTATTTAGTAGATAAACAAAGTGCAAAGTTATGATGAGCAAGGGTGCATCTTCCAAAATTTTGAATTTCTCGGCCCCTTGGTCTAGGGCCTCTGGTGCTAGTGCTATTGATTATACAGTGAAAATACATTAATTCTTTAAAAATCTTCTTCTCTACTCCTGGGTATTAAGCAAACAAAAAGTGCATAGTTATAGTGAGCATGTGTGCTTCTTCCAAAATGGTGAATTACATGGCCCCTAGGTAAAAGGGTTCCAATGTTAGGGCAGGGCTGTGTTAAATCTGTAGTGAAAATGCATTATTCTTTAAAAATCTTTTCTGCTCTTGGGCATCTAGGAGGCAAGCAGAGAACAAGTTTTAATAGGCAAGGGTATTTTTACCATATTTTAACCATAATTTTGAAATTTTGGACCACTTGGTCAAGTTTCTGGTGCTGGGTAGGCCTCTATTAATTTGTAGTCTACTGAGAGAAGTTATTCCCATTGCTGTTCACCTATGATAATTAATCACTGTAAGTAATGTAATTGAAAGGTTAATCAAATAAGAGAATTATACAAGAATTTTTATCATATATAATACAAAAAAAGTATTTTAATGGTCAGGCAGACTTGTAAATAATAGATAAATAAAGAGACAAAAATTGCCTTATCTTTGCACATTAAATGTTCTTCAAAGAACAAGGGAGGCCAGTGAAAGGGGATGAGAACGGTTTTCCTATAGTGATCAAGCACTATTGTTTTGTTTAATCAGAATAGTGATAGGTACAAATGGGGGCAAGTACAGGCAAATAAATAGATCTACTATAAGATTTATTACTGTGTATCATACTAGACTAATTATTTTGTTGATCCTTGATTATCCTATTTCTATTTCTTTTGGGCAACGTAGCTTGATCTAGTAGTTTATTATGTTTTATTTTATACTTCTATGCATCCTTTAATATGTCTGATACTCAGTGACTGTTACTTCCCTTGGACCTCTTGTTATTGGATGAAAGACATAATTTGAATTATACTGATGATGCCTATGTCGTTTAATATGTCCTATACTCAGATGACGGTTACTGCCCTTGGGTCTCTTGTTATTGGATGAAAGATATAATTTGAATTATACTGTTGATCCCTATGTCTACGTGAGAAATTTATTACATGTATTGCATAATTTTGCAAAAATGCTCCACTTTCAAAATAGGATGACTGGTTTTTTTTTTATTGCTAAAATACATGTAAATACTTTTCATTAAATGTATATTGCAAATGTTGTTCTTTGAGTCTTTGCAATATTAATTACTCTTGTAAAATCTACAGTATAAATTTACATGTGATGCCTTTTGTTAAAGACTTTAAACATTGTATTTTAGGAGGCATTTGATAAACTACTGAAGGTGTTTGCCGATAAGAAAGAATTTATAGAGAAGCAAGCAAAAGAACAAGTCAGGTAAATGTGGTGTTTTTGTTTGGTCAACTTAACTCACATGTAATTCACGAGGTCTACAGATGCTGTGAATCTGGAATTTATTTTATCAATTTATTTTTTGTGAATTGGGGTAAAAATGTTACGCTGTTGTATTATTTTTTCACATTTCTAACTTTTGCAAATTTAGCCAAGAGATAAAAATAAAAGATGAAAAAGAAAAAAAAACACCAAAAATTTAGAACAGGGATAGTGTCACATAATTAAATTGTCTGAAGAAAAAAAAATTTATTATTGACAAAAATATTCCTGTATATTGGAGTTTTTAAACATATATTAGTTCAAAGTTTCTTAAAAAAGAAATGATTGATGAAACATTATTTAGAAAAATTAGATTTATTTTTTATTGAAGCTTAATATAAAATTCTTTTGAATTGATAAAATAATGTAAAATAAATGATTCACAGGAATTGCACATAAAATATAATTTTATATTCACAAGCAGTTATAAATAAAAAACATTCCCTATCATATAAATATACCACACAAATATAATTAACTATTTTCTGTTGATTTATTTTTAAGAAAAATATTTTTGTGAAGATGTTGCATTTGCAAAATTGCTTAAATTTATCGACAGTAAGAATGTTCATATACAGTATGCTACTAGCTCGGAATCCCTGTCTTTCACATTTGGAGTTCTCTGTTTTTTCTGTATGCAGCTTACTTTTTAACAATACAAGGGAAAGCTTCATATTTTGAAAAGTTGAAGGTCATTGTCTCATGTCAAGGCAAAATATCAAACTGGAATTTGTAGAAAGTTTCCATCTTCATGTTATTTTTTGGAGAGAAAAACACCACTCTAAAAATTCAGGAAATTAGACAAAAGGAATAAGATAAGTATCCTGTGTTGTAGTCCTATAGAACAGGTTGATTACAATGTCATTTAAGGGTTTAGAATTATTGATCCATTACAATTCTATTTTAAATAACACCATTTACTTTTGGCAAAATAACAGCATTTATTTTTTCGTAAAAGTATCGTGTAATCATTGCTTACTTTTATAAACTGAATGATAATGAATTTTCCACTTACATGTAGTAGCAATCAGAAGCTATAGCTAAATGAATGATTAAACTTGCAAAAAATAAGGAAAAATTATATATTTTTAATGACCCTACAAACAAGATATAGTGGTTTTATGTTAATAACAAAATCAAATTGCTTAAAGGAATATTTCTTCCCTTTAGAAATTTTATTAAATCTCACGAACCCAAAATATATCATTTTATATAAATAAAATCGTGGAATCAGCAGTAAACCTATGCATGCTGCTACAGATGGCTGTGGATGAATTTTTTCCAGAATGACCAAAGCAGGGTTATATTTTCATGGCCATCAGGCAGCTTCTGTTAGGTGAGCAATGCAGGCTTGCAAGCCACACAGTGTGCTCTGAATTTTCACTTTTCACTATCTTTTCATATCAAAACATGTAGAAGGAAATCATATAATTTTTGGATCTCCTCGTTTAATAAAGCTTGCAATATGTTAGAATTACATGTAATCTTGTTCACATACATAGCATGGGTTTTACCATAGATATTTTTTTTTCTGTGCATCACCAATTTTTTAAATCAAGTTGTTATATTTTTTTTATGATCAGTGATTTTTTTAACATTAAAGAAAATTTTAAAATTATATGAGAGTAAACTAAACATACTTGGTAAAATTTGCTAATAATTCTTGTAAACATTACTTCTGAATGTACTTGTAATTGAATTTGTCACAAAGAGGTTAGTGGTTGTGTACTCAGGTAGGATTCATGATCTTGCACTAATAGCCACTATTATAGATCATGTACTTGTATCATGAATTCTTGAACCTTGGCAGTATTTAAAAAAATATCGCAGGCATTCATAAATACTGCTTGAATGAGAGGTGAATTGGCTACCATTTCCCATAACCATTTCTTAATAAATTTCTGGTTATTCTCAATCATTTATTTACATATTTAATTCCACATATTGATTTAAATCTTGTAAGTTTCACCATATACCCCTAATCATTTACACTGCACATTTAATTTTATAATTTCTTACTTAATCATGTACTTAAAGTCTCTTATTTTAAGAAAAGAAAATTCTAACCAAAAGTAAAAAAAAAAAAAATCCAACATAACACTAATTAAAACAACTGTTGCATTTGATGGCCAGTACATTACTGTTAAAAATTTTGTCATTTTGTTTACGCACATGTTGAAGTTTCCACACATTTTATTATTTTGAAGATTATTTTATTACATGCCAATGGTGAATATTTTTTAATTTATTTTTATTCATTTGAAGGTTTTGGCTCTCCTTTTTTAATGGAAAATTATGCCTTTTTTTATATAAACACTCAAAGGTTGTATTTTTATTTTCAGTGAAGCAAAGAGGCAGCGAAGGACAGAGAAGGTGTTGTTGGACCTTCAGGAGAAGGCATTTTGGAGAGTTCATCGACCTCCGGTAATTATGTAATCATTGTTGAAATAGGACAGAGATGGTGTTGTTAGACTTTTAGGAGAAAGCGTTTTGAAAAGTTCATTGACCTCTGGTAATTTCTGTAGATCACCAGATTTTAGCCATACCTTATTTTCGTGAGATGGTCATTTGGTATTAAAAAGTGAGACATAATTATCAGGAATATTAGTTATTGTTCTTTATAATCTTAAGTAATATTAATACAAATGTATGCGTGAGAATAAATTTTCATAAGCAGACAGTCTTGCATAATTATGCAGAAATAAAGTTATTGCAAATAAAAATTGATTTACGGTAAATTATCATTGCAAAATGGGGACAGAGAAGGTGTTGTTAGACCTTCAGGAGAAGGCATACATCATTGTTTTTATTAAATATCCTTTGATGCACCATTCCAAATTTCCAGCAGGTTATTCTAATTTAAAAAAAAAAAAATTTGCAACCCAATTTTTTTCATTTGAATACCCTGATATTTTAAATTATGGTTCTTGACTTTTATTTAAGGAAATTGTCGGAACCTGATAAACAAGTGTGGTACTTATGAAAGTTTTTAACCAGCTATTGAATTATATTGAATTGGTCAATTACATGACTTCATTCTTTCACATACATGTATTTTCAATCTAATTAAAATTAGATGTTCCGAATCCGCTACCGCTTCTCAAAAGCGGTAGAGGATTCAGAACATCTAATTTTAATTAGATTGATGTATTTTCTATTTTAAGTATTTTATGTTGATAAAGTTAATCCTCTGTGATCACGGTTTATTTCCTATGTAAGTTGTAAGAAGAGTTTTGATTGGTAAACAAGCCCGATGTAAATTCTGTACAACCAGCTGAAGAGTGGAGGTAAATAATGTGAAATCAGGATGAACTAGTCTCTCAAGCAAAAATAGTAAATAACATGATGTCACAATGTATTGTAGCATGTGGTAAATCTTGATAGGTAATTTGATGCACCATTTATTGGACTTGGGTAATGAATTTATTTGGGTACATAGGAAATAAATTCACTATCCAGGTTCCATCAAGTGTGTATGGGGATTTACCTCGGGTTGTATTGCACTGCATCTTTCAGCTTCAGGGTGTATGGAATACAACTTGGGGTAAATCCATGTATACCCTTTATTGAACCTGGATAGCTAATAGTCTCTTAAATTTAAAATTCTTAGACTAATGAATAATGAATTTATTCCCTGTAACCATATTCCAGAATACTACATTCATTAAAAAATCCTCTAGTAAATGTGCAATAATTATAATCAACCTGTATGTGTGTCACTTAAATGATAATATTTTAACCACAGCCTGGTTGTATAAAGACAATGGAAGAGGGACCAAAGAGATATTTCCAGCCGAGTCAGATGGCAGCAAGGCGAAGAAAGAACAAAGAATCATATAAAGCTGAGGTAGGGACTGGCTCCAGACCCCCCTCCCCCCCCCCCCCCCCCCCCCCACACACACACACAAACACACAACTCATTCATACACATACTCATTATTCAAAGAAAGTAATATATTAATGTGTGCACTTCAATGTATTTATGCAAGTTTTACTCCTTGTAAATTTGTAAGGTTTACATGTACAGTATATGTATACATGTATTTGTTATATATATGAAATGTTTGTACATGAATAGGTGTTTTAATGCAACAAATAATTTACCTGAATGTGGAAAAAAATATTAATGAGTAAAAATGAGTAAAAACTCACTGAAGTCTGGTGTATATAAAAATAAAAATGAATATTGAAATTAAGAAGTATTTTTGTTCCGGACTGTAGCCTATTTACTGTCATTTGCACTGACCTAAAAATTTTACATGTACGTACTATGCTTATTCACATTAAAAAAGGATATCCATTTCACATTTAGAATATTTGTCTTCAAAATGAAAAACATATGTTGTAGGTCTTGAAACATTGTTACCTGCACATGGCAGTTACTTAAAAATTAATGTTTTGTAAATTCCAGATTAAGTTTCTTCAGAGAGCCTTAGAGAAACCCAAGCCAAAACTCTCAAAAGTCCTTGAAAGGTAAACTTTTGTCCATTTTATGTTCTAAAATTGTTAAAATTAAGTTTCTGTGCATGTTGAATTTAGTAATACAGTAAGCTATAATGTTAATAGAGGATGTTCAATGTTTTATAGTTGAAGAAGGAATTCATATCACAAGTGGGACAGGATTTTTTTTTTAATTATTTTCCTAAGTGTGAAAATATAAAAAAAATCTGTCTCACAAGTGAAATAAATTTCATATTCAAACAAAAAAACAATGAATTCTCTGTTTATTACATTTTCTTTGATTTTCTGTTTGCCTCTGTCATTTTGTAATGCTGTGTTGTAGACTGTGACTTCATAGTTGAGCGGTTTTCAGATGTCATAGCTAAGCAATTATGTGACTGAAGAATGAAATTGTAACATGGATTTTACCAACAATTTTGAGAAACTTTAGAGTTTTAGTCTCTGTCAGGATGGTTTATGTACTCTTGCTAATTTAAAACAGACTAGGAAGTATTTTTTACAGCACGCATTGTGAAGGGAAGGAAAATCTCGATATATATATATATATATATATATATATATATATATATATATATATATATATATATATATATATATATATAGAGGAGTCATTGTTTTTCCCTCAGTTATGTGACCTGGAATGAGCAGTACCAGGAATATGATCCATTTCTGGATCAGAGTGCAGCGCTTCCATCCAATCCCTGGATCTCAGATGACACACTATTCTGGGAAGCCAATGACACGCTGTAAGAACACAATCATTGTGTAAAGAATGCATTAAATAAGAAGACAGGCTTCTTATACAGCAGTTTGATGATAAACTACTCAAATTTTGACTCTGGAAACACTTGATACTAAGTGAGAGTTTGTGTAATATATCACTTTTTTCTTCATTTCTGTTTTGATATGTTATTTGCTCTTGAAGGGTAAAGATTCCAACAGAATTAAGAGTCAAGAAATGGGGGATTAGTTTCTACAACTTGATCAAGGATGAGCAGGGGTTGACAGAGTTTGAGAACTTTCTACATACGGAGTACAGCCAGGAAAACATCAGGTTCTGGAAGGAAGTGGAGGATATGAAGTATGGACCTCGATCGCTGGTTGTGGCCTCTGTGGACAAAATCTACAGGTACATACAGTGAATAAATATTATGTGAACAAAATCTACAGGGTACAGTGTATATACATTATGCAGAAAAAATCTTCAGGTACATACAGTCTATATACATTATGTGGACAAAATCTACAGGTACATACAGTGTATATAGATTATGTAGACAAAATCTACAAGTACATACATACATTATGTGGAAAAAATCTACAGGTACAAAAATATTTGTGTATAGAAGCAACAGGTACAAGTTTAAATAATTTTCAAAGACATGAATTCAGCAAAAAGTTATTTCCCGTTAGCCACCACATTGGAGATCAGCATGCTCAGATTCCTTCATTATCCAATTTTTGGGAGTGGTAGTGGAAACATTGTTTATCTGAAAAGTACACATTTATTAAAGTCTCCTTTCATTCAAAATTTTTGTTTCTCAGATTTTTTTTTCCAAATATTGCTGCTACATGTTTAAATTTAGAAGGACAAAGAAGAGAAATCACCAAATTGACTCCAAGATGGTGACCAAGGGAAATAACTTGGAGGGAAAATATGACATGGACGCTATCTATATTGTTTGAAAATAGAAATTTCCCGCACAAAAATACCATTAAAAGACAATGTCTAAAATAACATATTTTACCTATGTGTAGACAGAATTGACATATACTAGTATACATGTATAATATGTGGACAAATCTTTTTGTATGAGTATACAATAATTATATAGACAGATTTTGTAGGAATAAATACCCAGTACATAAAAAAAATGTAGGCTATGTGCAAAGAAATTCTACAAGTAAATGTAGACTACATGTATGTTTGGACAGTTTCTACAAGTAGAAGTAGTCTAGGTGTTGACAGTTTGTATAAGAAGAAGTAGGCTATGTGTGGTCAGTTTCTACAAGTAGAAATAGGCTATGTGTGGACAGTTTGTATAAGAAGAAATAGGCTATGTGTTGACAGTTTGTATAAGAAATAGGCTATGTGTTGACAGTTTGTATAAGAAATAGGCTATGTGGGGACAGTTTGTATAAGAAATAGGCTATGTGGGGACAGTTTGTATAAGAAATAGGCTATGTGGGGACAGTTTGTATAAGAAATAGGCTATGTGTTGACAGTTTGTATAAGAAGTAGGCTATGTGGGGACAGTTTGTATAAGAAATAGGCTATGTGGGGACAGTTTGTATAAGAAATAGGCTATGTGGGGACAGTTTGTATAAGAAGTAGGCTATGTGTGGACAGTTTGTATAAGAAGAAATAGGCTATGTGAGCACAGTCTAAAGATAAAGAATGATCTACTGTGCATCTGTGATAATTAAAATAATATGTTTATTGAAATGGATTCTATATACTGCATAATACTCATCAGGTCCTGTGATCTTATGCTGGAGTAAAGTTGAAGTGGACAAGACATTGATAATTAGCACATCTAGCTCTAATGACCTTATTTATAAAGTGAATTTTCTTTTTTTTTTCACCAGAGAATATTTAGCTAAAGGGGCACCAAAAGAAATAAATATAGACAGCAAAACTTTAGAAACAGTAAACAAAAATAGAGAGAAGTTGCATGGAAAACCAGATGCTTTAAGGTACTGTTATATTTCCTACTGATTTAATACAAGACATTCCATTCTGATGGAAATAATTTGCTGTAATTTAAAATATTTATACTTATAGGTAATTTCTGTCAATTTTTTTCTTTATGCTCCATTATATGATCTTTGTGCTTAAATATACTAAGAACTTTCATCTGTTGTGTAATTGTGTAAAAAAGATTCAGAAACTTAGAAGGACAATGTGTGTTTTATTTATCTTTTATATATTTGAAAACATTACAGGTATATATTTGATCCTGCCCAGGAACATATATATTTACTAATGAAGAAAGATAGTTACCCCAGATTCCTGAGATCTGACCAGTACCTAACCTTGAAAGAGACTGCCCATAATCAGCCAATAAAGAAAAGGTACCTACTATTATTGTACATAAGAGATTGCCCATAATCAGCCAATAAAGAAAAGGTACCTACTATTATTGTACATAGGAGACTGTCCATAATCAGCCAATAAAGAAAAGGTACCTACTATTATTGTACATAAGAGACAGCCCATAATCAGCCAATAAAGAAAAGGTACTGACTATTATTGTACATAGGAGACTGCCCATAATCAGCCAATAAAGAAAACGTACCTACTATTATTGTACATAAGAGACAATCCATAATCAGCCAATAAAGAAAACGTACCTACTATTATTGTACATAGGAGACTGCCCATAATCAGCCAATAAAGAAAAGGTACCTACTATTATTGTACATAGGAGACTGTCCATAATCAGCCAATAAAGAAAAGGTACCTACTATTATTGTACATAAGAGACAGCCCATAATCAGCCAATAAAAAAAGGTACCTTACATAAGTAACAGCCCATAACCAGCCAATAAAAAAAGGTACATTATATTGTACATAAGAGAGGGACCATAAAAAGAAATTGTATTTTTAGTGTGCCTGTTTGTCTGTTATTTCTATGCTGGTATTTCTGATACACAACGTACATGTATTTCTCTGTCATTCCTTTTGACTGCCTAAAAAAAATGATAAAAGTCATACTTTGGCCAATTTGATGATCAGTATATAAGTTTTCTTTTCAGTCAGAGAACCTTCGGTATGTGAAGGTTAAATAAGACATTTTCACTGGTTTAGGTTTCACATTCACATCTTGTGTTTGTATTATTGGTCTTTATGTAGTATACCTATAAAAATCACTGGGATAATAATTGGAATGTAAACTAGTAACTGGTGTTGAACTTTTATGAGTTGTAAATGTAGTAGAAGTGTGAAATTTTTCAGATTTGTTCCTGTATCACTTTAAAAAGGATGGTTGAATTTCAGTATTTTATATTTCATTTAAAAATTGAGTAATTTGTTAAAGTGACTGAGATTTTTGATAAAGAACTGGATTGTAGGTTCTTTGGATTTGGGAGTGGAAAAACACAGATTAAGAGACAAACCCCAAGTCCCAAGTTACCCCGCCGCAGCACGTCCAGCGAAAGAGAGGCCAACTCTGATGTCAGCGGGGATTCCCCCATTCATTCCATTACACCAATGCATTCCTACAGCACGGGGAACTTAAAGGACATGGATATAAAACAAACCCCCACATCCTCAAGGTAGGTGTTTGGCTACGTTGATGCATGGGGCGACTTTCAGTTGTAGAGAAGTTCAATATAATCAGTGGTAGAGAGTGTTAGAGCGTTTTGTCTTAGACTTGGCTAAAAAAGTGTGTTTATTAAGTAAATAATTCAAACATCACGTTAACTGTATTAGAACTAAATAACTATGAATACCGGTAGATCTTTTATTGGATGGATACAGGATGATAATTTGTCAAATGATTATTTGATCACTTTCATCACTGCTTGTGCTGATTTGATCCATACCATCTTTCATTCTTTGTAATGTATACCCATTCATGTAAACTAGTAGAAAATGGTGCATTTCTTACACACAGTTACATGTATTTGTTTTTTATAATGCAGTGTCATATTTTTATATTATGGGATTTATGAATGGATATACATGTACACATACTTTTCTGAAGTGTCAAAATTTAGCTATATAGCATTAGAATTGCACACTAATTTTCCATAGTGCCCATTCTATGACTAATTCTCTCAAAGAGCATGTCCTTTTACTCAGATTTCTAAAGGGCTCTGATAGCAGCCTGCTAAAAAGGTAAGGCTCTGTGGCTCCTGTTTTGTTAACAATACCTTGTTCGTCAGGTCTTGTATTCTGGCTTTATATAGATTTATTCACACAACAGGGACAGAACTTTTTACGTCATTAATGTCTTCCACCAAGTAAATTATAGATTTCATGTTGTATGCATTACAATTACTTTTTAAGACCACCCAAAAGTAGCTTACTGGTTAATAATGAATTTAAATATGTAGTTCTTTCTTCAACACATTAAATACTTCAGATAGATATGTGTGAAAATTTTTATACTTAAAATGTAATCACTTTTGGGTTTTCTTTACATGTGTCACATGCATGTAAATATGTGTTCACTTCATGTTGTGATATTTGTGTTGTGCCCTTAGATCTGAGCAACACTAGGTAAAAAATCAAATTCAAAATATGTATGTCAATATACATATTTATATAATCCACCATATTGTATTGCATCTAAGGGTAGATAACTCATTCATATTTTCACTCATTAATATATATATATATGAATTTCTACCTTTAACAAGGTTCTATATAGCGTTGGAGTAATCACACGTAAGTGTCATATCACCTGACTGATGTATTTTGTCTGCTTTTCAGCACAGTATCCATAATATTTTCTCTACTAGTGATACATTAGAGATTTATGTTATATGCTTTCAGGAAGAAATTTAACCTTTTGAAGGTTTGATTGGGATTCTTCAATCCTTTTACTATATAAAGTCTGGTGTGGGAATATTCGTATATGAAATATGCTTCATTCATTTAATTTCTAACACAGCTGTGGGGCTTTTATTCTTATAGAAAAAGAGTATTATAGTATTATTTAACCAGGAGAGTCCATTTGTAAACAGAGCAATGGAAGTAGGGAAGAACTTATCCCTGTGCTGAGGAATGCTTTTGTCCATGTATCCACCATCATTAATCAATCACAGCCCAGTAACATCCAATTAACAATTAGTTAATCTACAAATTAATTCTTGGATAAAAGGCTTGAATAATTTCCATGTGATGACAATGAAAAGTGTCTTCAATTCAAAATGTTTTTGAATTATTATTACATGTATTAAAGTCCAAATATTAATACAGTTGAACTTCGGTATCTTGAACACTGATATCTCAAATACCATGGATTTGTTGAAGTGATTTGGAGGTCCCAACCACTTATTCTTTAAGTATTTTCCCCCTGATATCTCAAATCCTTGGTATCTCATTTATCTCAGTCCCATAGAGTTCAAGATACCGAGGTTTGACTATATTTAACTTGCAAATATAAGTCCACATTTCCTCTATCATTTTATATAAAATAATGAATAGGAGATTTGACTTTGGATTGTTGGGCTGATGATGGAACATATAAGCCAGATATAAATGAATCTTGGAGTGAAAGGTTGACCTCTAACCCTTTCAAGTAGCTATTGATTTTGGGGATATGTTTGGGAGTGACTAAATATGCCACCATTACTATATTGGTGATGCTTTAAGTATTAGTTAACATAGGTGATGGTTAGGAGTTTAAGGATGTAGCTAGCTGTTATCAAGGGGGGTAATTGGTGCTTGGGGTTATGGGCTTGTAGTCAAATGTTAACATGGAATGGTGTTTGGTAGTGGTTGGATAGAATTTAAGAAATGATAATGCTGTAGGCATAGTCGCAATGATTATTATAATACATATTTTTCTATTATAATAATCATTGCATGATATCAAGGATGTTTTCTTTGTGTGTATACAAAAACAAAGTGGAAAGTAAATTATTATTATTTGATTTACAATAAAAATGTTGCAAATACATCTAGAAATGAAAAACATGTATTGTTTTATATATTGGAAATGCTTGGAAAACTTTCATTTTATTTTTGTAAAAGGTATAAATATTCCCTATAGCGACAGAGATCAAAGCACTGCTTAATTCTTTCTACTTCAAAAATTAGAGTGATATGGTCAGTAATTTTTATTTGTAAAATGAATTGAACTTAAAAAATTATGGTTGTCTCTGACTTAAAACGTTAAATATAAACTTGGTGTGGAAAGATGTCATAAATTTTGGCACTAATATGAGTACCGGTAATTTTGAAATATATACAAAAGCATATCATTAAAGAAAGATTTGATCATCATGATGAAAATATTATTCGAAGACCAGTAATAACCACACATAGAGACAGAAATGTGAAATTTGCTAAAGGACCAACCTGTTTTAAATTCTATTAATTTTGTAATTTATTTATTTCAATGGAGTTTTTGCCCATTCTTACTCCTTGTTTTGATCCTATAATTAGGAAAAGCTCTGGACTTTGCCAAATTGTATTTTAATTAACTCAGTTTCAACTTTTTATGTGACAGCTGGGATTTTAAGTTTCTTTTAAGATTCATCATGAATGCCATATTTTAAGCTGGGGGGGGGGGGGGGGGGGATTTTCTCTACATTGTAAGCACAATATATAAGCAAAGTAAGGGACTGTATCACTTTAATGTCATGGTGGAGGAAACTTGAGATTTCTTGATTTGTCACAATTATCTCCCTTTGATTATCTTTGACAAAACTCTAATATTTTTAACATTTCCAAAATTGTAATTCTATTTAGACATGAGATTTTTTTTTAAGTAACTGGGAGGACTAAATTTTTAATAGACATGTTGTTGGAGTGTGTTTTGCATAAAAAAAACAACACTTTTTATATCATGGAGCATAATAGAAAGTCACATAATTTTGTGGTTCTAAGGTAAATTATATGCATAGTGTTAAATTATTGAACAAGGATAGTAATATTTCCTATGTAATTTTATTTTAAGCCTAAGAATTAAACCGACATATGTTCAAGCAACCCCACCTGTTGTTCGGTAGGTATATATAAGATTACATATGCCCCCTGTCATTCTTCATGCTGTATCTTGCAATCTACTACTTTAATTCTGAAAGTCAAAATTTAATTCCAGTTGTTTGTACAGAGCAAATTCCATTTTCTTTGTTGATTCTACCCAACATTTCTTTATTAATTAATCCCTCTACCTGCAAAAACTAATTACATAAATGAAGTTCATTAAAACTTAACACTTAAACTTGATTTCAAACAAATACATGTAATAAAACATGCTCCATCACATGGCTTGAATTAATATACTGGCAGTTTAACCAACATATCGCTAGAGCTTAATATCACAAATCTCCAACAATGAGGAATATGTCTCTTATTACCACAGTATTAATTATTACCACAGTATTAATTATTTGTATTTTAATTTGCATGTTTTTTTTAATTCTACCCCTAAGGTTACCATTTCTCCTAATATTATACTCACAGGTTATCGCAGAGTAAATTTCCAGGAATAACTAAGAAGCAGGGTAAGAACGAGGGTAGAATCAACTGCTTAACGGCCATGCTTCATTCATTTCTGGCTAATAATAGCGTAACACTGCATTCTCAATGACACATATCTATGCTGCATACAGTATAACAGTATAACACTGTATTTCCTCAAAGAAGCCCTAATTATGCCACAACTAATTCTGGATTCTTATGTACAGTATATGGGATGGTAATGCTTCCAAAATAACAATGCTAAAACTTCATTATGGTTGCTTATATTGAGAATTTCCTTCGTGCAGACAAATGGAGCATTTCTTTAAAAACATACAAATGTACTGGAGTTCACTGTCATCCACTAACAATTAAATGGCTTATCACTTCTTATATACTATGCTTAATAAATATATTCTGCAGTGGAATTTAAAGAAATTTCTCTTTTTCCCCAAGGAGTTGCAACATATGAGCATATAAAGCATTTGTCCTGAATTATGTCTTCATACAATATAGCATATGTCATTATCATATGTCGTTTTTTGTCTTTAAGATTCATTTGGTGGCTATCATGAGCAATTACAATTAGTTTGCATATCTTTTAAAGCATGTTCATGAGTCAGAATTCATTCAAAATTCACCTCAATTATCATTAGTTTTCCTATTTATTATGGATACACATTTGTATGTTAGAATATCGGTACATATATACATGTATACTGAATCTTTTTTTGCATGTGTTTTCAAAAATGAATTATTTTCTAAAGTAAGATGCAATAAAAAAAATTATTGTTGTTTGTATATTGAATACTATATATAAGAATCAGGATTAAATCTTTATTAATCTTTTCTAGAATTATAATATTTATCCAGTTGTTTTATTTAATATTTTGAAAAAAAAAATTTTTCATGATTAACAATAATATTGAGTGTATGCAGAATTTTTTCTTATTACATATACATTGCAATTTAGAGCATCTTTGTCATTGTATCATATCTTGAAATATTTTTCTTCAGTGGACTCTCCCCAGGGCAAACCAGAAGGCGGTCTGACGAACCCAGCCGCACAAGATCAATGAATATTGGTGACCCACGACGAAAGAGCAACTTGGAAGTTCCTCGTTCATTTCCGATCTCTACAGATAAACGAAAGTCTGATGCTGCAACACTGCTTAGTCTGAATGTCCCAGCCAAGAACAATAGCATTGCACCCTGGGAAGGGGAGGACCAGTAAATGACCAATTTACAGAAATGTGTTACAAAAATAATGTTGGACATGTTCTATAGTTCTAGCTGTTATTTGCATATCAGTGCATTAGAGAGTTTACTTATAGAACTATTTTGTTTTGTTTTTTTTTTTTGTAGACAATCATATTTTTTCAAGTGACATTCAAAATGTGAAATAGTATTAGTGCAATTGCACAAGACCTTTTTGTTTCCCCCCACTATCTGGTCTTATTGTGTGATATATATATAGACATTATTTTTCCACAGCTCAAAACCATCTCTCCGATAAAGATATTTTTCGCCTTTTTATTTTGTATACATGTTTTTAGGTGCTAACTTTTATTATCTGCTTATCCCCCTAGTGCTTTGAATTCCAGTACTATGTTATGTTTGAAAGTGAATGTTTCTTATGATACAGTCAAACCTGTATTAAACCTAACCACTGGGAGAAATCTGAAAGGTTTATATATGTACACAATCATCATTAAAGGATTTTGCATACTGTAACCATGTTCCACAAATTTGGGAAGGTACTACTCAGTGAAAATGAATGTGTGATTTACACATATTAATTTTTCAAATATTAAAATATGTAGTACATGGACTAATAACTCAGCTTCTAATTACTTAAAGGTTTTACTGACCACTCTCTGAAGGACTGGGGTAAATTACTTTTCAGTGTTGGGTAAAAAAATGAATAAAGATCATCAACTGACATAAAAAATTTCATTTGATGAATTTTAGCTTAATTTTTATGTAAGGTTAGCAGAAAAGGTTTCTGCTTGAAAAATTGTACTTTTGTACAGAAAAAAACTGGGGTTTGTTTTTCTTTCTTTTTTTTTTTTAAGTATTAAACAATCTCCAAGCCAAAAATCAGACTTTATGAAGATGAGTGCAACAGTCCTCAATAGAAAATTTAAATTTATAATAGTAATAACTTAGTTAAAGTACTTAAAGATTTATAAATGACTTCAAAATTGTGGTTTATTCATACAATGAAACAGTAAATGCTAAGAAATTCATACGTTTTCAGTATTAAACTGAAAAACTGCTGAAGACTTGGATTGGGACAGAATAACTGGGGCAGGTTTGGTTGTAGTAAATCTGTACTGTGTACATTTTCATACGTACTTAATTTCCTGAAGTAAATCTTTAGTATTCATATGCTTCTCACAGTAAAATGGCGTAGGGTAATTTTTATTACATTTCAAACAATTTATTCCTTTTTTTTTTCTCTCAGGTAAACTTTCATGACCTTTTTCCAAATGTACTTAATTTCTTCATGCCAAAAGAAAAGGATATTAAAACAGTATTTAATCCCACAACTTCATATTCACTGCTGTGTTTTTTACATATAAGAATGAACAAAATGATTAAAGGTATGGTATGACATCAGAATGGGCACAAATATTGAATTTGATCCTCTCTCTGAGAAATTTTTTTAACGTGGGTTATCTGTACATCAGTAAAGATTTCCAAAAAGTTGTTACTAGAGAAATATGGAAATGTTTCATTGTGATTTTTTTTAGGTGTGTTGTGTTACGTTAAACTCTACATTCCATTCTGTATTTGTTAGTTGTTTATTAAGACAAGAAATATTGTACACAGATTGCTGTGCAAGTGAAGTTTTTATTGGATGGGTAATTTTCAGAGAGAGAGAGACATAATTCCAGAAGTATTTTAGAACAGTTGAAATATTTATGTTCAATTTTAGCACATTTTTCTTCAATTAGAGTGAACTATAATGGATTTTTCACTCACATTAGTCTCTGTTGATGTTAGTTATGCTTCATAAATCTGGTTATTAAAAATAATGAGTTTATATAGATAAAGCAAGTGAAGAAATCTAGATTAAAAAATAAATGTTTTAACTTTTGTCCATATGTGTAAGTTTTTACTTAATACCATTATCTTTTTTTACATTCCTAATACAACAATTGATTTCCAAAATCTATAAAGATCCCAATCTTTTAATTATTGTTTGATCTGATGCTTTTAATAAAATTATTATAAAGGAAGGGCACAATGTACCCTTGTTCATAAATAAATGTTTCACACAATTTGAAATTTTATCCTCTGTATGTAGCTAACATTGAGCATTGGTAGCATATATCATCTTTTTCTACTTTTTTTTTTATAGAGTTCTCAACAAATTAATCTCTCAAAACTTTTCAACATTAAGATAATCAAGGTAGAGAAGTAACAAGATTTACCTGCCCTTAGCAACACAGTTTTGAAAAACCATGAAAATTACCAGTATGTTTATTAAGACATCCAGCAGAACATAATATGAAGTAAAAGTGATAGATATTGGTCAAAGTACCTGTATATTGTTCTTTCTTTACGAGAATACAAGCTACAAACTACTGCAAGTTGTCGGAATATCATGACTAGTTTTGTTATAAACGGAATCAGTGTGTAAAATCTAATACATTCTTGAAACAGATCTTGATTTTTTATATGACTGTATACATCATTTTAATTATGCCAAATTAAATATGCATGGCCGTTAAATTTATAATTTCATTCATATTGTACTTGAAAAGAACTGTCAGGTTGATAAACATACATGTTCATTCTGGAAAATAATTCCTGACCACCATTGCTAATACAGTGCAATCTAATACATGTATATTCTATGCCCTTTTCAGTCCTGATGTATATTTGTATATGTTTATACATATTTAACCTGTCTAGTCTTATATATATATATATATATTTTGTCAAATCCAAATATATCCACCATGTACTTAACATTTCCCGATATTTTATATATATACATAATTTTGTGTTCACTAAACCAATCATATACCAAGTTGTGGTATCACATGTATGTTATTGTATAATATCACACGTATTCGCACCAATGTGCGTAGGGTTTATTATATTGTTGGTTGAGATGCACTAATGTGCATGATGTGTTTACAGAGTTGTTGAGGTATTTGTGTACTAATACTTAACTAGTACTAGTACTACATGTAATACTAGGTGCAATATTCTTCTAGTCAGTTACTGTATCAAGTAATTAAGCTTTGTATGGATATCAGACATGTTAAAATTTAAGAAAAAATATTTAGAGAATTTATTCATAGGTAGATAAAAACTTTAAGAGATAAATTTTCTAATAATGTAGAACTTTTTTTTAATTTACTTCAAACTTAAAAATTTGTAAATGTATCAGAATTGCATGTATATTAAAATGTTCAAGTTTTGTTTTTTCCCCAATTAGTTTAAAACCTTTATTGTTAAAGGTTTTAGAGAATATACACACATATATATAATAAATCCACTACTTTGAATATGAGAGTGATGGAGAGGGGAAAACTTGATTAAAGACATTAGCCTAACTTTATGTTGTACTCTTGATGAAACTGCTTAGCTTTATGTATATTTATGGTATATATATAAACTAAAATGTATTAACAGGAATAAAATTCCACTGTTTTCATGTACTATAGAAAAAAAATGCACTTTAATGAATTTTTTTAAACAAAAAAAAAACTGCAATATCAAGAAGATTCTTTTAACCATTAATTGAATTGTTTTAGAATTGCTTTATACTCATATTAAAACAAGTGAGGAAACCTTTCTGACATTTGTATTTGTATCCTACTTGGGGCATTTTCACATAAGATTGAATTTGTTTGACTATATGAATTATTTAGTTCATTGAGAAATGTACCTATAAGATGGTAAACAAGAGGTCCTTGGGCCACAGTGCTCACTTGAGTCACCATTGTCTTCCTGATGGGCCAACCTTGCAAAATGCAGCCTTTTTGTTCCAGTGAATGTCAATACCATGGGTATATTTCAGAAGAAAACTTTGTTCCCTAATTGTTGCCCTAGGGGCCACAATTAAAAAAATGTTCCCCAGTGGTCCAGTTGGAACAAATGTTGAAAGCATCTGTTGCATTAAAATAGTTTCTTGTTGGCTAGCCTTATTTTCAAAATAAATTTGATGTAAAAGTATCAAACTTAATTTGATATTAGATAATGTAAATACCCAGTACTTTTATTTTACTTTTTATGTCCCAGTAACCAAATTGCAGAGTGTCACATCTCTGACAATAAGGTAACAGTTTTACAGTCTAAGATTAGTGTTAAGATGTTTTTTCAGGCTGTAGCATTTGTTCATCATTCATAACAAAATATACAATGAACAAAGCTGCAGACTGGCATTTGTGAAACTGCAACACAGCCAGTTTAGAATTATATGATGTATTAATTGTTCTAATTAATAACTACATTAAAAGAGATGCGCAACAAACATAAGAAATGAGAAAAAAAAAACATTGAAATCTTTGTACCATGATTGATGAATGACATTATTTTATTCTATGCACTCTCATCAATTTAGTGTGATAATTAAACAATATTTAACAAGCATATCATCTGCCAGAACCACAATTTCAACAAAACTTTCTATGATGCACCCTTGGATGAAGAGGCTTCAGGTTTGTTCAAATGAAGTAACACCCTCCTTCAAGAGGAGATAATTACGAATGGGAAATTGGTGGCATCTAGGGCTGTATCAATTTATCAATATATCGATACGTATCGATATTTAAGAATGTATCGCATCGGAAAAATAACTTCCAATACGTATCGGACAGGAAGATTTTCTCATAATTCTGTGAAAAAGTTGGGAATTTCAATCACCAAAGGTTATATTTCCAACGTTTTGAATTAAAATTGATCAATAGTGATATAATCATTAAGGAGGTAGCACATCTTAGATAAATATTACAAAATACATAGACAACTTTATTTTTACATGTTTTACAGTCATTAAAAGTTTGAATTTGATGTGTAATTTGTAGAGACAAGACCTTCGAAATGGGTTGTAAAACAATTAGTTTTTATAAAATTCATGCATTTAATGATTTAGAGGACTATCGACTTGTTCAAGAATCCAATATATCAGATTCGCATTTTAAAATATTGTATTGTATCTAATTTTTTTGCTCAATACACAGCCCTAGTGGCATCTTTTAAAAATCTGACAATGAGCCAGAAAAGATGGAAGTTACATACAAAATAAAAGTGAAAATAAAATGTCGCTATGTATATAAAACTACAATTGACTATGGTCATTTTGCTTGGCTATTTCCTTGTGTAAGACCTTTAAATTCTGTTTAACCATGCTTCCTTGAGGCTAGCTTGTGACCACAACATGGGGTCAAAACGTCATTGGAATAAAGATCTAGAGGGGGATCTTTTGAACAGCAGATCCAAGGTGAATCAGGTGAGCATTGTGCCCCATGGACTTATTGTTTCATACACATACATTTATGTAAAATATTGATCCCCAATTGTGGTTCCATCCTACCTCAAGGAGGGCATGATTTGAACAAACTTGAATCTACACTATGTATTGAAGCTTTCAAGTAAGTTTCATTCTTCTGGTCAAGTGGTTCTTGAGAAGATTTTTTTTAACATCTAACTTTTTTGCCTTTTCCTGATTATCTCCCCTTTCAAGAGGGTGTGTCTTTTCACTTGAACAACCTAAATCCCTTTCATCTAAGGATGTTTTATGACGAGTTTAAGGATGTTTTAAGACGAGTTTAAGGATGTTTTATGACGAGTTTGTTTGAAATTAGTCCTGTGATTCTAGAAGAAGTCCAAAGTGTAAAAAGCTAACCAGACTGACAGACGATGGAAGACTTGAACCCTTTGGTTCAGGTGAGCTAAAACATGGTGGCGGAAACATTTTTTTTCGGTAAATTGATGCGTATTTTTAAGTCTTTTTAATTTATTTGCGTTTTTAAGATGCTGGAGTTGAAAAAAAAGTAATGAAAGGTAGACAACAGTTCCGTACAAACTAGTAGTGGAGCAAATTCAGAGTTGATCAAAATATTACTCTGAAAAATCCCATGCGTACAATGTATCTAAATAAGACAGTCTCATAAAAACGACTGTTTAGTAAAACCCATCAGTCATTTTCTTCTGTAAATAAACATGTTGTTTGTTCTAAATAGTATAAATGAACGTTCTCCAAAAGTTGAATATAGTAACTAATTACAGGGACCTATATACTACAGGCCCGTAGGAAGCAATTTCAGTTTGGGGGGGCACAGCCATACATTTTTCAGTTGACGTTGAGGGGGCACTACCAAAAATTTCCTGACAAGCAAAAAAAAAAAAATAATAATAATAAAAAAAAATAAATTAAAAAAAAAAGGTCATCAGACGTTTTTATTGAGGGGGCACAAGCACACATTATCTTTGTTTACTATAGTAATCTATATATCGGCAAAATTATTGGGGGGGGGGGGCACGGCCCCCCCGGTTCCTACGGCCATGTACTAGTTAGTATATAGGTCCCTGCTAATTAGAAAATGTACGTCGTAGTCTCTCAGTAAGGTATACGTGCGTTACTAGCATTTATTGAGGTCAGATTCTCCCCCTTATGTCATGGGAAACCATGGTACCCGATTGAAAGATTTCTTTTCACTGATAATAAGTAAATGCATTTAGCTCATTCTTTCGTTGGAAGTTTCCAGTCATTCCCCTTTTCGGCCTTTCGTGGAATGTACTAATTAAGAACCTGAATAAATAATTCCTGAAAGTTTACCAAGATAATAAAGACTGAAATACATGTAGAGAGACGTACTTTGGAACGATTTTTTTGTGAATGAAAAACAAAAATCAAACTTGAAAACATTTCTCTATGGAATCCGGATAGGGCCATGCAGTTCACTATCGCATCATCGCACCATCGAGGTTTGGGTCGATAGTGCGATGACGCGATAATGCGATGACGATGAAGCGATGGTGCGATAACGATGAAGCGATGGTGCGATAGCGCGATGGCGATGATGCGATGGCACGACAATGCGATGACGATGATGCGATGGTACGATGAAGCGATAGCGCGATGGCACGATAGCGATGATGCGATGGTGCGATAGCGATGATGCGATGGCGCGATAGTGATGACGCGATGCTATATCGTGACATCGTTATTGCTTTATCGCACTATCGTCATCGTGTCATCGCACCATCGCTCTATCGACTAGTACTTTCTATAACCGGATAACATTCCCAGCAGTCATTGCACAACATGGCGTTTGTTGACGAAAAGATAATAAAGAAATCATATTCCTTCTTTGGAGTAATTATGGTGTGAAAATAAGGTAGGTATTATTAATTGTCATAAGTTATGATAATATAAGTACCTGTATAGGCTAATATTTTCTCTAAGAGTAATAAAGTTACTGTACATTAAATTTATAGTCTCATTCAAAGATTGTTTATGTGCGTGTTCTACTTGTATGTATATATCTGTTATTTAAGAAATAGTGATTGAAGTTAAAATCTCCCATTTTAAGATATATTTTATGCATTATTTTTTAAAATAATTAAGCTGTAGACATTTGAAAAGACGCATGACCAAACTTAATTTGAGAAGACGGAGATCATACAATGTGGATATGGCAATAAGGGCTATTCAGGTTATATTGCTTGTGTTTTATTTCATCTTTCTTTTTTGATAGATTGATCAAATCTAGAAAAATCGTCAGTATCATCTACATTTTGATGATAGCTCATTATTTTTAGTTAACTCATACAAATGTTAAAAATTTCATATGATTTACATATATTCTACTCAAAGGAAGAAATGATGTTCAGTGGACAGACCTCTTGGGTGTCGTTCGATGAAACGAAGACTTCTTCAGAAACATGGCATCTTTATAGGAAGGTATATTATCTTATTATGATTAATAAACAGAATTCAGGTTTCTTGTTCAAAGTATTAATTTTATTTCTTTAATTCACCAGAATGCCAATTATACAGAATATTTGCTGACATTACTTTTATGAGCTTAAGGACATACACAACATAGTGTTGGAATTTTATTTTCTTATTCCCTTGTTGATTTAATTAAGAGTTCAATAATTGAAAAACCTTTGTACAATTTAATGATGCCTGTAAATGCCGTTACCTCCTCTGAAGCAAATGTTGAGGAAATACCAGCTAACACTATATTTTTGTTATTTTTTTCTTTGAGAAAATACAATGATTTTCATCATATTACATCTTTTGAAAACTCCTGGTAATGTATGCTGTTTTTTTTTTGTCTTAAAACACCTGATGAGACTCTATAATTTTAAATTAGGAATATCCTGGAAAATAGTTGGTAAGGTACACGTAAATGCAAGTTGACCTTAAGAGGCAATAATGCTTTTCTTAGTCAAAATTTGCAACTTCTATACTACTTGACATGTATTTCTAACTCATCTCTTTATTTTCCTTTTCTTTCAGAAGGTACATCAAAAATTAATCTAAACATGCTCTTGGCGTTTTGGACTGGAGCTGAAACAATCCCTCCACTAGGATTTCACAAAAAGCTTGAAATTAAATTTGTGGAAGACCCTGCCTGTTTGCCAAGTGCACATACCTGCGATCTTTTGTTGGAAATATCTAGGGGAGAACCCCCTGAGGAATTTCACAGAAAAATGTAGTTGGCAATCACTTGGGGGGGGGGGGGGGGGATTCCATCTTGCTTAAGAAAATAACTTTATGTATTCAATGCTATATCTATGTTTTGAAAGTTTTCATTCAATTAATTTTTAAACTCAATAATGGCAATGATAGTCATATTAACGAATAAGAGTATTTCTTAAGGGAAAGATAATACTAAAGGACATTGATAATCATATGAGGAGTATTTCTTCAGGGAAAGATAATACAAAAAGACTTTTTTGTATGGGAATATTAATTGATATTTGGTGTATTTGTGGTAGTAAGCATGCTTTTGAATTTTAAATTCTAGATTGTTGCATCTGTATGCCAAAAAAGTTTTTCTCAGAGCAGTTTGCTTTCCTTATATCCTCATTTTGCAATTTTCATTAATAGTTGTTCTAATGAATGTGGCATGTATGGTGACCCAATAAACATAGTAATAATTTCTGTTTGTGACTTTTAATTCATACACTTTGATGATTAGTGTACAATATTTTTCATGAAAATTGAAAAAAAGTCAAGTGAAACATCAGGTGATGATTTATTCTCTAATCTTAATTTGGATTTTACAACTTTTCAACCAAGTACTTCAAAGCCTCCATGGCCTTCTCAGTGGTGTTTGGAACAATTCTCCCACCCTCCAAAAGCAAATGATCAAAGTATGCTGCATAGTCCTCCCAACATCCTGTCGAGCTTGGACTAGGAAATAGTCTTTGAAACTCTAGCACGTCATGAATATCCACTGGAAATTTATAATCTACTGCACCTGTACATAAAAAAATGAAGTCATGATGTGTTGATACTGTTTTAAATTTGAGTACTGAAAAACAACCAAGGTATCGAAGGAGAAAGGTAAACACAGAAAAATATTCAAATTAAAGTTAGTGATTAGACAAATCTTTGCTAGGAAAAATACCAAAAATTTTAGGGTGGAAAAACACCATTTCTGGTTTTCCTGGGAGATTTCCATCATCATCATAGCGTCTTTGTGCTCTGATGTAATGGTTATTCCATTCTGTTTTTATTTGATCAAGTTCTTGTTGGATGATTTTCATAAAACAGAAGCGAAGGCATTCTCTAAATTGGTAAATTTTAAAGGTCAATTTTGAAAACAAGAAAAAAAATCAGGGTGAAATTTTTCCTGTAAAAAAATGTTTATATTTCTTAATATTTCTTTAATTGGAAAAACACTTATAAATGGTTGGTTTAGTCTTAGTCATAAGGATTTAGGTAACATGCAGAAATATCATAATAGGTTATAAATGCGTAAATTCTTAATTTTTTAAAGTATAAATAAAGAATTTATTTCTCTTCTTACATGTGCTCGTTATTTGCTGATGAGAACATCCCTTGGTCTTCCATGTCTTTGAACAAGTCTATCCAGAAGGAGATGCCCATCTCTCTCAGTGTTCTCCACCAGCGTTCAATTCTCTTAAATCAAAATGTGTTTTTGAAAAACTGAAGGCTGATTTTTCAAAAGTAGGTCAAACTTCAAGGTTATTGAGTACAAATGTTGGTACATTCACAAGGAATACACAACTTCCCTAGGATCAACCGTTCAAAGTTATGGCCAAGGTCAAAGTTTTACAAAAGTAGGTTAAACTCCAAGACAGATTTTTTTTTTTTACAAGAAATACACTTGAGAAATACGAAATCTCTAACATCAACCATTCAGAAGTTATGTCCAAAATTAAAGTTTTTTCATAAGTAGGTCGAACCCTATGGTCAAGGTCATTAGGTCAAAAAATGTTGGTGCATTAAAGTCTTTGCAGATAAAAATACAGACAGACCCAAAGCTATATGGATAAGAACTCCGAATCTTTAATCATAGGGGCATAAAACAATCACATAAATTAGTCATATATTAATTTCATAATGATACAGAAACAATAATATGTATATCAAATTATGTGCAGAGATATTTTAAATCATTAAACTGACTTCATTTTCAAATATTTGACAACAGGTTTCTAGAAAGGGGTATGGAGAGGGGTATGGGAGGGTTATCCCTCCCCTGGGTCAGAAAATTTATAATAAAAATGCATACAAGTCTGTTGCATTCTGGGGGTCATTTTTTTCAAATATGAAATAAACAAATAAATAGCAAAACTTTAAACAAAATATTGGTGTTTTCAGGGGTTGCAATTGCATCCCCCCCCCCCCCCCCCGATGGCTCTGTAGTATAACTAATACTATAAAAAGAACTGTGTCACCTTGAACTCTATTAAATGAAACGGATGCAAATAATGAAAGTATGAAGTTTGCAAAACTTATTATTTCTAAAATTATCTGTGGTATCAGATTACACAATGACGCCTATGAAAGATAATAATATGAAGAATTATTTTGGTCTTTGAAAAGTAATAGTGAAAATAATCAGTTGATCTATTTTCCCTCAGGAAAAATGTTCAGAAAAGTAGAGAGTTTGAAAAGAAACTTAAATGAGGATTACACATACAAATTTTTAAAGTATTCAATTACTTCAGTTATTTGATCTTATATTAAGGACATACGCAACATACCTTACCTACTGATAATTTTTCAAGATATTCTTAATTTAAGATTATAGTGTCATCAGATGTTCATAGACAAAAAATTAGCATGCATTACCAGGGGTTTTAAAAAGATATCAAATGATGAAAATTCTTGTATAATGCAAAGAAAAATATACAAAAATAACTAAACATATATTCTAAATGTTTTGTTTACCCAAAATTGTTGAAGAAGAAGTGTACAACAGAAAATATGGATATTAAAGTTTAGCACACAGTTCTTTTAAGTATTGTAACTCTTCAACTCCAGGGAAATAGACAATAAAGTTCAAACTACGTTATGTATGTCCTTAAGTTGGGACTAACTGAATTGACTGTGATTGGAGTGGTAGACCATTCAGATTTGATCAAGTCCCCCCCCCCCCCCCCAATTTTCAAATCAAAGGGCAAATTACTCTAACTTCTACTGCAGGAGTGTTAACTGGAATTGGAACTCAGTCCTAGGTGTGCAGATTTTAGAAGGTTATTAAACTCATCTGATTTGTTTATACAACATAAGTTACTAAATCATATTGTTATTTAAAAAACAACTTCATATTCATACCTGGTTAGACATTGATCTTCCTTTGATAAAATGTCTTCTCCACACATGTCATCATTATCGTACCAACGGAAGAATTTTTGAATGTCCTCAATGTATATATTCTCAGTTCCAGCATCAAGTCTCACACACCTTAAAGCACCTATGTATTGGAAAACTCATACTACCATGAACTGAGACAAATATGGTTTCTTTGTTCAAGTAAATATTTTTTACAAAATAATGCATTTTATGTGTATTTATTCTGTATCAATACAAAATAATGTATTTAGAATGTTACTTAGTAGAAAATTAACTTGTGAAAATTAAACTGCATTTACAGTTTCAGGAATATATTTATCATTGATTTGTAAAAATTATATACTCAACTATTTATTTCCTCCAGGTATTTCAAGAAATATGATGCTACAACAAAAGAGTCATTGTTTGTTTTTGCAACTTTAAGCCATAGTATTCGTCTTGAAAATCTGAAAGGATAGGAATTTGATCATTTAGATTAATAGTTGATATTGTTTTCTCATATGTAGCTACAACAGTATATAACAATCATAAATTCTATAACTTCATAAATTCTTGTAATCTTACATGACTCAAATGAACACTAAAAACTGATGCACATTAACTTAGATACATTCTTCTTGTCAAGCAGTGACTTGCTCTTAGATCAACTCCATCAGGATCGATTATTCTCAATAAACACATGTTATCCCTGGAACAGTATATATATATAATTAATCATCAACCATTTTAAATCTAACCATTACATTTTAACAAAAAAAATAAATTCAATGAAATTATGATAAATATCTTATTGATATAAAACTCATTATAAGCAATGGGCACATCGTTTGAATTCTGTTTATTAATCATAATAAGATAATATACCTTCCTATAAAGATGCCATGTTTCTGAAGAAGTCTTCGTTTCATCGAACGACACCCAAGAGTCTGTCCACTGAACATCATTTCTTCCTTTGAGTAGAATATATGTAAATCATATGAAATTTTTAACATTTGTATGAGTTAACTAAAAATAATGAGCTATCATCAAAATGTAGATGTTATTGACGATTTTTCTAGATTTGATCAATCTATCAAAAAAGAAGGATGAAATAAAACACAAGCAATATTACCTGAATAGCCCTTATTGCCATATCCACATTGTATGATCTCCGTCTTCTCAAATTAAGTCTGGTCATGCGTCTTTTCAAATGTCTACAGCTTAATTATTTTAAAAAATAATGCATAAAATATACTGTATCTTAAAATGGGAGATTTTAACTTCAATCACTAAATAACAGATATATACATACAAGTAGAACACGCATATAAACAATCTTTGAATGAGACTACAAATTTAATGTATAGTACCTTTATTACTCTTAGAGAAAATATTAGCCTATACAGGTACTTATATTATCATAACTTCTAACAATTAATAATACCTACCTTATTTTCACACCATAATTACTCCAAAGAAGGAATATGATTTCTTTATTATCGTATCCGTTGAAGAAATATTCTTGAATCTTTTCGTCAACAAACGCCATGTTGTGCAATGACTGCTGGGAATGTTATCCGGTTATAGAAAGTACTAGTCGATAGAGCGATGGTGCGATGACACGATGACGATAGTGCGATAAAGCAATAACGATGTCACGATATAGCATCGCGTCATCACTATCGCGCCATCGCATAATCGCTATCGCACCATCGCATCATCGCTATCGTGCCATCGCGCTATCGCTTCATCGTACCATCGCATCATCGTCATCACATTGTCGTGCCATCGCATCATCGCCATCGCGCTATCGCACCATCGCTTCATCGTTATCGCACCATCGCTTCATCGTCATCGCATTATCGCGTCATTGCACTATCGACTCAAACCTCGATGGTGCGATGATGCGATAGTGAACTGCATGGCCCTATCCGGATTCCATATTTCTCTTTGGGGGAATGTATCTTGACCGCAGTCTCAATCTAATTGCCGATAGTTTCATCCGCACTTCCGGTGGAGTACAAACCAATATCAGAGAAGCGTGATGAGAACACATCAAAGCTTCAGCAACCAGCGGATATGAATCCGCTGTAATTACAAGGCAATAAAGAAATAATCCGTTTAGAATACATCACTTTAAAGTGTCTGCAGGGATACCAAACCCTTGTACCCTTGTACTGACGGAACTTAATAACATTTATTGTCTTTATTGAATTTCCCATAAAAGGAATCACATTCTTATTCGGTTTATTTGTTGTCTTTATTCAATTATTTCAATATTTTTAGATTTCTTTGAAGAAAAGTATCTGTTAATGAAACATATTTTAATTTGTTTATATGGTATTTGAAGCAAACCGAAAATGTCTGCGGAAAAAGGAAGCTTGAGTTAAATACTGCATAGCACTTGATGTGCATGTATAAATGTCTATTGTTTAATATTTTCCAATAATTCTTGGTTTGCATGAAATGTTTGAAATGTGAGTAATATGACTTTGTTCGGTGTCTGGATCACCCTTTATGTTTGTTTCTAAGCATTCACACGCTACACCGCTCGGATGTCCGATAAATGGCGCTTTTGACGGGTAATTCTTCCTTAATTCCCTCATTTGGCAAACACAATTTGTCATCGAAACACTTACAAGATCTCTCATTGAAGATGACATCTCATAATGTAATCTAGCCCTTACATTAAAGGCTCCGAGAGAATCCCCGTGAACACTCGCTGATCCATTACGGCCGAGGGCATCACTTCATCACAAACACGATTCAATTATCGGCTCTGTTTTTGGACAGGCTAAGCATTACAGAGGCTGAGCATTACTTTTGTCAGTTCCTGAACTTCCAAAGTACGACTATTTGAATTTTTAGTTCAAACAAAATGTTCCAACTTGTGATTGCATGAACAAATACTTAAAACTACACATTAGCAGCCAAATTCTTCCTTTAAAGCTTTAGAAATTAACATAAGTTTGGTTACCGGTAGTTTAGTCTATTTGAAAACAATAACCATATACGTGTACGTTGATACTAAGCCAAGACTTGCTTCCATTACCAATGTAAGGGTAGAGCTCTGATAAGGTAATTATACGTCACATAAGCGGAGGCATATAAGATCTTTTATATGTCTGTGAATATAGTACTCACATATTATCCTTGTCCGCAAACAGAACTTTGTCACTGTGTACACATGTATTAATTTTTCAGAGCGATAGAGTACTCCTACTTTTGGGATCTTTCCTATGTCCAGTTGAGTCATTGTACTTCATAGAACTTTGAATAGTACCACATTTGAATCACTTTCTATTTCATTACTTGTTTTATAGTAATGATGGTCTGAATACTCGAAATTGTATTGGCAAAGCATGCTTTTTAGTAACATTTTTTATTGTTCAGTTTTCAAAACAAACATTTAAACCAGAACTTCATTGAATTGAGTCACATCTTTGCTAGAGTCCCACAGATAAAATCAACTTTTATTTTACCATCATTTATTAATATTGCAGCCCATAAAGCTGATTCTTATCTTCATTTTTTCCACCCCCCGGTCACGGCCCATCGTTTGGGCCTGGTGCGTTCAGTGAGATACCTGACGATAAGATTCCCTGTGGGGGGCCCTCCTCTGTAAATCGTCTGTCCGTCCCAATAAATTGAGCCTCCATCGTTCCAGCAGCACTTCTAGTTAAAATGAAAGCGCTATGGGAACACTAGATCGTAATTTGATTTATTTGCCAAGTAGATTTTTCTCCGATTTAATTCAATTTTTTGAAAGATTAAATCCTGGACTGGTAGTGAAAAAAATAACTTTGTGATCACGTTAAACGCTTCAGGTTACAGGTATTGATTTCCCATTATAATCTGTGTGCAATTAGATAGAAGTATGGCAAAAATACGTAAAAGTAGTTCAGTTCAGATATGTATGCAAAATGATTAACTGGAATGCATACACCATGGTCTTTTATTTAAAAAAATGACAAAAAATTCACTCTTCTATTGTTTGTTGAAAGCTATTGCCAATTACAGTGAATTAGAAGTACTGAGTCCTGAGAAAGTTATGACTTTCAAGAATTTATATTAATTGTACAAGCCAATTCAGAGAATCTCCCTGCTTCAAGAAAAAAGAGTGTGGAAAAACTGGACACACTTTGCAGATGGAGAAAGAAAAATGGTCAACCTTGACCTTTCATCTTTTGGCCTTAAAGCGAATAGGAGTCTTTTTAAGTTAAAGAAATTCATGACCAAAAGTTTCATTGCAAAAGCTTACAGAAAAACTAAAATTATTACCTGAAAACTATATGTGCAATATATACTTCTGACCTTGACCTTGGGACTTTTGAAGTGAGTTGTGAGATGTAATTTCATTGCAAAATCTCATTGCAAAAAGTTTTTGAAGATATAGTTTGGGGAAAAAAAAGTGTCACACAGAATTTCTGAATTTATGACCTTGACCTCTGACCTTTTGACCTCAAAATCTATAATGGTCTTCTTTAGGCCATAGGGAGTTGCGATATTAAATTTAATCGAAGAAAGCTCAAAGAAAAAAACTAAAGCTATCACCTGGAAAATGATATTGGCAATATGAATGTATGACCTTTGACTTTTTGACCTCAAAAATCAAAAGGGGTCTTTTTTAGGCAATGAGGAGTTGTGATATATAATTTCATTGCCAAAGCTCAAAGACCTTTTAAAATATCGTCCAGAAACAAAAGTGTTACATACAAATAGAATGTATGAATATATGACCTTGACCTCTGACCTTTTGACCTCAAAATTGATAGAGATCTTTTTTATATCATAAGGAGTTATGGTTTTAAATTTTATTGAAGAAAGCTCAAAGAAAACAAAGGTGATCATTTGTAATGTATGATTTTTCCCCCTTGAACTTTGACCTTTTGACCTCAAACATCAAAAAGGGTCTTTTTTAGGCCATAAGGGGTTGTGATGAAAAATTTCATTGCAAAAGCCCCAAGTTTTTTAAAGGTATTGTCCGGAAACGAAAGTGTTACACATAAACAGAATGTATTAGTTTATTGCCTTGACCTTTTGACCTCAGAATCAATAGGAGTCTTTTTTCGGCCATAGGGAGGTGTGGTAAAAAATTTCATTGGAAAAGCTCAAAGGCTTCTTACCGTTCACGGTAGCTCAGTCGGTAGAGCGCTCGCTCCGTGATTGGGAGGTCGTGAGTTCGAATCTCGGCCGCGACTGACCTAAGTCGATATAAAATGGGTAGCAACTGTTCCTTTGCCATGCGCTCGGCACTTTGAAGTGAAAGTCGCGGGTCCTTCGGATGAGACCTTAAAAACCGAGGCCCCGTGTCACGGCAGGCGTTGGCACGATAAAGATCCCTCACTGATCAATGGCCCTGAGTACGGTCAAAATTTAAAGCCCTTCACCGGTATCGTGACGTCTCTATAGGAG